CCCCCCCGGCACCTTTGCGAAGATAGATGTCGATCTCACCCATGGTTGAGTTCTCGCAGCTCGGACGCTGTGCCTCCTTCGTAAACCCCAAGTTCGGACTGCCTCGGCATTCTAATCGCGTACACGCATATATGCCGGTACCCTTGATATAGAGTGCCACGACTTACAGGCCCGGGACAGTTTCTAGCTCCTATGCCAAATTATCCCGTCACACATCACCTCTCACAGAAGCTCTCCTTGACTCATTCAACTATGGCGCTACCAAGTGTCCAAGCTTACCTGTATGGCGTTGATGGGCGAGTGTCCGAATCTCTCCTCGGCGCCTTATTGCTGAGCCTGGTATGCTCCGTACTGGCAAAGTATCTCCTACAAGGGGTGTCACTCGGTGCAATCTGGACCAAGGAAAGCCACAGAGAGAAGGTCCGACAAGATACGTCGCCGGGGAATGCTCCCAGATACGACAACATATTCGAGACCATGGGCGATATACAGCCCTTGACCAATCTGGATTGGGAATCGCAAGAACCCGAGAGGATATACAGATTTGCAGACAAATACAACCTCACTATGGGTAGGCAAACTCGCACATAGTTGGACCCGTCTCAATGACTTTCACTCAGTATCAAGCTAACACCGGCACTTGCAGGTCTGAGGAAGACAACGGTTAACACAATCACCCACATGGACGAGCAATACATCAGTCGTATAAATGAGCGGAAGAAGATCCTAGAGCAGTACCCGGGAGCACTCGGCTGTGTCGGCGCAGGCCCCGACATGGTTCGCGAACTCTACACCTACCTCGTGACATGGTACCTCCCCAAGAGGTACCCGACCATGTTCAGGGTGGACGAGCCGTCGTCATACCTGCGCAACCTGGTCCTCGAGGAAGACATACCCCTGTTCCCGCCCGAGGACCCGATCTCCATGCTGCGCACCATCGCCCTAAGCGTGGACGAGGACTTCCTCATGCTCCTCCCCTCGCCCGACGGCGACGGATACTCCCTGCAAGCCTTCGTGTGGCTGTACCCGGTGGGCTTTGATCCGGCCGACAAGCTGGGGATGAAGTTGCGCGACGTCCACGGCCCGGTCCCCAGCTACAAGAAGCACCTGGAGATGTCAATGGACAAGTATTTCGCACGTCTCACTCCCGGCCGCGTCGTTGAGCGCGTCAACTGGGCCGTTGCCACCAACTCCTCCCTGTGCGAGCGAGGTGAGTACCACTTGTACTCGGATGACCAGGTAAGCAGCCAATCCGACGTGGATCTGGATGACACGTGGGTGAGATGCGAGCTGCAGACGCTGTTTGCGCTGCCGGGGAGCGGAGGCAGGATCCTTAGTGTACATCTTTACTTGTATCCCATTCAGGAGATTAAAGACGTCGGCCTTGCAGAAGAAATGTGCCGCGCTATCGATGGATATGGAAGGGGGAACGCGGCTGAGTTTTCGAGATATAAGAGGGTGCCTGTTTGGGGAGAGAAGGTCAAGGAGTTTCTGCGTAGTTAAGGTAGGGACAGGGGGGGGGAGTTCGAGGGGGTGTATGATGGTGTTTCTCTTCCACAGTGAAATCCAGTAGTTGCTGTTGATGTGATGGATATAGAGCGATGAGCTGATCAATAGCATCATGATTGCATATCCTTGTCATGATACTCATGTGCTGAACCTTCTGGCCCTACATTCAGACAATGACGGCGGCACCATGTGCTTCACCCACAATTCGGGTATTTCTAGAAAGGTCTATTCGCATGACTTCAAAGTTCAACTGAGCAACCTGTTAGTATATGAACGAATCATACTCCTTGTCGGGGTTATCAAAGTGCCACGACAAGTCACGCCCATCCTCCTCCGTGACACTGAACCCATTCCCGAGATATTGCCACCTATTCGGCCCCATTGTATCCCAGTCCCAGTCCTCGTATCTCGGCTCCTTCAAGGCATGAAACCAGTGGAGCCTGCTCCCAGGGTAGATCCCAGTTATAGGGCCGGAGTCGTTGCCATTTCTGAACCAGCTACGACACTTGCCCGCCCACGCTGTCCGCGGGAAAAGGGCATCTGCATGCTCCACAAACTCGTCAATGGCCTCTCTCTTGGGACAGAAGGCCTTGTACCTCTCCACCTGGGCCTTGTAGATCATCTTGAGCATGTACCTGGTCGCATTCTCGAGGATCGGGATGGCCGAGCCGTGGGCAACGGGCGCATTGGGCCCCATGAACATGAAGTAGTTTGGCATGTCAGCCGGAGTCATGGACAGGTATGCCGCGGGCCTCTTCCCCGTCCAGACATCCTGGAGGTTGGCCCCGTTGCGCCCCACGATGGGGAAACGCGGCACAAATGACAAGTCGAACCCCGTCGCGCAGACTATGGCATCGCAAGCAACCTCCTCCCCGTCATCCAGGATCAGGCCGCCGGGCTCGATGCGCACAATCTCCCTCCCACAGATGGTCTGCACATTGTCCTCGCCCAGGGCCTCCAGGTATCCCGTCCCCGGTGTGGGACGGCGGCATCCGACAGGGAAGTCGGGGATGATGAAATCGGCGACACTCTTGTTGGACCCCAGACGCTGAAGCATGTCCTCCTTCGAGAATTCTGCAGCGGTCGCCTGTTCCGGCGTGGAGGCGTGTTGCATCTTGAAGCGACTGCATAACTCATGCTCTATGCCTTTTCTGTACATCAGGTATTCTGACGGGTCGTTGGCAAACCTGGCTTTTTCATCCTCGGTGAAGTCGAAGTTGACGCCCCCCGGGGCTGCGTATTTGCTCCCGAAACCGGCTGTGATCCACTGCACACGAGTTATGAGAGTCAGTTTTTGGTTTTCCCTCTCCACGCATCATGGGGTTGTATGGTCAATCATACCGTAGGGCTGCGCAGGAAGGAGGTGAGCTTCTTGACCTCGGGCTGGATTGCCGTAACAATCTGAATGCCGCTGGAGCCGTTCCCAATCACGGCGACATGCTTCCCCTTCAGGTCAACCTCGGGACTCCAAGCGGCACTGTGGACAAGCTGACCGTTGAAGGAGTCGAGTCCGGGAATACTCGGCCACTTCCAGTTATTCAAGAACCCCGAGGCATTGATAAAGAAGTGCCCCCAATCCTCCACCGTCTCCCCGGTCTGCAGATCCTCCACCTTGAACCTCCAGATGCCTCCCGACTCGTCCCATCGGGCCTCGGAGACTCTGTGGTCAAAGCTGACATGACTGTCCAGCCCGTGCTTCCTCGCCGTGGTCTGGAAATACTCGAGGATTTCGGGCTGCGGCGAGTAGTACTTGCTCCAACGGTGGTTAGGCTCCCAAGAATACTGGTAGTTGTGGCTAGGAATGTCGCAGCGGCATCCTGGGTACTGGTTCTCCAACCAGGTGCCGCCGACCGCACTGTTCTTCTCGTAGATTCGCAGCGTCACGTTCTTCATGTGCTCCTTAATGTTGCGAGCGATGCTGATGCCGCTCGCTCCGGCGCCGATGGCGATGATGCGGATGGGACGGGCTGTGCCGAATGGCTTCTCTAGGATTCGGTAGGTGCTGGGTTGTTCCTTTTCATCTTCGATGATAGCTGTCGGTGCCATTCTGTTTGTTTTGTATCTATGGAAACACCAAATAAAGACTGGTAAAGTGGTCTGTTCTGTATCACTAGGCAGCACTCAGAACGACTGTTCAAGCCTCTGCACTTGAAGGAAGAAGAGTGCAGATACAGACAATAGAAAGATGATAAAGGGTGTAATAAACGAGAACCGTCCGTTATACAGAATGATTGCTCGTCGTATCAGCGTGACTTGGCCGTCTTCCTGACAACTTACACGCGACGGGGTCTTTTATTGGCCCAGAATGCCGAACCATCGGCGGCGAAAGACTGTGGGAACCGGAGGGTGTAAAGCAACGATAAGGGACTCGTCGGCGTTGTTTGTTTTTTTACCGGTAAATTATTTCGGCCTTGCGGAGCTCCATCGAGAACACATAAAGAGTGCTTCACGCTCATGGTTCCATGGAACCATTGTGGTAGACTGCGTCGCACGGTGCTACAATTAGATCGCCATCGCTGTCGTTGCTTGTCGATTCCTCGTCGAGGGTCTTCCCTTACCTGGCACATTATCGCGGAGAAGTGACCTACGACGAATATTGGAAGATGGGGGGGGAGATGGAGAGAAGTCCTTTTGAGCATATCAACGCCTCGCCCTTAACGGTGGAATACCATGACTCTAGCATGAGCATATTGGCACCGCCCAAATCGGACATATACGTAACCCCAGGACCCCCCGCAAGCTACGTCTACAGTTCACCCATCGTGCAGAAGCGTATCAGCACATCGACATTCGCACTCGCCCAGGTGACCGTCTCTGCGGCATGGACTCTGCAGTTCGACCAAGGAGGTCTGGTGGTGACTATACCGAGGGCAGACAACCCCAACCCCGACAGGTACAATGCCACCAGCCCATCGTCACACCCTGCATGGATCAAGATCGGCATCGAAGTCAACCAAGGCGCTCCATACATGAGCGTCGTGGCCAGATCCGAGGAAGGGTGGTGTGACTGGAGCTTGGTGCCGGTAGAGAGACGCTTGGGACAGTGTACTCCTGCGACATTTGAGTTGACAAGATTCAAGAACGCCCTCATGATGAAAAGTGTCATGTGCGACGGGAGGAGAGTGCTGATTCGAAAAGTGCCCTGGGTCTTCCTCGACGACGAATACAAAGACGGAGACCTCTTGGTGGGTATGTACGCTGCTCGGCCTGACCCAGATGACGAGTCTGCTGGCGAAGAATTGAAGGTGACATTTTCGGACTTTACATTAAGATAGGGCACATGAAGATTTTGAGGTTTGATAGAAAATAGACGTTAAAGGATGCATGGTACCTGTATCATATGCACGTTGATTCTCCAGAAAGAAAAATGGAAGATGAAGATGGCCAGGTAGCACATGCATGTATCATCTCGGCTTTCTCATTAGACAAACTTGTAGTACAGGCCACACATTGTACGAAAGATTGAAGATGTGGATATACAGAAAGTGATCACCTGTGTCAACAAGAAAATAAAACTTCAGCTCATATTAAATCCCATGTTTGGCCATTGAATTATTAAACCTGTAGGGTAGCGTTCGGTCTGTGAGAATCACCACGAGTCATGTGATAGCGACATCAGATGCTACGGCGACATCGAAAGTGGCGAGATTATTTTGTCAATCCTAGCCCCTCGGAAACGCACTGGCGTAGAAGGGAGTTTTCCTTGCGCATTGACGACAAAAAAACAAGCACATAAACGCACAGCTAAAGAGGGGGAGGATCAGTCTCCTCTTGATGTCACCTCTAGGGGGCTCACCACGACATCAGTCGCGGAGCTACAGCAAGACTGGCAAATCTATCCCGATACGAGAGACGATGCAACGAAAGAATACGAGTGATATGAACATAAAAGAAAGACAACAATAGTCATGGCATCCAATACGTACGTCATTACCAGAAAGATGGCAAAGAAACACCAACACACACACACACACACACACACAGAGAGAGAGAGAGAGATTCGCCGCTAATAGACAGGCCCACCAAATGAGCTGCGCACAGGTCATCCAAAGAATTGTCCAAGGCCATTGCGGCCTTCATGGCCGAGCCCATCATCCCCATCCCCGACGACCTAGCCAAGCTCATCGAGGCGTACCTGAGCCGGCATGTCAAATACGACGAGACGGCCGCCGACCGGCTGCAGGAGGAGCTGTTGGCCCTCTTTGACAAATACGTGAGGGGAGACTATGGCGCCTTTGGCCCCTGGGTCGCCATCCTCAGGCGGCTGCGACCCATGATCCGGACCCCCGAACGCATCGTCATGTGGCTCGACTGCCTCAAGGGCTACCTCTCCCAGCACGCCGACACGGGCATCATCACCGAGACCATCGCCGCCATGATGGACCTGGTCGCCCTGGCTGACGAGTACCAGGATGCCCACCCGGACGGCCAGGATGGCGTCATATCCAACCCCATCGTCGACCGACTGTTCCAGACCTGGATGGAACGCCTCTACCCAGCCTTTGTCGAGGGCCTCCCGGGTATGGAGTATAATGAACGCATGTTCCGCGAGGCCCTGGTAGATTTTGGGAAACGGAAACCACTAGTGGGTTGCTTCCCATGACCACGTCCATGCCTTTGACAGAGAAGGAGGGGATAAGGAACAGACATTCTGACGGTGAGGATATAGCAATTCTTTGCCACTCTAGACAGCTTCTTCGTCCAGAGCAAATACCGGAAGGCCGTCCTCCGATTTGTATGCGACTTCCTCCAGAACCGACCCCCGCACGTCCACCGCATCATCGAGAGCGACCTGTTCGAAAACCTCCTCACCTGTCTGCAGGAGGACACATCCACGACGGTGCTTTCCTCAGCGCTGACAGCCCTGGTCATGCTCCTACCTTACATGCCAAGTTCGCTGGTACCGCACCTGCCGGTCCTCTTTAACATTTACGCTCGCTTGCTCTTCTGGAACGGCGCTGATCGACCCGGCGCCTCGGGGTCGTCACCGCCACCACCGACCCGCGGGCTAGGCTCCGAGGGGAGTAGAGGGTGGCACGTCAGCGCCAACGAGCCCGGGGTCGACGACGACGCCGCCATCCCCCACCTAGCAAACTACTTCACCATACTGTATGGGCTATACCCGCTCAACTTCATGGACTACATCCGCAAGCCTCAGCGGTACCTACGGCACGCCAACGTGCCCAACTCGGACGAGTTTGAGATTCAGCCGACCGAACTCCGCTGCCAGTCAGAGAGATTCCGCCGGCAGCATATGCTGCACCCCAACTTCTACACCTTGACTATCGAGACGGAAAAGACGGACTTTGGGCGCTGGATCAAGAGCGAAGCATCCGAGGTTGTAGCCGACTGCATGGCCCTCTGCCTGGCGACTGATGCGGTAACCATCAACCCACAGTGGGAAAAGGCAGCGGCGACGACGGAGGCCGGGGTCACGGCTCCCGTCACGGCAGAGCCGCTAAAGGAAGGGCCTGACCCTGCACTTCTGAGCAGTTCGGCTGTCGTTGCAGATACTCCACTAGGCAGGGCGCTGTCGTCGTCGAGCCTGCAGACTATGACGAGGCATGCGTCGCACTCTAGCGTCAACACGAACAGGGAGTCTGGCAGCGAACTGAGGGGACGCGAGCAGTCTTTGACTAACCTTGTGGGCCTGGTGCAGTCACCGTCAAACTCGCAGCTGCAAGATCTAATAAAGTCGAACAAGGCTATCAAGTCGGGCCGCAAGCAGTCATCGGCGGCAGCAAACGAGAGTGAAGCATCGCCTTCGCCAGGACCTCACCAGGATGGCCCGACGCCCAGCCCACGCGAGGATGCTCCTGGTGGAGGGGCTACTGGGGCCGTGGTGGGGACAGGAGGGGGTTCTACAGCAACAGGAGCAGCCTTCGTCACATCGCCCATGGCCCTGACAGGCTCGGACTCGTCGCAGGCGGCACACCTTCAGCGGCAGAACTTGATGCTGCAAAACGACCTGAGCTTCGAGCGATACCAGAAGCAGCAGCACATAGCGCACATTGGCGAGCTCCGGCGCAAGCAGGTGGCGGAGGCGGCGACCGAGGCCGAGACGCAGAACCTACTCATCATGACACGCAACCTCAAGAGCCGGTTCGAGGAGGCCAAGGAGGCCGAGATGCGTGTGCGGCGCGAGTCGGAGAAGAGCCGGGCCATGGCCAAGAAATGGGAGGCCGACCTGTCGGCCAGGCTCAAAACGCTGCGTGACCAGTCCAAGGAGACCAAGGGCGAATTAGACAGGGTACGGCGCGAGCTACGCGACGCGCTCGACGAGCGAGACAAGCTCCGAAGGCTGGTATGCGCCCGCGAAGTCGAGGAGCTAGGCCGGGAGCAGGACAAGCAGTCGGCCGAGCTGAGGGCTGCAGAGGTGGACCGACTCCAGGCCGAGATCTCGAGGCTCACGGAGCTAGACCGCCTGCACCAGGCCGCTGAGAAGGAGCGTGTACTGGCCACCGAGGCTGCGGCCGAGGCGGAAGGTCAGATGCAGCATCTGCGTGCTAGGCTCGCGTCGCACGAGATGGAGCTGCAGAGGGCGCGGAAGCTGTTTGAGGCGCAGATGCGGCGGCAGCAGCAGCAGCAGCAGCAGCAGCAGAGGCAGGACCAGCAGAGGAGGCATAGCACGGCCGCCGCGCCATCACAGGCCGAGTCGCTGGAGAAGGTCATGGCGGGTAGCAGGGCGAGGCAGGCGGAGATGCAGCAGCAGTACGATATGCTCATGCGCAAGTACACGATGCTGCAGTCATCCCTGCTAGACATGCAGTCCGGTGCCACGCCCGAGCAGATCAAGCTAGAGTCGCCCAGTCTTCCGCTCACGACCACCACTTCTACGCCTTCTGTTCAACCTCATCCCTCTTCGGCTTCTACCTCGAGACTACCCAACAAGACGGTCTCCGGTGGCAATATCAGGCCGCTGCCACCGCGTTGGCGCGATCTTGCCGAGAGCGGAGGAGGGACGGCCACATCGTACAATGTCACGCCGCCGCTGACGGAGCAGCAGCAGCAGCAGTTGCAGCAGCAGGGGCTTATGACTAGGCCGTCTACGTCAGGGGGGTATGAGGGGTTGATGGATACGCAGAGGTATCATGGGCGAGGTAATCTTTCCCCCTTGTTCTTCCATTTCTTCTTTCTTTGTCTTTGCCCTGCACGTCCTATTGAACATCAGATGGCTGACACTCTAATTCTTCTCTGCAGGCGGCGTACAGAATCGATCGCGCAAAGAAATCGCTGCAAGCGGCAATAGCGGCAATAGCAGTGGCGTTGGCGTGACCGGAAGCGGGAGTGGAAGCGGCAGCGGCACAGTCAAGAAGGAGAAGAAGTCTACGGGATTAAGGGGGATACGAACGGGGGTAGAAGAGTTTGTGCGGGGGAAGACGGAATGATTTGTTCTCGTTAAAAGTGACTCCTTCTCTTTTGTTTTCTATCCTCGTATTCTGTAAACAAACGAAGGAAATGATGTTTATGAAGCACGTCTAACACGAAAGAGGTCTAAAGGGAACAATGCCTAAATGAAGTGAAGGAAGCATCGTAATTCACACCCCTGCAAAAGCCAAGGTGGACATTATGCATCTCGTACTGTTCATAAAGCGGCTGAACAGATACACGGGATATCAATTATCACCCTTTGGTAGAGACAACCGTAATAGACTATGGCCTACCAGAACATGCATTGTACGATGAACGAAGAAATGCCATGACTGACCGGAATGCCTACAAGTAATAATATACATATATGTAATCTGTATAGAATGATCTGTTTCCAGTTGATGACTGCCCCAAGTGACGACATTCGGCTGACCCGGAAGGGGGGATGGAGGGAACAGTCAGATCGGATCCCCCGGGTCAACTTGTCCCGAGTTGGGACTTTTTTTTCTTTCTTTTGGCGGGGCGGATTGTTGAACGAGACCGAGACATTGGCTGGTTGCCGGATGGTAGTAGCTGCTAGCAGCAGGCTCTCCTTCCCTTGGGACTAGCAAGCAATGCTACGTATATTATCCGTACTCGTCCCGATAATACTAGCTCTGCTACTCCGTACTCTACTCCTATTTCATTCTGCATGTTTAGTGTCTACCGCTGCCCAGTGATCCAGTCTGTCGGGGAATCTTTGGTGCTGACTGAGCACGGGCAGCTTTGCACATGAGTAATACACGTGAGTAATATGACGACATCTCGCGCGCTACTAATGAATGAATGAATGATTGAATCAATCAATCAGTCAAAAAAAAAACAAGAAGGAAGAGAAATAAGAGGAACAAATAATAACAAATACGATCTTAAGATGAATGGAAAAGAAAATTGAAAAGAAAAAGAAAGAAGAAAAAAAACAGGCAGGAAAAAAAGGGTATCCTCGTTCATTTTGTCCGTCATATTACGACGCGATATGCTTTAATTATGGCGATTGAGCCCAGACCTTGGCGAGCAAGATTACTCGTAGAATCCATATATACGAGTATGTGACAATCCACTACGCCGTGTACGGAGTACGTGGTCGTATATTATCGTACTCGTAGAACGCCTAGGCCCTACGGAACTAGTTGGATATTAGGGAATGATAGATTGGCATGGACTACGGGGACATTTCGTCCCTGTGCACGGCAGTAGTAGCGCTGTAATGCGGGTGATAATACTACTAGTATTATCCGCATTCACATCAGCGTCAACCTACTCGTACAAGAGTATACCTGTATTACTCGTACACGAGTATTGCATATTACAACCCACCGACCAGGCGCCAAGAACTACACACGTCGCAATGCTTGCACCCTGATTATCACATCTACCTGTGCAAGTGCCAGGTGAGTCCAGCTCGAATACGTAAATGAATATGGCCCTTTCAATAATACCCCGTAACAGAGTCCAGGAGAAATGAGGTTTGCCCCCCACCCCACTCCACCCCACCTCCTCTCTAGGAATCATAACCCTGTCCCGACATGCACTAGCCTATGCCCGGTACCGCCCAGCAGCAGCAGCCCAGTGGCAGCGACCACATTGGGCAGACTGAGAGCCCTGCTGACACGGATTCCTGACCCTCGACCCACAAGGCCAAGAGCCCAAGAGCCTTGGGGGCCTTTTTTTTTTTTTTTGTCCCGTCTTTTCGATGACCCTTACATGTAGACCTTTGGTGACCCTTGGGCCTTGGTATTGCTAGGCCAAGTGATGACTCCCCCACTTGCTCCTCTCGTCGCCCTCTGTTTGGTGCTTCTCGCCTGCGCTACGCCGCTCTGTCCATGCTTCGTTTCTTGGCAGAGTCATGGACTGTGCTGGGTAATACCGAGTTATTCGTATGCTGATACGAGCGACACGATCTCGATGCTGGGCATATCATCACCCCGTACTCGTACGCCTCTGTAAGGAAGGCCTGCAGTCCTGAATAGGCTCTAGCAGTGCTTACGAGAGCCTCTGTAAACACTCGACTGAACAGCGCTGTTGCTACCTGTATCGCCAGTGGCCCATAGCCCATAACAGTCACGGCGTACCGACCTCATGTATTATCGTCGCACTTTCCCAGGCCTCATTTTGTAATCTATCAGGCAGGTCCTTCCCTTCTCATATTTCCCACCCCCTCTTCCTTCCCCTCCATCCATCCCCATTCGTTTCTTCCCTTTCATCCACTTCCTGCTTTCTTTTTTTTTTTTATCTTCTCCCATCTTCTTTTCTCTCTCGCTCTCTCACTCTCTCCGCAAACAACAACTCCCGCATTCAATCGTCCAACTCTCCGCGATCCACCCGTTCAGACCATACTCGCTGCTATTGGCACTACTACTGATAGTATTGCTTCTGCATTACCAGTACTAGTCCTAGACCGTCCGGACAATACCATCAGGGAGAGGGCACAAGCCCAACAGCCACACAATCTTACCGCCCATATTACTTCTTACCCAAAGAAGAAGGGTCTGCTGACAAAGGGAGGTCCCCTATCACCGACCGACGCTCCGCCTCCCGACACCCCGGTATCCTCTTACTATCCATCCCCCCCACTACCTCTACTCATCTTGTCTCGCATTGCCTTCGCTTCGCCACGCTCTCTTTCTTTTCCCTCACACCGCGTCTGCAACAACGAAACTTTTCTTCCTGTTTCTTTTTTTTTTTGAATTATTCCCTGTCCGGGTGTGAGGCGACCGAATATTCTTAGTCTTCTTTCCAACGACAAGTAGACAGACACCAAAGGACAATTGAAAGAAAAAGAGTGTTTGGCGCGGAGGGGAAAAAAAAAAACCGATTCCGGACGCCACACACCTAAGTTTCCGAACACGAGACAACGGCTGTCTGCCATATAGGGGCTCGCGACAAGAGACGAGGAAAACTCTATCCCAAAATTTTCCGCCCATCATGTCTCGTCGCAACTCAGACGAGGCTGAGGCTACGCTCCTCAAGCCCGACGACAACCCCGACGACATCAAGCCTGAGCCCATGGACATTGAGTCCGAAGCCGGTCGTCCCGAGAACTCGTCCAGCGGCAAGAACCTCGATCACGAATACTCGGTCCCAAGCACCATCAAGTTTGCCTGGCTCGGCACCTACTTCTTCTTCTCACTCGCCCTGACACTCTACAACAAAGCTGTCCTCGGCATGGTAAGTTTTTATTCCTATCATATTCACTTCCTCCCTCTGTCCATTTGTTTCAACTGCTCTTGCGCGCGTCTTTCCTTTGTCCATCCCACGACAGCTGTGTGCGACTGTCGGTGCTAGTCTTTTGGGATGGATAGTTGGATAGTAAAAATTCCCACGAGATGGATTATGCGACTAGTAACAAGGGACCGAGGGCATGACACTGACCCATTCACAGTTCCACTTCCCATGGCTCCTCACCTTCCTCCATACCTCATTTGCCAGCATGGGCACCTTCGCCATGATGCAGCTAGGCTACTTCAAGCTCTCCCACCTCGGCCGCCGCGAAAATATCGCCCTCGTCGCCTTTAGCGTCCTCTTCACCGCCAACATTGCCATCTCCAACAAGTCGCTTGAGATGGTCTCCGTCCCCTTCTACCAGACCATGCGCATGCTCTGCCCTCTCTTCACCATCTTCATCTTCCGCTTCTGGTACGACCGTACCTATAGTACCATGACCTACATGTCCCTCGTGCCCCTCGTCATCGGTGCTGCCATGACCACCATTGGCGATGGCGACCTCAGCTTCACCGACGCTGGCTTCATCCTCACCATCCTCGGTGTCATTCTCGCCGCCCTCAAGGTATGCTCTCTCCCCCCCTGATTTGCGGTAGCAGAAACTAGGCCTGTAGGACAAGCACAAATTGTCTGTCCCCGTGGTAGCAAAGGGAGAAACGACACTGACGCATCGTACAGACCGTCGTCACTAACCGATTTATGACGGGCTCCCTGTCCCTCCCTCCCCTCGAGTTCCTCATGCGCATGTCTCCCCTCGCCGCCCTCCAGGCCCTCGCCTGCGGCATTGCCACTGGGGAGCTCTCCGATTTCTGGACACTGATGAATTCGGGCGATGTTGCCGTCCTGCCCGCTGTCGGCTCCCTCTTCGGCAATGGCTTTCTCGCCTTCCTCCTCAACATCTCGTCCTTCAACACCAACAAGCTGGCCGGTGCCCTCACCATGACGGTGTGCGGTAACCTGAAGCAGTGTCTCACCGTCGCCCTCGGCATATTCCTCTTTGACGTCACTGTCCGCATGCTCAACGGCGCTGGAATGGCTGTTACCATGCTTGGCGCAGCCATCTACTCCAAAGCTGAGCTCGACAACAAGAAGAAGAAGTCTCAGGTCGCTTACACACCCGTCGACCAAAACGTGCGGTAACCTTTATTCCTTCCCGAGCTATCTTGTGCATTGTAGACAAGTTCAGCAAAAAAACACCACCTAAAAAAGGGGAGAGGGAAGTCACGATTAGGACGGTTTTCTTATTCAACCGGCGTTTATTTATTTATTCCATCTTGCCAATCGCCGCAGGGGTTAAGCGAGGCATGTGCTTGCTATGAGAGCACCTGTGTTTTTTTTTTTTGCATACAACATATAATATCTAAACCATGGGCGTGGATTTCCCCCTATCTGGTCGACACGAGCATTGGACGCCATGTGTATAATATTTTCTCCGACTGAGCTTTAGAGGTCATTTTCTTACGGCGATGCTTTTTCTTTGTTTCCGTTTACCCTCAAAACCCTACATCTTTAATCACAAATCTTCCCCATTCTAGATCAATGTTATTTTCTACCATATATCGAAAACAAAAGAAGACAGTTGTTTTTTTAGAGTATCCTATAAAACGCCTCGCTATGATTGATGCAAAAGAGTGGTAGATACGTACTAACTGGCCAATGCAATTCAAGAAAACAAGAGAAAGAGGTAGAGACGAGGCCAGTCTATGTTTAGCAAAGGCCGAAAAATTATGCTTCATTTGTAGTGTCGTCAAGATACGCGGAAGAGCCCTTGGCCTGCGTCTTGAGCTGCCATATGCCCGAGACGATATCGTCCATTGTAGAGTTGGACGGGATACCCAGCACCCTGGTGAGGGCGTCCAGATCGGACTCGTCGACGACGGCATTGTCGCGTTGAGGGGCAGCAGCAGCAGAGGAAGGAACGAGACTCTTGTTGTCGACGAGAATAGGAGGAGCGGCAGACTGAAGGGGTGATGCAACAATGAGGTCGTTGACGGGGTTGCTGTCGTTGTTGGGGCCACTACTGCGCTGGAGCATGGCGAATCGCAGGACGACCTCTGTGACGGTGACGAGGATGGAGACGACGATGAGGATGATGACGATCCAGGTGATGGCGCTCATCTTGGAGTCGGCGATGGAGTCGGACAGGATCTCGGCGAGGTCGAGGAAGACGCGGCAGCGCTCGTTGAGGACCTTTATGCGCGGGTCGATCTCGAGGTAGTCCCTTATGGCGGCGTAGAGGGGGTGGAGGGTCGGCTCCGAGTCCCAGAAGAAGTTGGGGACGTCGAGGACGTTGGAGGACAGGTTGATGTCGACGCGGCTCTTGAAGAGGCGGCCGAGGATGCGGACGATCTCGGTGCGTGTCATGTTGAGCTCGCCCGTCAGCGCCAGGTTCTTGGGCACGTGCTGGGCATCCAGCATGGTCTCGCTCATGCGCTCCTCGAAGAAGCAGAGGCGCGTGCTCTGGGCAATGGCGTGGCTGATGGTCAGCTTGATCATGTGGTCCGACCGAGGCATCAGAGTGAACATGTCGTTGAATACGCGCGGGCGCTGCACGTCGGAGCTGTACTCGAAATGGAATTCCTCCGTCTCGTAGTCGTCCTGCTCCAGGGGCCGCGTCAGGAGGCTGGCCCCGTCCTTCTCAGCGTCCGCGAACGTCAGGTCCGCCAGTATGTCCTTCTCCTGGTTCTCCGAGAAGTTCCAGAACACCACCACGCCGTACGAGAAGACGAAAATCTCGCCTAGGTTCTTGGTGTCTGGCGCTAGACGGTTCAGGTGCGCTGCTTCGGTATCGCGATAGTGCTGCTGTTGTTCTTTGTTGTGCCGTCGCTGCTGATGCTGATGCTGGTGCTGCTGCTGCTGCTGCTGGGATTGGTCTTGCTGCTGATGTTGACCATGCTGATGCCGTTCCGGGTGGGAAGATGACATGTCCTCTTCTTCTTCAAAGGGGGAGTGGTTTGCGGCGGCGGTATCCTTGGTGTACGCGTCATCCTCAAAGTACCCTTCATGATGGTCGCGCCACTCGCTGCGCTCAATCTCCAAGTCGAGCACCGTCTTGCCTGTCCCGGGCGTCTTGAGGATGGGCCTGCTGCGCACACGACATCCGTCCATGCCGTTGAGCAAGGGCAGCGAGTAGATGACGTACAGGCAGTCGTCATACAGCTTCGTCTTGGCCCCGTGGTGGTCCCGTAGGAAGGCGGCCGTCGCCTTCATCTTGAAGGCCTGCGCCATGCAGTAGGCCGTGAGCCGGCTGACCTTGTCGGCCCTCTGGCGCTTCGGCAGCCTCTCGGCGTAGCTCTTGCCCCTGACGCCACCGCGCATCCGGAGCACCTCGAGCTCCTCGTCCTTCAGGGGACCTCCAGCGTTGTCGTCCAGCAGACCGCGGCGCGCCAACTCCTCGCATCGGCTCTCCTCGTCCGCCAGCACCTCGTCGTCGTCGTCGTCCTTGTCAGCCGTGTCCGGTAGGAGCACGAGCTTCTCGCTTATCTTGGATGTGCGCGACGGCATGGGCCTGCCCGTGCGAGACTGCGTGTTGGCGATGCCGCCGCCGCCGCCGCCGCCGGACGACATGACGCGACGCACGGGCGCGGGTCGACTGCTTCCGCTGCCGGATGACGCCGGCTGTCGTGCTGCCGGCAGGGGAGGCATGCGCGGCTGGCCAGATGGGATCTGCGTGTTGAATTGAAGAACGTTGTCGACCGTCATGAAACGCATGGGCGAACGGGGTTGGCCCTGGGAGGAACCCGGGCGGGATGATGGCCTTCGTGCATCCTGGCGTTCTCGCGCGTCGGTCACCTAAGAAGGGTGAAGGCGGGTATGCATCGGTCAGCCAAGTCAAGACAGGACACGGTTTGGCTGGGATGGATCATGAGCTTGTACGGCCGGACGTACCAGAACCGAGGGACCCCGTTTACTCGGTGTCATTGTGGCAGTGACTGGCTGGTTTCGGGTATCGTGATGGTTGGTAGACCGATTTGCCAGGTCCAGCAGCGAGGGGATGACCGAGCGAGTCAATGTAGCAATTGGCAAAGGGTTCTGTCCGTATGTGTGAGGGGAGAATGGAGGATGGAGGGATGAAGTATTATTCTCTATTGCTGACGGCAGTACGCAGAGGGTTGGAAGTTAAAACAAAGAAAAGACTCTGTCTAAACCTTTTTGTCTTTAACGGGAAACAATGAATGACCTCATTTTTCTGGCTGGCAGCTCCCACTATCATTCCTCTTCTGGGTATTCTTCGGTTGATCGCGTCGGGAGACGGACGAGAGAGGGGACGGACGGGATGGCCAAGTGTCTGGAATTGGAGGCTACTAAAATTAAGTTGAGAACGTGTGTGGTCTATTGTTTTCTGATATTTGATATATAATATAAGATATACATATATATAAAAGAAGACTGAGTATGGGAATAATCCATTGTAGGAATACTTGTTTTACCATTCAAACCTTTGTCTCTTGTTGATGCGAAGGGACGTGATGGAAGAGACGGTGTATGATTGTTACTCAGCATGTTTTGTTTACTTGGTGATGTTTGGAGTTGTAGGAGTATGCCACCAATACCACCGAACATACAATGAAATACCGGTTGTCATGCTGAGGATAGCATCACACGGCCAGCAGCATAATCAGGAACCTTGCAAGTTGTACACGTCGCAAATGATCATCAGAGGCATTAAACAACGAAGAAAGGGAGTGGATAAAAGAAAGCATCGACAGTCTGACAGCCTGTAGGGTAGATTCAATTGATGGGTACGTACCCAAGTAGCTGAAGCTGCCCTACCAGAAGAAAAAAGGTAAATAGTGGACCCAATCGTGCCTTCTACCCAATCGGCAATAGTGCAAGAGCGCGTTGCTAGGCAGTTGCCCTGTGCTCGAGCGGGCAATTTGTTTATGTATACAACAGCATTGTGGCCCTTGCTTGCCTTGTTTGGCCCCCCCGGTCCACGACCCCCACAGATTGCGAGGCCCAGAGACACACTCAAGACCATCATCATCCATGCATGACCAGTCCCAAAGGCCCAAACCCAGAAAGGCAACCACTTCTCTCACATTCCTACATTCCCGCCATCTTCTCTACCTTCTCCATCTTCTTTCTTGGCTGCCGGCAGAAAAAAAAAACATCCCCCTTCGTTCTAAACCCTTTCGTCCGCGACGATAATAACTTCTTTTGTTTTCTTCCTCGGGGAGGGCACCCACGACAAAACAAGCAAAAAAGTGCGTGCGTGTGTGTGTATATGTCTTTCTTACATTCTGTCTCAGGCCTTTGTTTCCGCCCTTGATATAGCCCACCATCACTGCCTCGTTTTCTTCCCCAAATTAGCGGCTTGTTAACATTCCTCAGCTGCTCCTAGATTGTCGCCCATCTGCTCTTTTCCCGTCTTTCTCTCTACTTTCTTTCTCTTCCCTTTTCGGTTGGGAACAATGCGTTGAAATCGGCTTTCTCGTGACCGCATAGACGACGACGACGACGACGACGACAAGGACCACAATCCCGATCGGCCCTAAAGAAAACAAACGCATTCCCACAACGCCTGCTGGTCCAGGGCTAAACCTCTACGAGCAGTAGTAATCGTCCGTTACTACTGTCTATGCCAGCATGTCGTCGTACCGCCCTTTGCCTCCCAGACCTTCTCAGATAGCATCAGCTGAGCACTCCTCGAATATCAACGGTAGCAACAACAACAACATCAGCAACAAGAGAAGCAGTTTCGTTTACCCCTCGAGCACTGTGGCTGCTGCCATCAACCGCTTCCCCTCGACCACATCTTCCTCCGCATCCTCAGGCTACTCCGATCAGAGCCAACTGAGCGGAGCCACCTCATCCGTCTCCAGCACGCCTTCTCAATACCACTCGTACAAGCACAAGCGCGGCCAGAGTGATGTCCTAGCACGCGCTCGCACCTTTGAACTCGGGGAGACGATGCGGTCCCCAACCAAGGACCACGATGGCCTCTACGCATCAGCCCGCCAGTCACTCCGTCCCCTTCCACAGGCGCCCGTCGCCGCCTCGCCCACCCCGCCGGCGCCTTCGACACCGCCCCACCGCAAGCAGAGCAATGGTCCTAGCCCGGGCCTACGTCGTGAGCGCGGCCAGAGTGTTGATCTCTCAAAGCTCTCCCTCGCCAGCCCTAGCATCTCTTCGCCCGAGTCCTCTCCCGAGCGCCCGCTTTCGATGCGGCCAAACTCGATGCTCATGACGCGCTCCGACTCTATCCGCATTGGGGGTAGCCCCGGCTCTCCCTCCAGTCGCCATCACCACTCCCACAGCGCCACGCAGATTGGCCGACCCGAGCTCGAGAGGCTGAGCCGGTCGGCCACAAGCCAGCTCCGCACTCTGTCGCGCCTCACCGAGACCGAGGCCGCCAACGGCTTCAACATCGCCTCCCCCGCCCAGCAGGTCGCCGGCCTCCGCGGCCGGCGCCGCCTGCAGCGCACAGACAAGCCTACTGAGATGCGTGGCCCCGGCACCGGTAGCGGTTACGGATGGGAGGGCCGCAACTGGATGGACAAGCAGCGGCAGTTCCTCCAGGCCTACGAGTATCTCTGTCACATCGGTGAGGCCAAGGAGTGGATCGAGGACATCATACACAAGACGCTGCCGCCCATCGTGGAGCTCGAGGAGGCCCTGCGTGACGGCGTCACGCTTGCCGAGGTTGTTCAGGCCTTGAACCCGGACAGGTACTTTCGTATATTCTACCATAAGCGACTGCAGTACAGGCACTCGGACAACATCGACATCTTCTTCCGCTACCTCAACGAGGTCAACCTCCCCGATCTTTTCCGATTCGAGACCATCGACCTCTATGAGAAAAAGAACATCCCCAAGGTCATCTACTGCATCCACGCCCTCAGCTGGCTGCTCTTCCGCCTCGGCATTGTCGACTTCTGCATAGGTAACCTTGTCGGCCAGCTCGAGTTTGAGCACCACGAGCTTGAGGAGATGCAAAAGGGCCTGGACAAGCTCGGGGTGGGCATGCCCAGCTTCGGCAATATGGGCGCCGACTTTGGAGTCGCCGAGCCTGAACCGGAACCGGAACCTCAGGAGACGGAGCAAGAGAGGGTGGATCGGGAACTGGGCGAGAACGAGGCGTCTATTGTCGACTTCCAGGCTCAGATCCGTGGCGCCATGGTGCGCCTGAGACTTGGCGATACCATGCAGGTCCTATGGGACGAGGAGCCGTGGCTGCTGGACCTTCAAGCCCGGATACGTGGTGACTTTACCCGCCAGGTCATGGGCTACCGGATTGAGATGCGACGCTTCGCCACCAACCTCCAGAAGGCCGCCCGTGGCTTCCTCCTGAGGAAGAGGCTGCAGAAGAGCGACCGCCTCTGGAAGGCCCTGGAACCCAACGTACTGGAGCTCCAGAGCATGATCCGGGCAAGCAAGGCCAGGAATGAGGTGCGCCACCTCAAGTCCAGCTTGAAGCAGTGCAGCGGCCCCGTTCGGGACATCCAGGCCTTGTCCAGGGGCTTCCTGGCCCGCAAGAGCCATGTTGCGCAGCACCGCGCCGCCGAGAAGATGTCCTCCAACGTCCAGCAGCTCCAAGCCGTCGTCCGTGGTATGCTGGCCAGGAACGCCGTCAGCCGAGACCTCCACTCCCTCGAGAAGCAGGCTCCCAATGTGGCCCGTCTCCAGGCTGTGGTCAGGGCCCAGATGACCCGGGACCGAATTGCCCTCCAGAAGGAGCATCTCGAAGCAGCCGCACCCGCCTTCACGACCCTCCAGGCCTTTATCCGAGGACAGGCTGCCCGCGCCGAGACACAGGCAACACGGGCTGAGCTTCAACGACACACACCCGAAGCCACCCAGCTCCAGTCTGCGGTCCGAGCCGGCGCCGTCCGCCGCGAGATCGCCGAGAAGAAGGCCGCCCTCAAGAAGGAGGAGCCCTTCATCCAGGAGCTGCAGGGCGCTATCAGGGGTATGCTGAGCCGGGAAAGCATGCTCGCTGACATGAAGGAGATGGAGAAGCACACGCCATTCCTCATCGACCTGCAGGGCCGCATCCGCGGATACCTGTACCGCAGGCGCCACGAGGCCTTGATGGAGGAGCTGCAGTCGCACTACGACAAGTTCGCCTCGTTCCAGGCCATCCTGCGCGGCATCATGGAACGTGGACGGGTGGGCGACCTGCTCGCCGATCTGGAGGAGGAGGAGCCGTCCATCGTTGAGCTCCAGTCGGCGGTCAGGGGCTTCCTTGTGCGCGCTAAGTTTGAGGAGAAGAGGCGGTTCTTCAACGAGAACATGCAAAAGGTCATCAAGATCCAGAGCTTCGTGCGTGCCAAGGTTCAGGGCGAGGCGTACAAGAGCCTGACGACGGGCAAAAACCCGCCCGTCAACGCGGTCAAGAGCTTCGTGCACCTGCTCAACGACAGCGACTTCGACTTCAACGAGGAGGTCGAGTTTGAGCGCATGCGCAAGACGGTGGTGCAGCAGGTGCGGCAGAACGAGATGCTGGAGCAGTACATTGACCAGCTCGACATCAAGATCGCACTGCTGGTGAAGAACAAGATCACGCTCGACGAGGTCGTCCGCCACCAGCACAACTTTGGCGGGCACTCGATGGGCCTGCTGGCCAACTCGACCATCTCGTCGACCAACCAGTTCGATCTCAAGGCACTCAACAAGAGCTCGAGGCGCAAGCTCGAGCTCTACCAGCAACTCTTCTTCAACCTCCAGACGCAGCCGCAGTACTTGGGCCGCCTCTTCAGGCGCATTCGCGAGCAGGCCATGCCCGAGAAGGACAGCCGCCGCATCGAGCTCCTCATCATGAGCCTGTTCGGCTACGCCCAGAAGCGCCGCGAGGAGTACTACCTCCTCAAGCTCGTGGCCCGATCCATCTGGGAGGAGGTCGAGGGCTTCCAGAGCCTACAGGACTATCAGCGCTGCAGCTTCTTCTGGGCCAAGCTGTTGGGCAACTACACGCGCTCACCCCGGGACCGCAAGTACCTGCGCGACCTTCTGGGCCCGCTCATCCGGGACAACATTGTCGAGGACCCGGCGCTCGACCTGGAGAGCGACCCGATGCAGATCTACAGGTCGGCCATCAACAACGAGGAGCTCAGGACCGGAAGGCCCGACCCCAGGCCACTCGACGTGCCCCGAGAGGTGGCGATCCGTGACCCCGAGACGCGTCGCCTCTTCATCGACCATCTCCGCGATCTGCGCGAGATCTGCGACCAGTTCCTGCTGGCGCTCGAGGACCTCCTACACAAGATGCCATACGGCCTGCGATTCCTGGGCGGGCAGATGTTCCAGGCTCTGTCGGCGCACTTCAAGAGGGAAGCCCCCGAGCTTCTCCTCCAGACGGTATCCAACTGGATCTGGCGTTTCTACCTGCAGCCCGCGCTGATGATGCCCGAGAACGTGGGGGTCATCGAGAAAGGTCTGAGCCCGCTGCAGAAGCGTAATCTAGGCGAGGTGGCCAAGGTGGTGGGGCAGATAGCGTCCGGGCGGGTGTTTGGCGGCGACAACATCTACCTGCAGCCGCTCAACGCCTTCATCTCGGAGTCGATCGAGCGCCTGACGCTCCTGACGCGCGATCTCATCTCGGTGGCGGACGCGGAGAGCACGTTTGACATTGACGAGTTCAACGACCTGTACGCCAAGAACAAGCCGACGCTGTACATCAAGCTGACGGACGTGTTTGCCATCCACAACTTGGTGGCGGCGGAGCTCAGCTCCATGTGCCCGAACCGCGACGACGTCCTGCGCGAGATCATGCACGACCTCGGCAGCGCCAAGAGCAATGAGAACGAGATGATGAGCGCGGCCGGGACCTCCGAGATCAACATGTTCCTGACGCCCAAGCTGCACGACATCGAGGATCCGGAGGCGGAAGTCAAGGCCCTCTTCATGGAGACCAAGCGCTGCGTGCTGTACATCATCCGTGTGCAGACGGGCGACAACCTGCTCGACATCCTCGTCAAGCCCATCCTGGACGAGGACGAGGCCAAGTGGCGCGCGCTCCTGCACGACGACTTCGCGGACAGCGGCCACACCAGGGGCGCCTACTCGGAGACCAACATGGTGGACGTGACGCGCATGTCGTACTACGAGCTCAAGCGGACGGCCCTGGAGAATGTCATGCGTCTCGAGCAGATGGGCCGCATCTCCAAGAAGAATTTCTACCAGGACGTGCTCAACGCCATCGCCGTGGACATCCGCTCCAAGTCGCGCCGTCGTGTGCAGAGGCAGCGTGAGCTGGAGGGCGTGCGCATGACGCTCAGCAACCTTCATGACAAGGCCAAGTATCTCGAGCAGCAGCGAAAGAGCTACGACAACTATATTGAGTCTGCCATGGCGACGTTGCAGAGCAAGAAGGGGTATGCTTCCCTCTCCCCCTCTCTCTTCATCCTGTTCTTGCCACCTTCAATTTCTTTCTTGAAAGAAAAAGATGATGCACCCACCCCCCCTTGGAATAATGATGCTAACACAATCGATCAGGAAAAAACGCTTCCTCCTTCCCTTTACAAAACAATACAATCACCAGCGCGAGCTTGAGCGAAGCGGCCGGGTCCCCAAGTTTGGAAGCTACAAGTACTCTGCCCGGGCCCTGTCGGACAAGGGTGTCCTCGTCTCGTGGGAGGGTGTGACAGACCGCGACTGGGAGAAGATCAACCTGACCATCTCGTGCGACGAGGTCGGACTGTTCTCCCTGGAGGGCTCGAGGGGTTCGATTCAGATGCCCGGCGCCATCGCGCTCGTGCCCATCGAGGATCTCTTGCAGGCCCAGTTCGAGGCTCACCAGTTCATGAACCTCTTTGAGGGGAACTTGAGACTCAATGTCAACCTGTTGCTGCATCTTCTTTATAAGAAGTTCTACAGGACGCAGTAACGTGTTTCTTGACATGAACATTCTCATTTCTCTTTCTTTTTTTCCCCCCTCTCATCTCTTTTTCACACACACCTTTCTCTGTAGATTCTTTTTTTTCTCGTTCATCAGGCCCTTTGAGACGATTTCTCTATTCCACATGTTAGTCCTTTCTTTGAAAGGACATGTTTTTCCTTGCTCTTTCTTTCTTTCTTTTTTTTTTTTGGTTGGAAAGATACGAAGTCGCGGAAACTCATGGTTCACACACACACACACATACACACACACACACACACACACACACAAGAGAGAGATGGGGGGTGCAATGCAAGGGATCTGTTGACAACACACACTTGGTAAAGGGAGGGAAGAAGGAGGGGGATAGGGGGGGGGGGGGCATATCGGGATGGTGTTGGGTTTGTCTTGTCTTTTTCTCTCTCTTTTCATTTTACTTGTCCATGAATTCTCTTTTTTTTTATGCAGAAGAACAAAAAGGAGTGTGAACGGATTGATGGAAATGGTCAAATATTTTCTGCCTCCGCGTTTTCTTTTCTTTTTTATAACGTCTTTTTTTGTTTATATTGAATCTGAGATATCATGAGTTCCCGAGCAGTACATTTACGTTTTCTCGTCCTATTCATTCCATCCACATGTTGCATTTCTTGTGCGTACGTCTTTGCATTGTGTCTTAGTATTGATATGCGATGGAGCAAGTCTGAATCGAGTTGTAACAAGATGAAATATCCCAGCTGATGACATGTTGTACCATTTCATACTAAGCCAGAAAGACCGGTATAAGAGAAAAGAAGAAGAAAAAAGACGGACAGGGAGAAAAAAAAGGGGGTAAAAAAAAATGAAGAAGGGAAAAAAAAAAACCGGATTGACTCGCAAAGCCCGATTATTGACATTAATAACTGTCCATGACATGACTCGTGTTATCTGATCTTTACGTGATTGACTAGTAGATTCCATAGCTTGTCAAGAAAGAGAAAGAAGAAAAAAAAAACAAGGCAAAATATGAGGTTAAACGTAAAGTGTAAGGCGGTGGTGGGGTGGGACAACTGAGTAATGTCACATAATAATATTCACCAAACCCAACCCCCCTCCCTTCCCTTATTCCATCCCCTAAACCCCCCCCCCTCCCTTGGGGACTGTTATGCCCCCTCCCCTCATCCTGTCTGTGTCGTGAGAAGGGGGGGGGGAACAAAGAGCAAAGGAGGAAACAGGGTCAAGGGCATCTAGAAACTGCGCCGATAATACGACAGTCACATTACGCGTTTACATACGTGTAGGTAAATTCTCTCTCTCCTCACACCCACTCCCAAACTCTCTCACATGCGCTTCCCTCCCCTCCCTCGCGCCCCGGATACCAACGGCTCGTTAATTCCGTAGGATAGGCTCGACCGAGCAACAGGAAACGGACTGTCGCTCGTCGCGTCTGGCCTCTCAATGCCAAGAGAAGAGGAGAGGATGGCGAAGAGAGAGAGAGGCGAGCGATGGCCCGAGCAGGAAAAAAAAAAAAAAAGAGAGAGCAAGCGATAGCGAGGAGCCAACATGCATGTTGCGGCCGCCACTTTGTTGTGGAAGAGAGTCTTTCGGCCAGAGTGAAGAGAGAATGGGGAGGAAAGACAAAGAGAGATGGGTCGTCGGAAGCGGGCACGGAACGGCCGTCGGCGATGAGGGGCACCGTGGCGGGGCTCTATATCTGGCTTTTTTGTCACTCTGCGCTGCCGGCCCCCCCCTCCTTGTTGACGCTACTGTGAATGTGTCCCTTGAGAGGGATCAGCCCGGGCCAGCTGACAAGTCAAGAGGATTGTTCAGAGCATCCTTCCTATGGTCCACCCACATGTGATTGGGCGATATGCGTGGGTTGTCCGTAGTCATCCGTCGTCCCCTTTCTCTCTCTCTCTCTCTCTTCTCATGTGCGACGTTCCTCCGTTCGACGCACTTGGTGGCCAGGCAATGCCCGTATCGTGGCTGGGCGAGACCGTTGCCGGCAACATCGGCAGGATGCGAGGCATTATGCGAGGAGAGGGCCCAGAACCGTGAAGGGGGGTCCGCAGCGACTGATGGATGATGTGGTGATTTGTCGTTCCTTCCGGGCTCTTGCCATCCGTGGGACCGTCGATTGTTTCCCGACGCTACCTGCTGCCCTCGGAAAAAGGACCAGGGGTGATTTTTTCTCTCTCTTCTTTTCTGGTAGCGTATGTGGGCACCGGGGCAGACAACCCAAGACCGAACTGTAGACTGAGACGAGGACGGACGACTCAATGAGTCAGTAAGTCACGCGGACGAACAGCGACACCAGAGATGGCTGTGTCATCATCCCTCTCCATCCCTGCCCTGACTATCAACCGGCTCTTTGTTCTCGGGCATTTGTTTTCATGGTTCCTGGTCGTCATGTATCCGGTAGGTGAGTTTGAATGAGATCGTCACGGCCATGCTGGGTTGGACGGAGGACAGGCACAAAGATGGTGAGTGTGAGTAGTCCATGGCGCGCACCGTATAGATCAAACTCGAATTGCTAGCGGCGCGAGAGCGTGGCATTGCCGGGTCCTGGGACTGTATGTACTTATGTGCGGTGGGAAGGCGTCCCTTGGTTTATCTGAGGATCCCATGACAAAATTAGCCAATCGACCCCATGACCCATCTGACCTATTGAGTAGCTGTACTCGGTAAGAGGAAGAAGACGACGAAGGGGAAAAAAGTGGGAAAATTGTGCATGGAGCTAATGCGAGGATACTTGTAACCCTGTCCTCTGTAATCTGAAATCTGTACAGATTACGGAGTAATATATTAGTCTGTACTCGTAGTCTGTAATCTGTAGAGCTCGCCGGCTCGTAGGTTGGGCAATTACCCCCCCCCCCCCCTCCCCCTCCCCTCTCTCTTCGACCCCTCCTAGCAAGTTTTTTTTTTTTTTTTTTTTTTGGGCTGGTCTAAGCCGGAACAGACTTGTATGTCGCGTGTCACATCCATATACTTTGTTATCTGATGGATGCAGCGGGAACGACGGAGCTGGGATTGAAGAGACGTTGAGGAAACAAGCAGTCGCATGACAATGTACGATGATGTCGGGTCGCACAAGTCGGTGTCAGTGCAAAACAGTCTTCATTGTCGCCGGTCGTCATTCAGTCATCCACCCCCCATCAAGTGCTGCGGAGGTATCATTACGCATCCCCCCAGTATGGGGACGAGACACGAAACGATTGCGCAATTTGGCCTTCTCGTGACGAAATCTAACTGGTCTCTGACCGCATCTGTCCGGAACATATGCCAGACCACCCGGCAGATGCGAGGATAGTCGTCGAAACGGTGCTGAAATTCTCCGTGGGAAAGCCATGAAACCAATGCTGGTATTCGGGTCTTACGACTAACGGAGGTCTCGATCATGTAGGCTGCCTCTTTCAAGGGTGTTTTTCCTCTCCTATCAGTCACGGTGGTGGAGTAGGTAAACCCCTCGGTATGTATACTTTGCTGTCCTCCACATGAAATGTATTACTGATGGGCCAATAAGGCGAGCGCCATTCGAGATGGGAGAGGGGTAGAATAAAAAGAAAAAAAAACGGCAGAATGCTGATGGCCCAGGAGATAATCCAGTTCCCTCGTAGTTTTAGGTGGGTATGTGCTCCGTACTGGTTGCAAGTTGTATTGATGATAAATTGATTGAAGGAATATCGGACCATCTTGACATGACCAGGGTTGCTGCTTGGTGGCGGGGTATCGACATTGGCATTGGCTGTGTTCGGACTCGTCATCCTGAACTCCTACTCGAAACTCGACCTCTCCTGGGTTCGCTTGCTACCTGTATCTGTACTCATTCTCGCGGCCTGTATCCGCAGTTTGTGCTCGCAGCTTGTCCTCGTAGTCTCATGATGATTGGTCTGTGACACGTCCAAGACGTCGTACGTTGTCACATTGTCGTGCTTTAGCCTTCGACACCACATCGCCGGCAAGACGCCAAATGGGCAATCATTGTGAGCCACCGAGAGGCACACCCGAGGGCCACATCGCACAGGACCACCGGCGTACTTGTACACGTCGAAAAGAGGAAAGGAGCCCACCCACACTCAACCACAGGGCCGGTTTGCGCACGCCCACCGTCCTCCCTGGCGCAACCCCCGGGGTGCAGTGGCGGTGGGGGTGAGCGCGGGGGGGGGGGGGGGGGGGGGGGGGGGGGGGGGGAGCGAGTGTTGGGGTGAGTTGAAAGTTGAGACGTCAGGCTGCGCGGCTCTGTTCGATGCAGGGCCCAGGGGTTAGCAGCAAGTCCGGGAGTGTGGGAGGGGGGGCTCGCGCGTGCGAATTAAACTGTCCTCGGTAGTAAGCGGTATGGTGGTGGTGGTCTGGGGTGTGTCTGTCTGGGGGAGAGAAGAGGAGATTCAGTGGAATTGTTGACCCGTAAGCTACAGCTGTGGTAGTCGAAGGTGGAATGGCCAATGTTGGTACTAATAATCCTCCGCTCCGCAATCTGTACTTGGAGATGCAATACTCGTGGTATTAACACTAGACGGATCACGTCCATGACGAGCACAGGCCAGCACGCCATTATCCAGCACGCCATCACCCAGCACGTCATTCCTGTGCCGCCCAAGAGTCGACGTATTTCCGTGGCAATCAAGAATGGAAGGGAGGGGAGGGGAGCTCGGAGTTGGCAGGTCATGTCTCCGACTTGAGCCGGTCGGAGAGAGAGAGGTGAGAGGAGAGGAACGAGGGATAATGGTGCGTATGTGCCCACATGATGAAGCTGCTTTTCGTCCTCCGAATGGAATAAGCAAAATAATAAAATAGTAAAATAAAAATAAAAACGAAGGACGAGGTGCATATGCTATACGGTGTTCATCGAATATCAAGATGCACTGTATAGATTTCCGGCTGCGACTCCTCGGGGGAAGGAGCACGCGTGTGACGCCTGCCATTTAAGCCCGCAAAGCGGTGTGGGAGGGCAGGAGCAGACCAAGAACAGGAAGGAAGGCACTGGGGCAACAGCGACCGACTACTCGATTGGGCGAAACGGAAGCTGCGGTTGGCTAGCTCATCTTTGCAGCTACTGCACTAGGCCGCGCTCTGCCAACTACTCTTCTGACTCCCTTCCTGCGGCCTGCTCCGTGTAATAGGCAGTAATGATATACTATTTTCTTTACTCCGTACAGAGAGAGTAAAAACTTTTTTTTCAACCCCAAAACTCCCATACTGTACCACACTGTATAGACGAAGCACGACCACAAAGCAGGCATCCATACCGATTTTTTTTTTCTTTCTTCCTCTCTCACTCTATCGCACGTTTCCCTCACTTTCCCTCATCAATGAACCCACCATCAGAAGCGTATAACTCGTATTGAATCGTAGAGTCGGGGAAGAAGAGAGTGGGAGAAAGAGGGAGCGATATGCACCTGTGTGTTGGCCTCTCCCCGTCTCCTCACTCCATCCACCCTGCCATCCCGTCTACTCCGTTTACTATTACCATACCATCATGCCTCGGACAGATACGGAGTATTGAATCCCCAGACCACAGGATGAGGTGCTGGCCGTGTCAGAACTTTTTCCGGCAGGCTCACCTTTTTTCTTTTCTCTCTCTCTCTCTCTCTCTCTCTCTCTTTTCATAACTCGAAATTCAATATATTGGATACAGATGGATGATGGGATCGATGCCGATTCATCGAAACTCGTTACTTCTCTTGATCGACGCAGTGACCCCATCAACGGTGTAGAACGTGCTCATGCTGGTCAATCACGCCAGACCGACCATCTCATTTACATCTACACCCCGGATAATTCTACGGGGGAGTACTCGATACAGGAAAGGAGGATATCGGTGGTGGGCATATCGCAGCCTCGCAAAACGTACGTCAGCTCTCGGCATATACGGCCTATCTTCTATTTTCTCTCATTTTTCTTTCCCTTTTCTTTTCTTTTCTCTCGTCTCACCCGGACACGCTAATGCACGAGTATCAGAATGGTAGGGATCCCTCGAATTATTTACGATGAATATTATTACTGTAAAGCAATACCGTACACATGGCATCATCCCCTAGACTTGCATCCTCCCCTCCACCCCCCTGGTCCCCCTCCGGCTATGACTCCGACCCCCCGTTTCGTCCTTGTCGAAGCCCACTATTTCTGTCCTCACTTTTTACTAGTAATGGTAATATACTAGGCTCTAGTTGGTAATAATACTGCATATATATGTAGTGGCATCGTAATAATACCTGTCTCTGTATTACGACCATCTCTCTCCATCTCTTTCCCACTCTAGACCCGTACGTCGTATCCCTTTCCCCCAGTGTCTCGATCGCTTTCCGCATCTGGAGTACCTCCTTGTTTTTTCTTTTATTTTTTTTTCTTCCCATCTTTCATAGCACTACCCCGTATATGTACTCCGTATACTGTATCTTATTCTGCAAATACTACCAGTATTACCATCTACTACTACTACTACTACTATTAATACTACTACTACTATTGATGCTACTACTGCTACTACTACTCCTGCTACTGCTACTGCTACTTGCTAATAATAATACTAGTACTGCTCAAGTATGATTAGCCCATCGCCGAGTACCGAAGTATTCCTCATATTGCTTGGCCACGAATACTCCAAAATCACACACCTCCCAACTGACTCTCCGTCTTCCCGTACCTTCTATCCTTCTGCTGCTGGTAGTACAGCCCGTCGCCACCTCTGTTCCGCTTACCTACTAATAGACCATCTTCCTCCCACGTCTTGGACCTCCTCCTCTCCCTTCTCTTCTCTCCTCGTTCTATAGCTACTCTCTATTCTCGTCGCCCTCATCGGCCTCCACTACCTGACCTCTTCTCTCTCCCTCCCTCCCACCTCCCTTGACTTAGAGGTCCCCTATCTACATACACCTCTCAAGAGGCCACTCTCAAGAGGCCACTCTCAAGAGGCCACACACCACATCCCGCCTCCTCCCTCTCGCACATCTCCACATCAGACAATGGCCCCCGACCTCAACTCCATGCCCACCTCGGCCGCCCCCTCAGCCGGTCCGGGCCCGGGTGACGGCTCTCAGCCCAACATCCTGTACATAATGGCCGATCAGCTTGCAGCTCCCCAGCTCAAGATGTACAACCCCGACTCCCAGATCAAGACCCCCCACCTTGACCACCTGGCCGCCCAGGCCGTGCAGTTCGACTCGGCCTACTGCCCTTCGCCGCTCTGCGCTCCTTCGCGCATGAGCATGATCTCGGGCCTGCTGCCCATGAAGATTGGCGCCTACGACAACGCCTCGCAGATCGGCTCCGACGTGCCCACCTACGCCCACTACCTGCGCAGCAAGGGGTACCACACGGCCCTGGCCGGCAAGATGCACTTTGTCGGCGACCAGCTGCACGGCTATGAGCAGCGTCTGACCAGCGACATCTACCCCGGAGACTTTGGCTGGGCCGTCAACTGGGACGAGCCGGACACCCGCCTGGAGTGGTACCACAACGCCAGCTCCATCCTCCAGGCCGGCCCTTGCGCGCGCAGCAACCAGCTCGACTACGACGAGGAGGTCATGTTCAAGAGCACCCAGTACCTGTGGGACCACGTGCGCGAGGGCCCCGACAAGCGCCCCTTCTGCCTGACCGTCTCGCTCACCCACCCGCACGACCCCTACACCATCACGCGCGAGTACTGGGACCGCTACGAGGACACGGACATCGCCCTGCCCAAGGTGCGCATCCCCAAGGAAGAGCAAGACTCGCACTCCAAGCGCCTGATGCACGTCTCGGACCTGTGGAGCCAGGACTTCAGCGACGACCAGATCAAGCGCGCCAAGCGCGCCTACTACGGCTCCGTCAGCTACGTCGACGACAACGTCGGCAAGCTGCTCCGCACCCTCGAGGACGCCGACCTGGCCGATAACACCATCGTCATCTTCTCCGGGGACCACGGCGACATGCTGGGCGAGCGCGGCCTCTGGTACAAGATGAGCTACTTTGAGCCGTCCGTCCGCGTCCCCATGCTCATCAGCTTCCCCAAGTGGTTCCAGCCTCACCGCGTGTCCCAGAACGTCTCCACCCTCGACATCCTCCCCACCCTCTGCGACCTCATCGGCACCAAGCCCGCCGCAAACCTGCCGATGGATGGCATCAGCATGCTGCCCCACCTCAGGGGCGACGAGGACGGCCACGACACCGTCTTCGCAGAGTACACCGGCGAGGGCACCGTCCGCCCCCTCTTCATGATCCGCCGCGGCCCCTGGAAGTACATCACCTGCCCGGCCGACGAGCCTCAGCTCTTCAACCTCAAGCGCGACCCCCTCGAGCTCGACAACCTTGCCCGCTTCCGCAAGATCGAGCCGACCACTCCCGAGGAGCAGGAGGCCCGTGAGGTCTTTGCCAAGTTTGACGCCGAGGCTTCCGCCAAGTGGGACTACGACGCCATCACTGCCCAAGTCTTCCACTCCCAGCGCACCCGCCGTGTTGTCTGGGACGCTCTCAGGGTTGGAGAGTTTGACAGCTGGGACTTCAACCCCAACGATGATGGTCGCAAGAAGTGAGTCACCTTTCACACTCTTCCTGTATATCTGCACCTTGAGAGGGAAACATGACGCTGACAATCGAACCAGGTACATCCGGTCCACCATTCCCCTCGATGACCTTGAGCGTCGTGCTCGCTACCCCTTTGTCGATGCTTACGGTGGCCACAAGGCTATCTCGAGCCTTCGCGGAGCCTAATCTCAGCAAGCCTTTTTTTCGCATTTTTTGCCCTTTCTTCTTTGCTTCTATCATTGCCTCATCTTTTTTTTTTCTCTTTTTTTTCTTCCGTTTTCATGTCAAAAAAAGGAAAAAGAAGACTCGTGTAGATTTAGCGAGTTTTGCTTCGTTGCGTTATGATGACTCCGCATCTGTGATTTATACCAAAAAAAGAGACTCTGTACTGCTTGAAAAACAAATGGCATTCCATCTTATCTGTTTCCCTGACTTCCTTGCGCTGGTGTCGGGATGCCTTTTGTCTCGTCTCTCGTCTCTTCTTCTATACCACTTGCACCCTCGCAGTTGCTTCATATATCTTGCTTTTTCGCTTCCCGCATCAGATAGCATTACGAAATAGAGGGAGGGGTATGACGAACATCTGATATCTAGAATATTGACTACTGCAGGTGACAGAACTGAGAAAGTTGACTCGTGCTGTGGTGAGTGCAAGCAATACTGTGTCGTATCCCCGGCGTCGCATGTAGAGGTGGCTTGAAAGAGGTTCAGATTGAAATCAAACTCGGGAAATAGCGACGCCAATCCAAGACGACTGGCATCGCTGCCACATCAAATGACAAGCTCAACGAGAGGCAGTCGGATAAACTTCCCGGAAGCCCCGTTACAAACCTGTCCAAGACTTCAACGTAAGCGGAAAGCAAGTAGGGACTAGAGAGTATCAGATGCAATGCACGCAACGTGTCTGGCACAAGATGAGGAAGCTGGGATAGATTCCTGTAGGATCGATAAGGACGCCTATTTCCCCGTAGAGCCTGTCTTCTCCCCTTGATGCTAGGAAGACTGGCAGCAAACCTTCTCGGCTGGTCACTCCGCCTCATAGATTGTCGGCCTCCCAATAAGATGACTTTATCGTGGACTGGTATCGGAGCTTTGACTGCAGCCCTCGGCACCGACATCTACCAGCTCAACAATCAGCACACATGTAGGCAATGGCACGACTACTGCCAGCACCCCGAATGTACCTGATGCTAGCACACCATGGCCCTAACGTATCGGGTTGCGGGTGGGGCCGGTGAGAGCTCATCTCCGACACACGGTCACCGGCGCCCGGTTATGTCCGGAGAGCATGGCTCCCGTGCGCGTCCGACTCGGTGAGTGACCCCCACACATCGCATCTGGTTCCAGTCATCGGTGCGAGAGCAATGACCTGCTTACGAAGTCACGGACATGTACGTTTAGAGGGAGGATGGTGAGCGGTAGACGTTTCGCAAAATCCGTTTGTCTGATACGATGCCGCAGCGCGCTCGCGGTTTGCGGCTTTCGACAGCGCCGATCGAGGAACTCCGTAGTCGCCTGCAAGACTTGCAGCGATCTACTACAGGCCTGGTTGGTTCACGTCGAGCCGACCGAAGTACTAGAGGCCGTCTTGCTGATGGATTGTCGATCCAGCGGTGCGAAGCTATCAAGGGTGGGTGGATACAGAACGGACCGAGTCTGACATCCGAGCCTGCTACAGAAGCGACCTGGGACCAGACACGGCTGGGAGAAGATGTTTAAAGGGAAAAGCGTGTACCTGAATGACGTGGAAAGTACGGGAACATACAAGACGCATCATCATGTTCATTCGAAGTTGCTTGCTGTCTGATCCCTTTCTCTGGCGTGGAGCTCTTGAAAGGGAAGAGGGGGTGGGGTATAATACCGATAAGATGTCGCCGATAAGGTCACGCTGGGAAAGTCCTGAAAGAAAGACGGAGAGCTCCACAAAGCTCTGCCGTCTTTCCCATCATCATCATCAGTAACATCACGCCAAAAACAGGGATTGCGCCCCAAAAACTAGGCCAAATCGCCATCTGAATAGGCCTACCGGATCCCCACACTCCGCATACTCTGCAGAGGAATATACGCGCTCCTACCCGCTATGGCGACGCTGATGCTGGATGACGAGGAGTTCAAGTCACTGGAGCAGATCCTCAGCCGTCTGGCCCAAGTAACTAGCAGCATACAGAGTCTGCGAACTGACATACTCAAGAGCAATCCCCTACCAACGACGTACGTGCAGAGCCGCCTCCCTCATCCTCCACAGACCAGCCCCCTCCCCGACCCAGGGAAAAAAAGGCCGCGGCAATCGTCGTCGACTAACTCGTGTCGCTCCACCAACAGATCGTCCCTCCAAGCCTCGGCGCAAATCATCCAACGAAATCTCCAGGGCCTCCTCGACAGCCTCAACGACAATGCCATCCTCCTAAACCGCATGGTCATCCACCCGTCCCCCAGCTTCCCCGGTCGCACGCAAGAAGGTGTTCTAGGCCAACTCCTACGAAAGAAGCTCGAGCCAGACGTGGAGGAGCTCGTTGCCCGAGGGAGGGAGATGGGGCGGGAGGCCATGGCTACGCCCGAGGGGCTGGCGCGCATGAGCGACGTGTGGGGCGACGTGCGTGACTGGGTTCAGCGCCGTATAGCCCAGTACGTGGGTGAGGAGGCCGAGGATGTGTATACCAAGGAGGAGAGGGAGATGGGTGTGGAGAATGTACGGACGGGGCTGAAGCGGAATCTTGAAGACGACGAGGATGACGACGATGACGATGACGACGACGAAGACGGTGATAGCGGTGCTGGGGGAGGAAATAAGCAGCAGCAGCAGCAGCAGCAGCAGCAGCAAGCGATACGGGGTCCCGAACCGGAAACCCTCTTGTGGTTCGCGACGAGGGGTGATTTCGGAGTATTGCCGAATATCAAGTTTGAGCGCAAGGAGAACGTCTACAGAGGTCTGCAGGGTATCAATGTCCCCGCGCAGGACGAGGCTATGCACAGTGTGTCGCAGCAGCAGCAGCAGCAGCAGCAGCAGCAGCCGTAGCGCGGCGACGGCGAGAACAGTGAGAGAGACCAAGACACGGACGCGACTCTGACGGACCGTGAGAGGGAGCGACTGAGAGATGTCAGCCCTGCCGACGTTTAGTCCTTAACCTGTTGTCCCTACCAAGGAACCAAGATGTCTGCCGAGATCCGGGATACCTGGTCTTGGACGCAAGGCGCATCATGCTGCACTACACGGTCATGACTCTTGCCCCGAATACAACGAACAGGAAGAGAGAGAGAGAGAGAGAGAGAGAGAGAGAAGAGAACAAAAGGGATTACACGGTATCGGATACAACCCACCGGGCGTTTGTTTATATGTCTTCTATTATACCACGGAGGCGTTGCTTCGGATTGAATATGGATGGGCCTTGAAAGAAACTAGTTGGGAAGAGGGAGGTGGAATCAAACCAAATAGGGAAAATAGGGAAAATAGGAAAGAAATACACACGGAATCATCAGCCAATCATTCCTAGCTATAGACGAGAGAGGTATCAGCACACCGTGGCTAAATTGCAACGCTTCATCTTCAACTCTTGTCAGAGGATGAGCAGATGAGCCATTACTAATAAATTCCGACACCGTTTCACGCATCGATTAACTTCTCCCTCTCATCCCCGCAGAACAAGCAAGAGCCCGTCATCTACATCAGAGCTACGAGCGTGAATTCTTCATTCAGCGGGTTTCTTCTTCTTCCTGTTCATGTTCCACCCTTTTATATATCAGTTCCTCTAGTTGGTCTAGCGTGTGTGCTGTTGGGCGTCGGTTCAACACAGTTCGCGATACGCTCAGCGCGACTTCGAAGAGAACGAGGCAGAGAGACGAGCATCGACGTGTTGCGACAAGAAAGAACCCGACAGAGAGAGAGCGAGCTGATACGGCGGAAACTGCACAGCTAAACCACACCGGTACATATACCGCACGACGGCCAACATGGATGCACGATGCCAGTGCGGCTCTGTCGAGTTTAAGACGCCTCTGGACAAACCTCTTGCCCTGTACATCTGTCACTGTCTAGACTGTCGTCGTCAGACAAGCTCGGCATTCGGGGCATCGGCCATTTTCCCTGTCTTTGAGCTGCCCAGGTCAGAGCTGTTGAGCTGCTACTCGTATGTTGTCAACCGTCAACGTCCTCCCCCCCTTTTCCTTTCCTGTTCACGCCGGAATGCGTGCTGACCCCTCCGCACCAGACGACCCGTTGACTCGGGCCAGACTCTGTACTGGTAAGTTGGGGGGATGCTGGGCTTATGCAAGATACTCCCCCCCCCCAAGACTGACATGTGCGTGCACAAAGCTACTTTTGTCGCAACTGTGGCACACGCCTCTTCCACACTACACCGGTATGCTTGAATCCGGGGTGAGAGAGAGCGTGAGAGAAGAAGAAGAAGAGGGCAGATAAAGGAGAAATATGTATATGCATATGTATATGTATAACTGACTAGATAATCAGGCACGAAACGTCGTCTCCATCAAGGCTGGGTGCATCGAAGGTCTAGACTGGAACAAGGCAATTCACATCTGGACAAAGAACGCCATGGTACCTATCCCCGAAGGCGCTGAGACTCATGCCCAGGAGGCAGGGTACCTGTCGTATGGATCCAGCATGTCGGATTTAGACCAGCCTGGTCCGCTGGCTGGTAGCGGCCACTGTCACTCTTCCGAGTTCAGCAGCAGCAGTGGTAGTGCTACTGGTTAGTACTCGTAACATCGCACGAGTTCTCGAGAGGCTATCCATTGGGGGGGGGGGGGGTCACGCACACACACACACACACAGAGAGAGAGAGAGAGAGAGAGAGAGGGCCAGTACCTACCCCCCTCGAATCTCCCCCTTCACCACTCCGGCCCTCCCGACCCATCGGTTGCTTCGCTTTCAACGCGGGTATTAGGATGAAAGTACGAAGTAGGGGTGTCAGAAATGGGGGCCATCGACCAGTCAATCAACTGGAGGGCCTGAAAAGTCATGAGCAGAGAAGGGGAGAAGGGGATGATGCCAGGACACACACAAGAGAATTCTTGCTGCTGAGACCCTGTGTTCTCGTACAAGTTCACGCACAAGCACATACATATACATACATTGTGCTTCTGATTGATAGGCTTGGATAGGATGAGCCTTTTCTGAATTTGGCCTGCCAAGTTTCGAGATGTAACGAAGAAGTCAGAGCTGCATCGCCAAGACGCATACTCTCCAATACAGATGCCGGAAAAATAAAACACAGTAATGAGGGAGAGAAACAAATTGAAGACGGTACATCCTCCGTCATACAGATTGAATTCACGTGATTATTGCAAAAGCTTGATTGATGTGTCTACATGTACTCTGTATGGCAGGTGACGATGGAAGCTCGCTCCTTCCGTGGTTTCATCTCATAATAGTACGAGTATATTCCCGCTCCCCTCATTTCTCTGCACACCAATATTTCTCTATCATCGCCGGCATTCAACATCAATCCCTTCTTGCTACTGAGATCGCTTCTCAGTATTACCTGTATTATATGTAATATGTTGTACGAGCAACGCAGGTCTCGTTCTCGTACCTGAAAACTGTGGATTTCAACTCATCCAATTCCATTATGCCGACACACCCGCATGTTCATCCCGAACAGGACGACCCCACCACTGGAACCCTGCAGGCTGCAAGTCGCAACCAGCAACACGCGCGCGCGATCTCTCATGACGTGAACACTACCCAAGGGAAAAGGAGGGAGGATGGGAAAAAAACATTTAGTGGGAATCTTGATACAATCGCCGACATGGGAATCGATTGACGTTTTTTGAGCGTTCTCGGCCCGTCGGAGAGGGGGCTTGCTTTGCTCACAGTCATCTGGCTTACGGGCCATGGCCGTGGCCCCCTCAAAACCCTTACCAAGGCAGGGGTGTCCTCTGTGCGTCTCAAGTCCCTGTCCTGAAGGCAAATATCGCGACAGGCCTCGTTTGGGATTCCCCGTACCACTTACTGAAGAACAGGGGTGCGACAACTCCCCGACCTCGAAGGGGTCAATACTGAGTAATGAAGAATTGTCAGCTGTCTCTCTCTCTCTCTCTCTCTCTCTCAGCGACGGGCCCCCCTTTCCTTTCTGGCTTCACTGACACCAGGACACGTACTTGCACACGTACTTGCACGATTTACGAAACTCGACCGCGCGCCAAGCTGGATTCTTGAGTGTTTTGTCCTCGAGTCCCCAATCTTTTTTTTTCCTCTTCCCCTCCTTCTTTTGCTTTCTCTTCCTCTTCAGGTATCTTACATTCGCTTCATCGGACGCCTGGTACTGCGCCATCTAGACTTTCATTCACTTCTTTTTCCTTCACTTCTTCTTCTACTTCGTTGCTCTTCGATATTTCGCTTCTTTCTTCAATCACCGGCACAGGCTGGGCCTGGCTGTGTATATTGTCATATTCTTTATTATTGAACTTTGCTGGAAATACTCTTTGTCTTTGACAGACCGTTACACATTTCTCGATAATAAGTCCTTAGAGGAGACACACACGACAGAGTCGAGATGCGTTCCGGACTTCTTCTCCTTCCTATCTTGGGTCTTGGCGAGGTAGGCACATGGTTATCCGACATCTCATGGAGGAGGTGGTGGTTATTCCTTTTCTTTCAACTAACCAATATTATAGGCCGCCGCCCTCAAGTCATCGCGGGAAGCTCGCAGACTCGCCATCCAGAACGAGGTCTTCGCCAAACTCCAGGAGAGACAAGATTCCAACAATGGCATCTGCAAGACGGTGACCGAGACTATCCATCACACCGTCACGGTCGGTGCTCCTCTCGACGCCCGGAACTACAACGCGGACGCATTCGAGGGCTTTGTCATCTCCTTCGTCCCCACGACGCTTCAGGACGGCCAGGTGTCGACCATGACTGTCTCCGTGCCGGCTGCTGGCGTCACCAACACCCCTCAGGCTACTACTCCCCAGGCTACTACTCCCCAGGTTGGCGGTGACAGCGGGGCCGTCGTCACCGTGACCCAAACCCAGGCCTGCCCCGCGCAGAACACCCCCGCCCAGGGCACTCCCGTCCAAGATACTCCTGTCCAAGATACTCCCGCACAGGACACTCCCGCGGCCACGCCATTCACTACGATAGGATCGACACTGCCTGTAGTTCCCCCCGTCGTCGTCAGCCCCGGCAGCCAGAAAGACAGCGGTGTCACCACAGTTCCGATCCCAGTGGCTGACTTGCCCACGACAACCTTTTCGCCCACCCCCTCGCCCATCTCCCCAGCCGACAGCAGTGCTAGCGGCGGTAAGCTACCATTACCCCATCGCATGTGACACATGTAGATATTGGATAGTGGCAGCTGCTAACTGCCTCGCAGGACAAGACACCCAGCAAAAACAGTCCCCCGCTCCACCCACTACCGCCTCTGCCCCGGCTGTCACCTCTGCTCCGGCCGCCACTTCTGCCCCGGCCGACACCTCTGCTCCGGCTGACACCTCTGCCCCGGCCGACACCTCTGCCCCGGCCGACACCTCTGCTCCAGCCGACACCTCTGCTCCGGCCGCCACTTCTGCGCCACCTGCCACGACAGCTCCGCCTACGACCACCTCCGAGGCTACCACCAGCCCTCTGAGCGAAACGCAGTCGCAAGAACAGCCAGTAGCCAGCAAGCCCGACCAGGCGGCACCCGCTGACGGCGCCGTCGACACGGACTTGACGACGACCCAGGCGGCAGCCACCACGACGGAGCCTCCCCCCATTGATATCTCCAGCTTCAGCCTGAGGAGTGAGCTCGACCTCGGCAACCTGGCTGCGCGGACGGAGATCCCGGCCCCCCCTAAGTCCACCGACGCTTGAATTTTTAGGGCTGCTGGAGATGGTGCCAGAGGTGCGCGGAGTGGCTTTTTTCCAGTCTCTTTTCTTGGAAGGAAGTGATGTGCCAAGGTTCCTGATTAGCATGGAGGAGGATATTTTAGGATTCTCTCTTGATGCCGAATGTCGTTAATACAAGTAGATGGTCCGTTGGCATAAGAGTAACTGTCATTCAGATACCCGTTTGGGTTGACAGTGGAAAACCCCCATTGTATTATTCTGCAGAATCCTCTGCTGTTTATATATGCAATATATTCTCGTGGGTATCGTCGATGATGATGCAATGTGAAGAAGAAAAAAACAAGATGGCTGTAAGCACATGTACTGTTCAGGTAGCCTCGCGCGGCACGACCCTCATTTTCTTATTATGCGGGCCATTCCCAGACTGGGTCTGATCGCCTTTGCGCTTCTGCTTCTTGGATTTGCTGCTGCTGCTGCTGCTGTTGTTGTTGTTTCCTGTCTGGGCCTGCTCGGAAGACGGGGTCGTCCCGGCGACAGTAGCATCCTTATTCTTGGAGGCGGGTGGCGGCGGGGCGGGAACGGTGTGGACGATGTTGACGACGCCCCTGAATCCTGACCTCTTGATTCCCTCGTTCACGACGACGGACCGGGGCACGGCGCCCAGGGACTCCATGCCCTTCTCGGCGGGGAGCCCCCAAACGCTGAGCAGGTTGGCCACGTCGGCGGGGGCGCGCAGAGTCAGCGGGCCGGTGGCCTCGCTGCTGACGACGATGCCCCTGCCCCTGGTGGCCCTGACGAGGGCGGTCGTGTTGGCGATGAAGGAGGCGCGAGCGCGGTGGTCGGCGGAGGGCGAGAGAGCCTGGGCGTAGCACACCTCGAAGCGGAGCCCGCGAGACACGGCGGCCATGCAGGTCTTGGGCTTGAGGAAGAAGGGCAGCTGCTGCGTCATGTCGAGCGAGATGAGGGGCACGTCGAGCGTCAGGCAGGCGTTTGAGAAGGCGCGCTCGGTCTGGGGCCGCACGGCGAGTATGTCGTACGCCTTGACCAGCGTCTGGAGCCGGTAGTTGGACGATGAAGGGTCCGAGAGCGGCAGAGTCGCGCGCCTCAGGACGTTGGGGAACCTCCTCCCACTGCCGCCGCTGCCGGTGGACGGGTCAGGTATGTCTTTAGGGAAAGGCGCCGTAGGGTTGGACGGCGGCGCCTGGGTGAAGGTGTGGTTCAGGGCGACGGTGCCGTAGCCTAGCGATGAGGCGAGCGTCAGGGTCTGGATGAGCTGGTCGCGTGTCGTCTGGGGAGACCAGGGTATGTTGAGATCGTAGAGCATGATGGGCTCCTGTTTTTTTCCTCTTCTCTTTTTTTTGTTCGTGACACAGCTTTGTGAACTGTTGTTGATGGTTTGCTGAAACTACTAGTAGGCAGTAGTATTGAAATCGACGTGATAATATATCAACAAGAGGAAAAGAAGAAGGAAAGACAAAAAAAAAAAAGAATGATCATAGTGGGTTAAAAAATAAGACCAAGTGTGGGGGCTAAATTATATGATACGCGCTAAATTAGCCCACTACTAACAATAAGGTGCTACCCATATGACGCACTGTAAAGCTGTGCTAAACCATTAGTAACTATTTACGAGTACCGAGTATAAGAACAGGAATTCATATAATAATAATACTCCGCACTGATTAATAACAAAAGAGCTGGTTTCGGCCGCTAACTTGAAGAGAACGAACTAAGCCACACTGTCTGGGGTTGCATTGCCGTCATGCCGTCCAAATCTCTCTCCCTCTTCAAGTCCTACCACCTCTGGGCTCCCTCCCCTTGTTGATTTATTCTTTTTTTTTCTTCTCCCCATCTACGCCTTATATAGATTGGCCACTGCTTATCTTGTTTCTTAATCTTATCTTTCCCCAACCCATCCGAGTACATCCATCTATCCCTATTTCATCTTGTAATCGTCGGATCTGACGCGTATCACGAGTCAAGGACGTCCCCCCATCGCTTCGACCACGCCATAATACACCACGCGCGACCCGGCTATTATATACTCGTACGACTCTATCGCAGGTACAGACGCAACCACATACACACATCCATACCCACGCTCCCGAGCCGAGGACGCATACGTCGAGAGAGAGAGAAAAAAGGAAAGGGAAGGAAAAGAGCGGAAGAAGGAGAAATCGCCCAAAATGTTCTTCTTCTTCGTCTGCGGCGAACATACCTTCCAGAGCGACGTAGAGGGTTACGAAAACATCATCTGCCAGTGTCACAACTGCGGCAACATGTCTGGTCACGTTCTCAAGCGTCGACCTTTTTTTACATTTTGCTGGATCGTAAGTTTTCCTCTCTTTCTTTCTTACTTTTCTTTTCTTTTTTTTCCCCCAAACTTACCATTCTCCTCCGTCCACAACATCCACTCTCTCCCAAAATGCTAACCTTTATTCGCATGCCAGCCCATCATCCCTTTCACCATCTCCGGATACAAGGATATATCATGCCACATCTGCCGATTCAACGAGCCCCTCGAGAGACGTCCAGACGTCCAGTCCATGAAGAACGGTGGTGTTCCACCCCAGGCTCAGCAGGGCCAGCAGTTCCAGCCGCAGGGTTACCAGGGGTATACTCCCCAGCAGCCTCCTGATGGGCAGGCTTGGGGGAACGGTCCCCCAAAAAATCAGCAGCAAGGTGATAGGTATGCCTAGACGCCACTTCGAGTCTGGCTGCTTCTTTCCTCTTCCTGTTTTTCAGAGGAAAAGATGAGGATTTCCTTTCGTCTTGTTTTGTGCTCAGCTGTCGTTGTACTGTTTTTTTCTTCTTATTTCCCCGTTTTGTTATGGTGCTGAGGAGACATGGAAGCGAGCGTGATACCCGGAGTAGTTGTGGTGGTCGTATAAACCAGGGAGGGCGTTGTGAGATTTCGGCCAGAGTTATTCGGATGAGGCGATTCTATCATCATTTCAAGACATGTCATGTTTGAAAATCAGAATGCCATTAGGCATGGTCGGGAACTAGGGTATCCGTCTATACACAGTATACCAGAGACATGACAAAAAAAGAAGACTCAACTATCGCTCCCTGAACCTTCACCTGCCGATTTCCCGCTGACCCTGAGGCTCTCCTCTATTGCCCTCTCGAGATCACCGTCATCATCCTGCGACTTCTTACCCGTCTCCTGCCTCGACTTTCTGATCTCCTCCTCTGCAACGCTCTGCTTCTTGACATAATCCATCACGATCTCCTCTTCTCTCTTCTCTCTATCCGCCTCGCTCCGTGACGCCTCTATGGCCCGCTGCAGCTCTGCCTCGTCGTCATTGCCATCGCCATGCTGCGGAGGTTGCTCCTGGTAAGCTGGCGGTTCAGCTGCCTTCCTGGACTCTTCCATGGCGCGCTTGAAATCGCCGTCGTCGTCATGCCGCCGCGCTGACCCCGCGGCCTCTGAAAGCCCAGACTCCTGAGGGAAGTGCGGCCCGCCATCTACCATACTTTCCCTGATGGCCTTCTCGATGAGATCGCGGTACTCCTCATCCGTGATCTGGTACTCCTTGTCCTCGAAGATGTTTGGATCCTTCTCTGACGACACGGTGTCTCCAGCCGGCATGACGGGGTCCGGCAGCTCACCCCGCTCACGCACAGCATTGACGCTCTGTCGGATGGCGTCTTCGACGGCCGCGTCCTCCTCAGGGTTCCCTCGCGATGTCTCACTTACGGAAGCAAGTATGGCCTGCTCGAACTCGGCGTCCTCGGAGGCTTTCTGATCAGCAGCGGCTGTGGCAGCGGTGACAGGCCTCTTCCCCTCCTTACGCGAGTTGTACTTGGACCTCTCGTCTCTCAACCGCTCGTCCAAGAGCGACAGCTTGCCCATCCATCCCGCACGCGCACTTGCAATGGTAGTTTGCAGATCATGCGGAATGTATGAGGACGATGATGGTTCGGCAGAAGCACTCGGCGACCTAGACCCTTGAGCTGCATAGTCCTTCTTCCGTAGACGATCGAGAGTCTTGCGGTCGATGGCGCCGCTGGACCAGCGGCCTACAATGTCATCTCGCTCTTCGGCGCTGGAGGCAGCCAGATCCCTCTGACTCTGGATGATTCTCGACGTGATGATGTAGTTCTCGTTGCTCTTGGCGAAGAGCTTGGTCACTTGAGCGTGAACACCTTGCATGGTGTAGGCTGGAACGGCCCAGGCTCCTGTCATGATAGTCAGTCGCACGTCGCCCAGGGCGGGGTCAATGACAAGGACTTACCTGCTGCTGGCTTCGTTATCAAACCTCCTATCCCTTTTCCAAATCCTTTGATGAGACCAGAGGCGCCCTCCTTCTCGGCCGCCCTCATCGGCTGCGTGACCAGACCCGAGATACCGTCATACAGTCCAAATCCAAACTCCTTGGTAGCAACCTTGATGCCGCTTCCGAAATCAGTCACCTTTTCCGGTTGTCTCACGGTATCGTCATTGTACAGCCTGGGAATATTTCGGAAACCCTTGGCGAGCCCAAGGCAGAAGTTCATTGGCGTCTTGACTCCCGTTGTCACGATACGGCCGACAGACCGGCCAGCACCAATTGCGGTGTCCATACCGATAGAGGGTGATGGCTCCCTGGATGGCGATGGCCTTTTGTCACGGGGGGACGATTCTCTGGAAGTCTTCAGACGGTCGTTGGAAGTCTTCCCCGTCTGTGCCGTGCCGTCGGAGGGTGCGTCTGCCGAAGAGGACTCTCGGCGCAATGGATTCTGGGAGTCGGTAGGTGTGCTGGCATGATGGGAACCTGGGTTCTTCGCCGCTGATGCTGTACCAGCCTGGGGCGTTTCTGCTGGGGAAGTCGAAGCGCTGTCCTCATCTTCGGTCGTCTTACGTGACCGGCCCTTGAATAGTTCGCGAGGCATGTCTGCTATAGCCAGTCCTATGCCGCTCGCGTCCATGACAAGAGAACAGGTGGCCGCTGAGATGGGATCGGGGGGCTGGTCCTCGGTATTGTACTCGCGAGAGCGGTACAGCTTGAGGTCAGAGTACTGGAGATGGCCGGCCTTGACAAGCACAGCCGCCGCCAACCCGCTGAGCCGCACCTTACTCCTCCTGATGCGCCATATGGCCGTTCGACTGGGCGCAATCGAACAGCGCAGGGCGTCGATGTCCAGGTGATTGTGGAAGCTCTGGCCTCCAACATCGGTCCCCTTCTCCTCCCTAATCTTCTCTCCATAAATCTTGGCCTGCTGGACAGTCTCCGGCTTGAGACAGAACTTGATGGCCTCGGCCAGCTTCTCTGCTGTGAGATTCTTATAGGCGATCGGTTCGGGACCGGCCTTGGCTCGGGAGATCATGGAGCCCCAGAAGGGCTGGTCACCGAAGAAGGGCACCACGGCCGTCGGCTTGCCTGCCTTGATTCCCGCTGCAGTGGTGCCTGCACCGCCATGGTGGACGACGCAAGACACATGTTGGAATAACCAGTCATGGGGAACGTTTCCGAGCATGAAGACACCCTCGGGGACGCCGATATCGTCCGCACCGAGGCCTCCCCATCCCTTGGAGACGAGGGCACGTACACCGCTAGCCTTGACGGCGTCGAATATCATCTGGGTCATGGCATCTGGGTCATCGACGACGATGGAGCCGAATCCAATGTACACGGGTGGTGGTCCAGCCTCAAGGAAGGCGCCGAGTTCGGGGTCCGGCGTAAAGGAGGATGCCAAGTCGAGGAAAAAGAACCCCGAAATGTCAATGTTTGATCCCCAGTCATTGGGCTTGGGGATGAGAGCCGGTGACCTAGTGTCGCAGAGGTTAGCCAGTCCTCGGCAAATACACTCCGGAGTCAACAGATACGTACCAGCAGTAAGTATAAGGGATCCTGAGGCGATTCAGCAGGCCGGGAGCCCACATCAAAGACAGAGGGGAAAGGTCCAGAACCTTTGTTCGAAACCTGTTGATGACATCTCCAAGGCCTTGCCAGGTCATCATCTCGACGAAAGTGTACGATAAGTACTTTGTCATGACATCGTCGGCATTGGTAGACGCGATGTCTGCCAGGGGGTGTTGAAAGGCTCGGGTAGGTGTCCAGGGCATTCTAGTTTTCGTTTCATGTCAGTCGCGGAAAGAAGCCATGGCAGCCGAGATGGGGTCCTTACGTGAACATCATGTGCAACGGAATACCCAGCTTCTCGGCGATGTGAATGTGTGCAAAGCTAGGTGGATTAGCAATGATGGCATCCGCGACAAATGGGTCCCTGCCGTCGTCACGCGGGATGCCGTTGTACAGATCTATGTTCTCGGTGGTGGACAGCGGGGCAGGGCCGGACCCGTCGCCCGACTCGATGCACGACCTCCAGCAACCCAAGATCATGTCCGCTATACCCTTGCGGCGCCTTGTGATCTCGCCGCTCTTGATGGCATCGAACCCGGGCATGAGACCCGGATGTTTCACCATGAAGGCCATAAGCTCGGCCGGGTCGCCGCCTATGCTGAAGAACTCGAGCCCGCTGTCCTCAACAAATGACTTGAAGGTGGGGTGGGTCGCGATGCGCACCCGGTGGCCGTAAGTGTCCTTGAGAACCTTTCCCAGGGCAACAAAGGGCTGAACATCGCCGCGAGACCCCACGATCTGGACGACGACGTTGAGACGCGTGGGCGGCCTCTGTCCCGGCCACCCACCGAGCGAAGGAGGGATGTAGGCCGGGGACGGGGTAGGCCCACTATCTTGGGCAGCCTGGCTCGCAATCGACGGGGCTAGCAGGTCGGCAAGTCTCCGGTTCTTGGTGTTGATGTTGATACTGACTCGACCGGCGTCTACACAGGTGCCGTATCAGCTGAGTATGGGAGCTCTCTCTCCCAAGAGCATGGGCGACGTACCTGTGAGTGAAGCGTCGGCCTCAAAGCCGGGCTGCGAGAATCGCATATGGCTATGGGACTCTCCATATGTCGGGGGCGGATCGTCGTGTTGCTGGGGTTTGGATGCTGGCTGGCCCTCTAGCTCTGAGATCGGTGCCTCGTCCGATATCAAAGCTTCAGCATCTCTGCTCGAAAGCCCGCCCTCGGGTGTCGGGAGCTTGGCATCAGACATGATGCGGACAAGCTAGGAGTGGTCTCGTATGTTGGCGATATTCCTACAGGTTCCTAGTCCTCGAGGTTCCTCCAAATGATGTACCGTGACCTTGTACACGCAATACTTGGTACGTGACGTCTCTCCGAACTACTACTGCCAGTGGGTAACGAAAGAGGCAAAGCCAACAGCTGCTGGGAGAAGAGACACCAGAATGTATGGAAACACGGAATATGCAAATGTTCCCTTTCAGGATAGGAGAGAAGAACGAAAGGTGAGCGAGGGTGATTACAAGAGCTCAAGGTAAGAGCAGGAACGCCGCAGGCTCGTCGATTTATCACATAGCCACAACCAATCTATGTTTAGTACTGCTCGTAATATTAGCAGTGTGGATGGGAGAAGAGACAGGGGAGAGGAGGGGAGGAGGAGGAGGGGCAACAATGACGATTGAGCCCCACATCTGCATTACCAAAGGGGCAAACAGGAGGCGGCTCATAGTACACGTACTCGTACAGTAATGTGTACCGCCCTTTCTAGTAGTAGTAATAGTATTGCCGGTTGGTACTCACTTATTGTGGTAATACGAGTACAACCGAAAACATGCCCTCAGAACAATTAAGATTTGTTCCTCACCAGGATACCGTCTGCTATCGTGTAAGGCCGGGCCAACGGGCTAGGAAGGACTTGGCATACAGTGACCGAAACTCGGCTTGGTCGCTAGCATCCGACTCGCCTTCCAGATGCGAGGCATCGCGAAGCGACTGGATTGGATGCCACAGGGGTCTTTCTCAACACTGCCTCATTCTGTGTGCCTTGTCTCGAAAGAAGGACGCTGGCCATTCAAACCTATCAATGAGTGACATCGGCTTTGTATGCATGCATGCTGCCCCGTCAATCGTCATCCATCATCAGCCTCGCGATCGAGTTTCCAATGGCTCGTCATCCTGCATGTTCATGAATAACTATAAGCCTATCCCTTCATTCGACTCTTGAGCATCCAAAACTACGGGCATGGCCTTTGTGAGTGCCCATCGCAACGGCTGGTGGAATATGGCATGCCTTGGTTTTCCCTCAGGTGGTACAAGTCTTTTCCTGTTTTCGAGATCTATTCGTGTGGACGTTTTCCTGAGATACTCACGTATACTTTTCACGTATACCTCAGATGTCGTTTTTAAGCGCCTACAACACATCACGGCACGACACGACAAACATAAGCCGGCTCTCAAAAGAAAACAGAATGATTCCCCGCATTGAACGATGCCACTAGAAAAAAATAGAGAGAAGATGATGAAAAGGGTTCCCTTGAGAAATGCAAAGAAGAAATTTAGTTGGGGTAGTATGATACAGACGAAACACCCTTTATAAGCCCATCGAAACTCCCACCTCCTCGTCAATTTCTTCTGCAGACAGGGCTCACCAGCCGAGCGAAATCTCGCCGCGAGCTAGTACATGTCCCCTATTGTCAGGAAGAAGAAGAACACGTCGTTTCGTATCGTATTGTATTCCATCGGTTGGTGCTTTAACGACCCGAGTCTTGCCGTTTTCCCTTCCCCATGACACGCACGCCAGACAACATGAGAGAAAGAAATTGAATAGACTTGTTGCGTCTTTCGTTGATATGTTTAGCTTGAGAATTTCCGGGTAAGCTTGGCAATGACTGGGCAGAGAGAGTTAGTGTTAGATGCCACCATGTCAAAACGATCGACAGATTTCCCAACGTACCGTGAAGGGCGACAACGCTGAAAATGAAGACGAGAGAAAGAACAAGGACAACGACAGGATCGACCTTGAGACCGGCAGACTCGTCAGTGTAGAGCTCTGGAGAGGAAGGTCAGCCATGACATGTCATCGGGGGGGGGGTTCGATGTCCACCATTGTAGGTGGCGGGCGGGGAAGAGGACGACGTACTCAGCATGGTGCTGGTAGATCCACCAGCGCCGGCAGCCCTCGTACTTGTCGGGCGAGCATTGGCAATCTTCTCCTTCTGATCGGCGGCAGCGCGGCGGCGGATAGCAGTACGGGGACCGCCGGGGGGCGTGGGGGACGAAGGGCGACCGAGGCTAGAGCCGGTGGCAGCGCCGGCGGGCGAGGAAGGACGAGGGGAAGACTATTGATAACAGGCATGTCAGTTTTCCTTTGTTCCCGTCTCCATCTTTTCACTTCTCGGTCGCCAATCGCTGTGTTTTTTCCTTCTCTTCGTTCCATGATGCGCGCGCGCTTGCGACAACAAAAAACCACGTGGGAGAGGGGAGGATAGGGAGACGAGGAAGGAGAAGCTTACCATTATGAGAATTTGTGAGAGAGGGAGGGGAGGGAGCCGCAGCAGGGTTCCTGTATCAAAGAAGAAGAAAGACGAGAAGCCGAGGATGGATAGAGGTGATGGGATGGGATGGGAAAAAAGAGTGTGTAGTTGATGCGCAACGAAAGCTTTCTAGGAGACAAGGGCCAGTCAGTCAGTCCCTGGAATTGAGGCCACATTCACACTTGTCCGGGGGAGCAAGGTGGGTGTGGGCCGGGCGATAGTTTTTCCGGATCTAGGGGGAACGTTTATATCGCTCTTGATTAGGTACTACTACACCATGTCCTAGTACCACCTCCACGAATGTCAAATCCATTTTTTTCTTATATACAAATCAAGTGTTTGCTTTTAGTCAAAATACCATTATTAGGAGTGGTGACTATTTATTTTCGACGAGGGTGAGGGACATTAATGTACACTACAAGCAACCCAACTCCTAACATCTACCCATCCTTATTCTCTACCTTTTGCTCAACGGCTCTTGTTGTATCGAAAGATCTCCTTGATGCCCTTGATACCAGTGATGATACTTTCGCTCTCTCAATATCACTAACAATATTTCGCTTGCTTTGCAAAACGCTCTCCGAATCACATTTGTCTTTACAGTTATTCAAAAAAGGAAAAGATAAACAAGGACGGGGAAAAGATGACACAAAGAATAATAATAATAATAATAAAAGCATCGCCGAATTCCTGCGCGACGTAATAAAAATGATGAAAGACACAGGTGGTGGATGAGTTAACAAGAAGGAGAAGCAGAGTACACGACAGGTGAATATATAGAAGAAGGAAAAAGAAACACAAGAAAAGAAATTTGTCCAGAGTGAGAGAATAGAAAAAAAGCGGCGGCTTTTTCTCCTCGAGATAAAAGGCTCAGCCTCTTTCCTGCAAAAACATGGCCTCTTTCAACCTCCCCAACAAGTTCCTGGAACCCGGCAGACAATGACACAAGAATCTGCCTCTGCGATTGGATCCGTCCTTCCCTCCCCTTCTCCTCTTCTCGTCGGTTATGTGTGTGTGTATGAAGTTTGAGGGCGGTGGCCTTGCCTCTCGCCCATTTTACCGAGTTCCTTTGGGGGAGGGAGAAGTGCATAGTAGCTGTTCAACATAGGAGGTAGAGTGTATAAACTCTCTCTCTCTCCGTGGAATTGAGAAGAGTACCAATAGGACTCTCGCCATGGAAAGCAGTGAATGAAACCAGGAAGCAGTCTCCAGAGGCGAATCGCCCCGCCGAATATTAGGGCTCATCAAAGCTCAGTATATAGAGAGGTGGACAAAGTTGATGGGGAAAGTATACACCAGATGTTCTTCTAAGACAGAACAAAAAGGGCTTTTAACCAAACGCCGTCCTCTGGAGGAGTTGTGGAGAAATCGTCGCAGGCTTCTTTAAAGGGTCGATATTGCTGTTTTTTTCGAGACGCGTATAGGACTGATGCGGTTGATGTTATGTGTGTTTGACCGTTGACGAAGTATGGAAAAGGGAATAAAAAGCAAAATGACATATAAAAAAAAACAAAGTGGTATCTTTTTTTGTTTAAAGAGTGACATCGAGAACCAAGCTGACGTCTGCGACGGTAGGTCCAGCCAGGTCTTCAAGAACAGGGATGAGGTCTAATAATTCATTGTCGTGAGCGTCCGAGAACCAGCTGCTGATGGGCACGGCGTGCTGCGGGTGGAAGATGTAGGATGTGGGTGAGTTGTCGATGATGATGGTGTCCTTGAGGTCGCGGCCGATCTGGGATAGGTCCTTGACGTAGTTGCCCTGGTGGTTGTAGCAGCTCTCTCGGAAGAGACGGTGGTGAACGACCTTGTGGATATCCAGCTGGTCGAGAAGAGGGTCGCCGTACTGTATCGTCAAAGTCAGCTACGCTCATCTTCACCCCGAAGAAGCGAAAGAAGGGGAAAACACTAACCTTGGAAACCGAGGCCGTGAAGACTACAACTTCGTACAGCTCACCAACTCGCTTCATGAACTCGTCCACGCCTGGCCGCTTGATGACGTAAACATTGTGGTAATTTCCCTCAATTTCCACAGGAATGGTAAAGTCGGCTTGGTGAAGGATCTGGAAGTGACTGCGAGTTAGAGCCGCACATATTTCACCAACATGATCTCACCGATAGCAAGACCAGCACATACCTTAAAGGAGCTGTGGACGAGCGTCTCGTCCAGGTCTAGCACGAGGCACTTCCTACCCCTGTGTTCTGGGAGGATTTCGGGGAGGAGGTATCTCGGGGGCTCATCATCAGGAATAATATCCTCGGGAAGTGCGACCGGTGCTGTCTGCATCGGCACATCTTCGCTGTCGTTGTACTCCTCTGTTGCCGGTACATCGACGGCGCCGTGCCTCTCCTCGGTGATGGCATCCTGCATGGCGTCACCGTCGTGTGCGGTGGTGTTGTTGTGAGAGTGATCATGCTCAATATTTTCCGTCTGAGGCTTGGGAGGCTCCACAGTCACAGATGGCGCCACGGTCTGACCCGAGGACTCGCCGTTGACGGGCGTTATCCGGCCGCCGCCGCCGCCACCACCACCACCCGAAATGGTCTGCTCCTCGTTCTTCTCAGTAGCCGTGGTATCCTTTTCGTTTGTCGCCTTGTTTGAGTCGTCTTGCTCCTGCGGGGTTGCTGTCCTGGACTTGGACTTGGCCGTGGGCGGCCTCTGGGGTATCGATTGCAGTTTGTGGACATTTTCGCCGTCTCCTTCTGTCGTGTTACCATCGTCAGGGCCAGCACAGCACCCCAGAAATGACAGGATTCCCCCACTCTTCTTCTTCTTCCGCTTTTGGATAGGCGAGCTTGGCTGCGAGTCACCTTCGATGTTCGTCGTGCGGTTTCCACCAGCCGTCCGGCTCGAGGCGCTGCCGTTGCGCTGGCGTCCTAGAAAGCTCCCCTTGGAGTCTTTGGACCGTCCACCTATGCTGTCCCGGTGTTCATTGACGGTAGCTCCGCTGAGCCCGGTGGAAGTCGGCGAGGATTGCTGGTTGTTGTTGGTGGTATTGTGGTGCGACGAGGATCGCGAGGGGACCTTGAGCAGGCCGGTATCCTTCTTCGAGGCTCCACCATCCTCCGGTACCAATGTGCCCCTATCTTCGGACATGTTGAGTTTGACTGGCCTGCCTATAGCTGGCCGTGGACCTTGGGGATAAAGCTCCTCAGACACGCTGACCGGACAAGAGACACGTCAGTTTCATCACTCTGCTGCCGCATAGATTGGGCATGCATTCAAGGGGAGAGGCCAGGCCCGTGTTTTTTTTGGGAAGTTGCCATGACAAACCCTTCCCATTCATTCGCAGCAGGTAAAGGGGTTCGCCGTGCCATGCGTAGCAGGCAACAGTAATTGTACGCACCTGGCCGAACGCAGGAAATGGAAGCAACGTACCTTGATACGGGCTAACGGTATCCAGGGGGGGTGTTTGCAAGATGCCCGATCCTGCCCCCGAAAATGAAGTTGGAGCTCAAAGATGCCAACTCGGGTATTTTGCGATGAATGAAGCACGGATCTTCTTATCCAAGTTACTGTATGAGCACCGGTGATAATTTCGTTGCTGAGACCGACAAGAGTAGTCGATTAAGATTGTCGCGCGGTCGGGCCAAGACGAAGCGTGCGCGAGGCGTCTAGGATGTAGCGACGGGGCGTGAGACGGCCGCGAAGGAGAAGGGGAAAAAATACACCACGGATAACGAGGGTCGAGGGCTGAGCAAACGGAGTCGAGAAAAAGAAGAGGCGCGAACGAGATAAAACAAAAACACAGCGGATGAGAGCCGATCGCTTGCCGCTACGACAAAGGAGGGGGGTGGAGCGGGAAACGAGGGTCCTCAGACGGCTTGCTGCTGCTGCTGCTGTTGCTGTCGCTGCTCTCTTCGCGCTCGAGCGGTGACTAAGGCAGAGAGACAGGCAAAAAAAGGGTCGGGGGCTGGTTGATTAGTTTGGTTGGTGGCGTACCCGTGCTCTCTGTCAGGTGTGTGCACACGCCAGGAGTCAAGTCTCAAGGAGCCTTGAGGAGGAAAGATGCAAAGGAAGCAGAAAGACGCGGATCAAGGCCCGACAGGGACAGACAGGGACAAAAACTAGGACTGGTAATGCGTGCGGCCGAAAGCTAGAGGCAAAGGGTAATAAACGGGTGATGTTTCTCTCTGGGTCTCTTTGGGACGTCCTGTCTCTCTCTCACTTGCTCTTGTCCACGGTCCACAGCACAATCCTGGATGTCGGGGATGGACTGCTGCAGGCGCAAAGACTCTTGAGCTTCCGGGGGGGTAAGAGGATGGACGAGTGGGGATGGACGTGAGATTAGCCAAGACTTGGGGGTGAAGGTCTGCAGTATATGGATAACTAATATTGTATGAATGGTGAATTTTACACTGTATTCCGTTCAGGGTTTTTTAGCTACACAGTTTTTTACAGGAAACTTTTCGTACTGTCTTCTGGTACCTCGCCCATCTTCTTTCCCTTACCCCCATGTCAATGAATCTCCCAACGCCAAGGCTCACTAGCTAAAGATTGACAATGAAGACAACCGCCCGTCGCCTTCTGGCCCCTTGCTCCCGCTTTTGTATAGGAAAGCCCGTAAGTGCCGTCAGCCGCAGGCAACGTCTGGTTCCATGGACGAGTAGTAGGCTACAGCAGCAGAGAGTATGCGTGTTGTTGCCTTTGTTTATCCTTTGGAGTGAGTGTTCCGAGAAAAATATGCCTCCCTGGAAGGTGGTTTAGCGGGGATACTGCAGCCATCGTGGGTCCCATTACCTATTACTTGCAAGTACGAATAAATACTCGTAGGCATCCCCCCCCCTCCTCCGAGCTAACATTCGTCGCCCAGAATCATCCGTCCTCGTGGGCAATTTATTGTTATTACGTCGAAAAGAGAAAAAGGAAAGAGGAGGAACGAGTAACCTCGTCAAGGGGGGTGAGGGGATGTTACTCGTACCAACCTGGTCCACCCCAGCCGCCCGTTCTCCCAGCCACACAGAGCTAGTAATAGTACTAGTACTCGTAGTAATAGTACTCGTACGGAGTATTTTACTCGTACAATACATATACGGAGCAATAACAAACTACCATTACTCCGTGCTGTAATTGATAGTTGCGCCAAACTCCGAGAATAAACACTATTTTTTTTGCTTCTCTTGCTTTCCTTGCTCGTGCATATACTGTATATGTACGCATGGAATCGATGCCCATTTAACCACCCATACAAAGTGCTCTAATCCTTCCCGAGCGAAGTAAAAAGGCATGAATCCGGTCAAGAAGCGGAGAGCCGAACCCCGCGACCTGTGAGTGCCAGTGTGATTGGCCATGTTAGCGCCCAGCTTTCCTGCCGCTACCAAGTGCTCTCAACCTAATCACACGTTCCTAATATTAAAATAAATCCGTGTAACTTTTGTCCTGCTCAGGAGAACGTACGACTTATTAGTACGAGTACCTGTGCAGATAGTACGGATACACGGGTACCACTAGTGCATGTACGGAGTAGTACGAGTCCATATCCGTATCCAGGAGTCAGGAGTCAGGACAGTCAGGACTCGCGAAATAACAATACTCTGTAATCTGTACGCTGTACGGATACATGTACCAGTAGTATTACGGCACTCTCTGTCTGGTGAGGGAGCATTGGTGGGTCGGCTTACACAGTTTTACAGAGCCTCTTAATTAGTTTACGAATACAGACAGAGCTGGTTCATGGCCTGAGCGTCTGAGCGCATAGCTCGGTACGAGTACATAATATATTATTACCATACATATATATGTTGGTACTCTTGCTTTTGAATTTGAACTTCCTCAACCATCATGATAGAGACCAGACAGTACTGAATTCCCCAACTTTTAGCTCTCAAATGCTCAACACACCCAATAAGAGTTGGCATCCGTGGAAATACACTATTGTCCGCGTGACCGCAGGCAACATGAACCACGTCAAAACAGCACGTGCACACCTGACCACCTCGAACACCTGTTCAACGCGTAAACTTCCAGATTTCGTATAGTGCAGGGTAAGGGAACAAGGAGGCATTATCCGCAATATATCAATACCGATTAATATCCCCGTGGAATGCTAGGTTATGCCGTAGGAGCTGATGATACCATTCATGGTATAGTTGAAGATGCTTCCTATCTTTCTCTTCGTTGCGCTTTCCCTTGTAGAGACCAAGGTCTACAGATAATGGCAATACGGTTAGCTGTTGAACCTCAATTGGCGTGTGGCTGAAGAATGACATGTGGCGCATATCCCCAAGCATCGCCACCTTTACCCCAGATACCTCGGACATTCACATGCCACCTTCCCCCGGCCATGACGGCATGTTCCCCGTTCCCCATCGTTTCCATCAATCTAATCATCGTCCTACTGGCTGTATTCGTACGGTGCAGCTTCCCTCACGCAACAACAACGACAATCACAACCGAACCTCACCCCACGTTCAATAACCGACAACTGGAGAATCAAACGACAAGCCCCCATCCCCTATGCCCTCTTCCCAGTAACGCTCCCAAGTCTGGGGAAGGTCCCACCCTCCCTCCAACGTTTGTACATTTCAACAACAAAACGAATATCCGCAGGAAATCATGGCGACGCAATCAACCCTCCGTCAGCCTGCGGCTCAAGACGCACTTGCCGCTTTCATACAGGAATGGTCCGCCAAGCTGCGTACACGGCTCCGGTCCACATCGAGGCTCACACGGGTTCTTGCGACGCTATTCCTGGCCACGTCCATTATACTGGGTGCTGAAGGAGGCAGGCGGTTGTGGAAGAACCGCCGGCTTGAGCGCGAGCAAGGCCGCAAACTGGTGCGCACAAACTCGTGGCTCCACAACAAGGACGGCTCGCGCACAATCTACGTGCCTTACAAGGACGGCACCACCAAGGTCGTCATTCACAATACAAAGCCTCTTACTTTTGAGGCCCACCGTCGCCTGTTTCTCAACCCCCCGCGAGTGTCTGGGCTGGGTGACGGCACCGTCCCCTCGGCCCAGACGAAGCCGGGTCTCAACCTCGCCTTCCTGCACCAGTTTCTCAGCCTTATGAGTATCATGATCCCACGCTGGTCGAGCAAGGAGGCCGGTCTGCTCCTCAGCCATGGCGTCTTCCTCATGCTCAGGACGTATCTGTCGCTCGTGGTGGCGCGCCTCGACGGTGAGATCGTGCGCGACCTCGTCGCAGGAAATGGCAAGGCATTTATGTGGGGCATCACAAAGGTAAGAAGTGTGGCGTGTGCTTCAATTCTGCCTTCATGGTTTGATACTGACAACAATACAGTGGTGCGGCCTGGGAGGATTCGCCTCCTATACAAACGCCATGATCAAGTTCCTCGAGTCCAAGGTGTCCATCGCATTTCGGACTCGTCTGACACGGTATATCCACGACCTGTACCTCAATGACAACCTCAACTACTATAAGCTGTCCAACTTGGATGGTGGTATAGGCCAGGGCGCCGACCAGTTCATCACCCAGGACCTGACCCTCTTCTGCGCCTCGGCGGCCAATCTGTACTCGTCACTTGGAAAACCGTTTGTCGACCTCTGTGTCTTCAACTTCCAGCTGTACCGGTCTCTCGGCCCACTAGCCCTGACGGGTCTCCTGAGCAACTATTTCCTGACGGCGAGCATCCTCCGGCGGCTGTCCCCTCCCTTTGGCAAGCTCAAAGCCGTGGAGGGTCGTAGGGAGGGGGACTTCCGCAGTCTGCACGCGCGTCTCATTGCTAACGCCGAGGAGGTGGCCTTTTACGGTGGTGCTGACATGGAGAAGACATTCCTCAACAAGGAATTCAAGTCGCTTAAGAGTTGGATGGAAGGCATCTACATGCTTAAGATCCGTTACAACATTCTCGAGGACTTTATCCTGAAGTACAGCTGGAGCGCCTACGGCTACCTGCTCGCTTCGCTGCCAGTATTCCTCCCCGCTTGGGGTGGTGTTGGCGGCGCTGCCGAGATGGCCGGTATCTCGCCCAAGGCCAGCAGCAGCAGCAGCGGCAGCGGCAGCGGCAGCGGTAGGGAACGTAACCGCATGCGCGAGTTCATCACTAACAAGCGTCTCATGCTGTCCCTCGCCGACGCCGGTGGCCGCATGATGTACTCGATCAAGGACCTCTCGGAGCTGGCAGGTCACACGAGCAGGGTGTACACGCTCATCTCGACGCTTCACCGGTCCCACGCCAAAGCCTACTACCGCCGCACTGGGCAGAATGAGCTCTACTCCATGTCTGATATCCAGGGGACTATCCAGAAGGGCTTCGACGGTGTGCGATTTGAGCACGTCCCCGTTGTGGCGCCGGCGCTGTGGCCACAGGGTGGCGACGAAATGCTCGAGTCGCTGTCTATGGTAGTTCGTGGTGGCGAGCATCTCTTGGTGAGCGTCTCTTATCCTCCTCCTTCTTCTTTCTCTAACGTATATAACTAGATTTCCGGACCCAACGGTGTGGGAAAGAGTGCCATTGCTCGCATCCTTGCCGGCCTGTGGCCCGTCTACCGCGGCCTGGTTAGCCTACCCAAGGACATCGGCCAGGACGGCATCATGTTCCTTCCCCAGCGGCCGTACCTCAGCCTCGGGACACTGCGTGATCAGGTCATCTACCCGGATGGGCACGTCGACATGAAGGCCAAGCACAAGTCAGAGGACGACCTGAGGAGGGTGCTCGAAGAGGCCAAGTTGGGCTACCTGCCCGATCGTGAAGGAGGGTGGGACACTCGCAAGGAGTGGAAGGATGTCCTGAGTGGTGGCGAGAAGCAGCGCATGGGTTTCGCACGTCTGCTGTACCATGAGCCCAAGTATGCCATTATTGACGAGGGGACTAGTGCCGTGTCTAGCGACGTCGAGGGCTTGCTGTATGAAACGTGCAAGGAAAAGGGAATAAGTAAGCCCCCCCTAACTTCTCTCAACTCTACTCCTTTTTTTTCTGACACCACGGTGTGAAACACAGCCCTAATCACCGTGTCGACTCGCGCATCATTGAAAAAATACCACCAGTTCAACCTCATCCTGGGCCAGGAAGATAGCCCGGAAGGGTGGGAGTTCGAGCGCATCGGTACAGAGAGGGAGAAACTTCAGACGGAAAAGGAGCTGCAGCTTCTCCGGGAGAGACTATCCAAGGTGAATGAATGGGAGAGGAGGAGGAAGGAGATTGAGGAGGAGCTGGCGTCAGTGTGGACAGAGCGCAGTGGGGCAGAACCGCTCGAGGCACCGGATTATGTGGAGGAGACGGAGAAGGAAACGACTGAGGTGGAAGCGTAGACTCACGTGTATAACTCTCTTTCTCATCTGTTTTACTCACTGTATACTAGGTTTCTGTATACATACAAGCATTAGTACCCACGAGTTCTTTCATAGGTACAATGTCGCGGTATGACTTGGGAGCAGTTGACACTATATTCTTATGGACACGACGTTTGGAAATAATTGAAATGGCTGTCCTCGATGCCAATCACTGATATCAATAATATATTAGTACTACTCGTACTTACTGGCAGATATTGATCCACTAAAGAAGTTCACATGTCCTTGCCCTTGGGCTGTCAAGTCTAATACTTCCCTGTTGGCCGTCTCTGCCCTCGCTTCCTCCCTTGTATCATGGCCTTCCCCCCCCCTCATCCTCCACCATCCCTGGCCACACATCACCCCTTGAAGAAGAAGAGAGAGGAATTCACTAGAATTTATCGTTTTTTTCGTTTTGCGCAATAGCGTAGCAGAGATAGGAAGGGGACCGGGAACATGCGCCCCCCTCCCCTCACCAAAAGGTGAGACAAATGGTCCAAAGTGTCATCCCGATTGGGTCGTAGCGTTTGCAATCTACCGACCGACCGGAATGCTGCATCTACTATATCGGTCTGTCCTCCCTCCAATTTTCACCGTTCTCTTACATCATCACCACAACTATCATGACCATATGCAAAGGGGAGGCGAGGAGGCGTAGACCCTCCCGCGCCATCTTTCCCCTCGGGAAGGGGAAATGGAAAGAAAGAAAAAACTTGGAAATATATAATCCTGAGCATGTAACCCTACTCCCATGACGGGGATCGTCGTTGAGAAGACGGAAAGAGAGAATCATACAGACCCCGAAAAGAGGAAAGCCATAATGGAAGGCCAACAGAACGGCAACGTACTCGACTACTACTTTGACACTTTCCCGTCCGCAACGTCTCTGGATAACAGGAACAGTCTATCGCTGAGTGAGAGCACGCACAGACAGACTATGACTACAGTGACGGCACTGGCAGCCGGCACGGCACGTCGCGATAGCGATGTCCTCCCTCCTGGTCCTGTTCCCGCTCCAACCAGGCCCGGATCGCGAAGCTCCCTCATGTCAGCACCCTGGTTGCCATCCATTGCCGAAGACGAGATCAGCGAGACAGAAGACGAGGACCAAGACCAGCAGCAACAACAACCACAATATGCCTGCCGTCCGAGACCGCCTCAGCACCGTCAAACATGGACCATGGGGCAGCCGCCGCCGCCTCCGCAGCAGTCCATAATATGGCCTCGCACCCCGCTGCGTGTCCCGCAAAAGGCCATCCGACGCGTCCCTGTGGGCGGTGGCGGCCGAGCCAGGGCCTCGACAGCAGCAGCAAGCTATGGCGGCCATAACAGCGCGGAAGCCAACAGCAGCCCTTCCTTCCCCGAGCGACCTCCCTCGGCCTCCACGGTAGCTGCGTCCCTGCCGCCCCCTTACTTTCCCATCACCTTTTCGCCGCCCAAGTACCGCAACGAGAGCGTGAGCACCACAAGAGGCGGCAGCAGCGGCAGCGGCAGCGGCAGCGTGTCGGATTCGGACATGAGCGAGATGAAGAAGCACCAACACCTCCACAACAACCGGCCGCTCCCGCTGTATCTGCCGAAGAAGTACGGCCGGCGGCAGGGGAAGAGTGGGGGAAGCGGGAGAGATGCTGCGTTGTGTGGATGTCTGCCTGCGTGGATGGGCGGTCGACGGTCGACGAGGTGGATCCTGCTCGGTGGATTGGGACTGTTTCTAATCGGTATGGCCGTCGCCCTGGCCGTAGGGTTGACTCTCGGTCTCGAGAGACGGCGAGGGGACAACGGCGACAGCAGTAATGATAACAACATCGGGTGAGTTCTCTTCAGTACCTTCCCTTGCAACGAAGCACAGAAAGAGAGACGGACGAGGGTATGAAGCCATACTAACAGGTGATTGCACAGCGCTACAAATACCACCAAGGTCCATGACGGCCCCTTCTTCCCAGTAGGGTCCTACACCATCCGCACAACTCTCAACCAGACCTCGACGTCGTGCACCTCCAACCCGGCGACGTGGCGGTGTGACAACATCGGCACCGACGAGACCACTGCCTTCCGCTGGATCATCTACGGTAGCGGAGACGACTCGTCGTCGTTGCCCTACACCGTCTCGTCTGACGACAACGCCTTCGCCCCGGCTTTTGCCAACCTCACGGCCGCCGTCATCGACCCGTCCGGCCCGAATGAGCGCCTCGTCTTCGAGTTCGGCATGGACAGGACCGTGAGCGTGCCCACGGGAGACTTGCTGGCCGGCCTCGCGGCCGGTACCGCCAACTCGACGTGCAAGTTCTCGGGCTCCCGGTTCAGGGCCACACTGTGGACTGGGCGGTACGCTGGTAACGGCACCAGCACTGCTTCGGCGGGGAGGGAGGCCGCCGGCACAGACTTTGCGTCCTGGCCCGCCCGTGCGGAGGTCGTGCAGAGCAAGGACGCCGGGACAGGCGAGCCGGAGTGTACTGATCCCCAGGGGGATGCTATCGTGGGTGTTCAGGCTGGTACTGGGCAGTGTTATTGCGATTATACTACTTGAGGTTTTGTTCCTTTTGACTCATCTAAGAAGAGTGTTTTCAATAGTACGAGCGTCTGTGTCTTTTTCTTTTTGTGTTCTTAGTTAGATTAGTAGAATACCTTGATATAAGTGTCGGAACACCAAAACACCAATAATTTAAAGATATATTACGATAACTGGAGATGCATGCTCAGAATAATGGTAGTACTGTGTTTTTTTTTTCTGGCATGGTTCTTCTAGTTCTTTTGGTAGAAAACAGAATATACACCATGCTATTATGTCTGTTCGTCACTTCATCAATATTAAGCGTCGCAGCAGTGGACTAGCCTCATAACCCCAAGCCACATTGAATCCAACTTGTCAAAAGATATAGAGCAAATACGACCAACAGAATAAAAGGAATCACGGCCAGTAGAAAACTTCCGGTATGGCTACACCTTTACAAAAGCTTCGAGGCATGCATGTTAGCATGTGGGCGCAAAAGGGACGATAGGACCTGTGGAGGACAAAGACTTACTGGCATCAATCTGGCTGAGTTGCGGCAATGCCAAACGGACCTTGTTCCTGTAGAGTGCCGGAGCACGCAGCTGCAGGAGGTTACCCTCAAAGTACACGGTGGTCAGGTGCTCCTTATCCTTGAGTTCGCGCTCGACGTCCGCAAAGTCGGCGACAATGTTATAGCTAGCCCAGAGCTCCTGAAGCTCGGTCAGGGGACCCAGCCCACGAAGACTAGAAACCTTGTTGTTGGAGATGTCAATGACTGTCAGTTTGGCGTTGGACTCGATCCCCTCAAGAGACTCGAGCATGTTGTGCGAGATGTACAGCTCCTCGAGGGAGGGAACCTCGGCTAGGGGAGACAGATCAGAGATGCGGTTCGACTGGATACTCAGGAGGCGCAGCTTAGGCAGTCCCGACAGCCCCTTCAGACTGGTGATCTTGTTCTTGGCCACCCATAGCTCCTCGAGGTTGGAGAGGCTGTCTAGGTTCTGCAGATCGCGAATCCGGTTGGACCCGAGCTCTAGGGACTTGAGGTTGACGAGGCCCTCCAGCCCCTCGATGGTGCTGATCTTGTTGGCCACCAGGAACAGGTCGCGCAGCTCGGTGAGGTGGTTGATGTTCTTGATGTGCTTGATCTTGTTGAAGCTCAGGTCCAGGCTGCGCAGGGCCGTCAGGGTGTCGAGACCGCGCACGTGCGATATCAGGTTGTCGTACAGGTCTAGGTCCTTGAGCGTCGTCGGCGAAACCCCCTCTAGCCCGTTCATCTTTTGTATGCTGTTTTGACGGAGACATATGCGTACCACCTTTCGGAAGCGCTCTAGGTGTAGTGAGGCGATGGAGCTAACGCGGGAGTGCGTACACATGATTTCTTCCGTATCGGATTTTTCGTCGCCTAGGAGGTCTGGAGATCATTGTTTGTCCCCCACATCAGCTTCTTCTTCTTCGTACACAAGAAAGTTCATGAGAGATAACGGAGAGGATGATTGTATGGCCTACCCTCATCAGCCGCAATCTTCTCGCCCTCCAAAACATTCTCGTTATCCGAATACTCCTCATCTGTCAGGGCTTCGGGGTTCGCCAGGACGGCCGACTTGGGAACGCGTAGCTTCCCATCCCATCCTTTGCTATTCTTCATCCCAGGACTCGCAGGCTCATCCTCTTCGTTGTGGGTCTGATGATGACCCTGGGGTACTTCGATCTTGGCATGACCGTCGCCTTCTTTGTTCGGAGGGGCCGTCGACATGGTGATCGAAGGAGGGGTTCTTTCGCGCGAGGGGGGAGAAGGGAAGAGTCTTAGGAGATGGCGCGGGATGGCGTACAAAACGTAATATGGTTAAAAGGGGGGTATTTTTTTTTTGTTGATTTGTAAAGCCTAGGATGGAGAGAAGATAACGAACGAAGAAAGTTGGGGAGGGTGGAGAGAACTGCGTTGAACCATGTTGGCTGGATGCGCCACCGAAATCCAAGGCTTTATCTTTGCTGCTGCGGATGACACAACCGTCACCCCACACTTTCTGCTCAAACCGGTAATATATATTACTCTGTACATACACTCTCCTCAATGCACGTAACGGGCGAACGGCAGACCTGCGAAACCTTACCGCCATGAGATTCCATGAAATCGGCATTTAATTGATGGGTCTTGTCCTTTGCAGCAGCGACAGGAATTTAGCCATCTCTACTCCATGCCTCTTGCCTGCCCATGGCGACGCGCGCCCCCCCTCCTACGGCCTTCGAGCTGGGCAGCCAGGCATGGTTTGAGGCCGCAACCATTGACGACGGCCCGTTCCCGTCTGAACGTGGGTAGCATTGGGTCGGGGCTGTCGCCAAGACGCTCCCTGCACCTCTTCCCAGCGGTTGCGCCGCCCCTCATCTTCACGGGCCTGTTCCTGGCCCTGTGGGCGTGGAAGTGTCTCATGATGGTGCTGTTCCAGAACGCCATCATTTACAATCCGTTTATGCCGCCCAATGCGCGCAGCATGCGGATCGCCGACGTGGCGCGCGAGTGTCGTGGTATACGGTGGCGCGAGGAGAGGATCAGGTCGTTAGATGGGACCGAGATTGCTCTCTGCATCAGCGAGGATGAGACCAGCAGGGCTGGTGTCACGCCTGTTTATGTTCTGTACTTTCAGGGTTAGTTGTGCATACGCAACAAGATGGAATAACGGCACAGGCACACATGCTGAGACCGAAGATACTAGGCAATGCTTCCTCCCTCCCTCCCCGTCTACCCGACCTTTCATGGGTTCTTCGTCGATTACGCGATACCGATCCGAAATCGAACTACACCTTCGTAGGCCTCAGCTACCGTGGTTACTGGACGTCGCACGACCGACCATATGAGAAGGGCATCAATAAGGACTCCGAGGCTGCACTACGCTGGATATCCAAGTTCCACCGTACGAAGTCACAACAAGAGGAACAACAGCCTGTCGTCGTACTCTACGGCCAGAGCATAGGATGTGGCCTGGCGACAAACCTAGCTGCCACGACGCGGGCCATGTCAATCGATGCACTGGTCCTCGAAACGCCCTTTGTCTCGACGCGGGCCATGCTCACGGCTCTCTATCCGCAGCGCTGGCTGCCATATCAGTACCTGTGGCCGTTCCTGAGGAATCATATGGACAGTTGGGCCAATTTTGGCGTTATTGCCTCTGCATCCTCATCCGCATCCTCGGCTGAACAAAAACAGCCGGCCGTGTATATGGTCCACGCTGGGAAAGACGAGCTAGTCCCCGCAGAGCAAGGCGAGACGCTTTACCAGAGATGTCAGCACCTCGGGCTGTCGGTGCAGCAGGTCAAGGTGCGCGGGGCGCTGCACAACGAGGCCATCATCCGGATGCAGGGCAAGGAGGCCATTGCGAAATATCTGACGTCGGCTGTTGAGGGGGCACGAGCTCGGGCCCATGTCGCCACTGCTTCCGAGCCAAGACATGGCGAACCATGAGATTGGGATCCGGGTGGTTTCCTCCTCCCCCCTTTCCCTCTCTTCCCTCCCCTCTTTCCTTTTGTCTCATTGGAGAGAGAGCGTGAATAAGCCCATTGTTTGTGGGGTTGACAAGGATGGATGACCTCGGTCGCCGTCCAACGATGGAGGAGCGACGTGTCTTTCTATTGTAGGCAACCGATCCAGATGTTTCGTATGATATCACTGTAGGTCGTAAGTAGACAATAATATTACCTCGTGGAAGTTGTAGGCTCACGAGGTTTCGATTCCCATTTGATTCCCTGAGGACCGTGCAGTTGGTATTTATCTGGAGCATGCAACGTATTTTGCGGAGTCGTACCAGGCTTCATGTACGAGATGCGTACGAGTATGTGCTAATGCATCGCCATCGAGGAACGAATAGATCCCTGTTACTAAGAAGGGGGGGCCTACATTGCGTTATTCACGCTTCTCCGGAGTAATGCAATCGGAACAATGCCTTGCTCGGTTATATATGCACCATACTACAGGTTATTACGACCAAAGTATGACAAGTATCAGTACTTTAAACCCCTGCTTCAGTGTGCTCAGCCTTGCTTCTTTCCACTTCTCTGACTCGACGCTTCAACCCATGTCTCCATGGCTGACTTCTGGCACCGCCAACGTTTCCCTGCTTTCCCGTGAGTAGCATGAGTCACTCGTATCCACGTATAGGAGGTGATTAAGGCGTAATCTTAAAGAAAACGAATACGACCCACGGGGAGTTATTACTAGAAGACCGAGCCATGGGAGAGAAGGGGACGCTCGGGGTGGTAAATTATGCACGTGACACCGCGTCAACCACGCGGGGCCTCCTCCATCCCACCAACACGCGTCCTTTGATAGGTTCGCGTCAGCAAACTTGACTCCATCACCAACTCTGTGTATTCGTACTTTGCGACTTGGTAGTACCGCTACTTTGCCACTAATTAGTACGCACGTAGCCTCGCCGTCTTGCTGAGCCGGTCCGGGGGGTTGATGATGTGTGGACAGGCTACAGCATGTTTCTCTCTCTCCGCCACAGCCGTGCACGTCGTTTTACTTCTCTGGTTGTATAAAAAGATTCATGGACCGCCTCCTCTTTTTCACAGTGGCCCACCACCGTCAACGACATCTCCTTTTCTCTCTTCTCTCCCTGTAATAATCGGAGGCCCTGCAGTTAAGCCTCGGCGATTGATTTTTCTTCCTATTGCATCAAGTTCTGGATCCCTCCCACCCCCCCTTTCCCTTTCTTTTCTTTTCTTTCCTTTCCCGCGCCATTGCTTTTCCTTCTCTAGACGATAATACCACACACACGCACACACACACACACACATATATATACATACACAACAAGAGAAGAAGAACCAAAAGGAAAACAGTATTTGAAGACGAGAAAGAAATCCCTCGACCTCATGTTCTCCTCCAGCAGCCGCGTCTTGCAAGACAAGACGAACAGGAGTTTCTCCTCCAAGAGGGATGGCCACCACAAGTCGGGCAAGTCCACATCGTCATTCAGCAAGGACAGCGGAGTTACCAAAAAGCGTCATGAGCCGTCTCGTCATCACAGGCGGACAGGCACGAGCACGTCGACTAGCATTTCCATGGCTGATGCTCCGACCAGGTACCTTTCTCTCTTTCTCTCTTTCTATCCCTTTTCTCTTATTGCATCTATGCTTACCCTGACTCTACGCTTGCACTGGAGAAGAAAGCTAATGCGTGAAACTTGAATCAGCCCGTCCTCTGCCTCCTCCGTCGTCACCCTCGTTGTCGGATCCGAGCAGCGCCTATTCGCAGCCCACGAGGACGTCCTCCGCGCGAGCCCGTTCTTCGCCAACGCCCTGGGGACAGGCTACATGGACCCGGCGACCCGTCGCATCTCCCTGCCCGACGAGGAACCCGAGATCTTCAGCTCCGTCCTCGAGTTCCTCTACAAAGGGGATTACTTCCCCAGGCTAGTACATAACAAGCGCAGAAACTCGTACGAGCTCGAGGGCCTGTCCAACGGCGGCACCGTACCCAACGCCGCCACGGCCGAGAACATAGTCTACCACAGGGGCGTGGACGGCGACATCCTCAAGGATACGGTCATCTACTGCACTGCTGAGCGATACGGGCTCGAGGAGCTTAAGAGGATTTCTCTCCGGAAGCAGGGACTTCGTAATTTTCCCCTCCTCCTCCCCTCCTTCCCCTCCTTCCTCTTCTTTCTCTGCCAACAATAGATTCTGCATAGTACTGACGAGAAGAATGTGAATGCAGAATCCGGCATACAGTGCAGCACCATTCTCGCTTCAGCCCGATACGCGTACGCCAATACCCCCGATAGCGACTCTAAGCTGCGCGCGCACTACCTTGCCCTCATCATCCGCTCCCGATCAACCTTCAAGCGCAGTGGGACCATGCAGCTCGAGATGTTCAACGGGGGCACACAGCTCTTCTTTGACCTGTTTGTCGCTCTCAGCAACCATGTCGACGACGTCTCTTCTGCCTCGTGAGCTTGTCCCCTCTGTCCTTCACCCAAGCTGCATTATATTCATACAAAGATATATAGGAGCACACCACGATCCAACCGCTTTATCTGAGATGAGAAGCATTGTCTTATAACCAGATATTCCCTTTTTCTCTGTTTTCTTCCCTCATCTGTCCCCCTTTTTCTTCTTTCTATGATACTCCCCTTCTTCTGTCTTTCAGGACCGTAATGACCAGCTTGTAAAGGGACAGGCCATCTTCAGAACAAAGTCACACTGGCCAGTATTTTCCTTTCAGTTTTTTTTTTCTTTTTTTTCTTTTTTGTTTTGTCTTTCTTGGCGTCTTCACTTTTCTTTTCCGACTAGGCTAGAGTAAAGCCACGTGTAAATGCTCCTGTTTTTTTCTGTCTCGTCTTCTTGGTATAACTTTTTTTTCCGTCTTCATCACGGTGTTAACGATATCTTGGGGAAATGACTTTGTTACGGCGTCTACGGTTTCCTTTGTTTATTTGATGGTTCCTTCTTCTTTGCTTACGAAGCAACAAGTTTGTATAATATTTGGATCCTACTACTTTTTCCCAGAAAGTGTGTGTAATAACAAGAGGATCCTCGATAATGTAAAAAAGAGGGGAAAAAAAAGAGGGAAACCGTGTGCAAAATGTGTGACAAGACGCAAGCAATTGAAAAAAAGGGTGTCCTCCCCAAATGTAGATTGTGGCTGTCGTCTTCGATATACATATATGGCTACTCACTTAGCCTAGAGTCTAGCGTGAAACAGCACTGTACCAGGACGGGTTCCCCGTGAATTATAAATGGCTCGATGTTCGTCGCAGTCAGTCCTAGGCTCCTGGTTGTGAGTAGTATGTGACCCGTGAGTCACGGTGTGACTGCGTTGCATGCACTTATACGCGTGAATAGGCCGTGCGGACTAGGGTCGGAATGACAGCTCGGTCGCTTGTTGTGTTGGGTACGACGTGACAAGGTGAATGGGTTTATCCTTCTGGCATATTTTATTTTTGTCTTTATTATATTCTCTTCCTTTGCCGATATTTTGTTCCCCAGCCGGGGGGGTATCAGAGTGATAGTGGTGACAGTTCCAACGGCGCAGGTCAAAGTGTCAAGACCTTTCATAGCACCTATGACTGTTCTCGGCCTTATGTTAGTGACTCCTTACAATGCCACGTCTCATGTGTGGCAGACACTTCGTACTTGAACTTCATAAACCTCGTATTCGTCGTGTACTCTTTAGTTTTTGTTGGGTTGATTCTGGACTGCTACCGCGCTCAGTGTTCATAGACCCGTTCCCGGAAATGCTCCGGTCTTTGATAGCACGACCATGCCGTGCTCTCGTGAAATGTATCCCTTCATTAGACCCTGCAAGAAACACATGTGTGTCAGATATGTGAGTCTAGAGGGGGAAGAATGGCAAGGCTGGAGACCGCCAATGAGAAGATTACCTTGTAGATCATATTGGCCAAGAGGCATTCGACTTCGTCGGAGTCAATGACCTGGCCACCGCTGGCCATGCTAATTGCAGCCTGGAACTCAGCAACGGGGATACGTGTGCGACGTACATCCGGGTCGCTGGGGTTCTTCTTCTCAACAAAGCCTCCGATGGCAAAAACTTTGCGCAAAAGGTTGCGTAGGGCAATGTCACGTCCACGCTCGAGCGTGAGGTAGATGCGCCGCTGCACAAAGACGTCCTCGCCCTTCTGGAGGGCCGAATCAAATGACTTGAGGTCGCCACGGCGGATGCATTCAGTCAGCGGAGAGAAAAGCTCCTTCAGGCGGGGGAAGGGCTCCAGGAGCTTCTCTGACGGCAGCTTGTGGCTTGTCAGCAAGCGACAAGGGATGAGATATGTCAGTATGCGCTCGAGGTTATTCTTGGCATCGTGCGCACACAGCTGCCACGCCTCTGTTAATCGATCCTCGGCCTGGACATAGTCTTCTTCCAGGAAGAAGAGGACGCCCTCGTAGTATCTAAAGGTAACCCTCTGTGATTTGGGGAAGGCCCGCAGATGCGGCAGCGAAGTTTGTTGGCTGAGGCTGGTGAGAATGGTCCGCGACAGGGATGCCGAGTTAAGCTTAAAATAGGTTTTGAATAGCAAGTTCACGAAATAGTAGGTGCCCCATTGCCGCGATATCTCAATTGGGGGGTTTCTATTTTTGTCGAAATAGTCCCACGTTAGTCACGGCAATGCCTAGTAATTGAGGAAACCTTCCTCCGTGAGCGGAGAGGGGGATGCACCAACCGGTCGGTGAAGCAAAGCGTGAAAAGTCGCTTCAGGTGCTGCTCGCAGTCCCGCAGCTGGGCTTGCTGGTCGGCCTCGGGATCAAAATCGTCCTGGATAAGCATCGAGTTGGACGTTGCAGCGACCGAGCTGCGTTTGCGCTCCTCATCCGACTTGATGGCGAACAGCCGGAGATATTTGCCAATCATGTACAAGATGGGTAATGTCCAGACCTCGAAGCCAGCCTTGCCATAGCCTCGGATGGTCTTGGATGTCAACTCTCTCCATGCTTCATACACTTTGGTCCATGAAGACTAACTTCCCAGCTCTCCGTCAGCAAGCTGGACCAAAAAGGGAAGTCGGGGACACACGCAAGCAAAAAGCCAGACAACTAACCTGACCAGTCTCCCCAGCCAAAATCTCCCCAAGAGCCGTCCAGTACGCTGTATAGATCTCAACCCACGCTTCCAACTCATTAACGTCAATGCCATGCTTCCGGGTCGTGTTGATCCTGATAAAGTGCTCTATATCACCCGAAACGCTGTGAGAGTTGGTGCTCTGCCATACTCGCGTCAGTCTGTGCGGTTGACCAGAGATCGGAACCGGCGTCAATGTCTGGGCCAGCAGGTAGCCATTTTTCGAGCTGTAAGCCTTGGCAAAATCGTCAAAGAGCTCATTCATGATGACGTGAGACTGATGATGCGGCTGTTCAACGTTGTTGTCTTTGTTGTTGCCCGTTGACACAAGAAGATGAGCAAAGGGAAAAACTTCGGCAATATACTATGGCGGGAAACCTTTGAGAGAGAAAAAGGCGACCAATGAATTCCTTTGCACAACCATGCGATGCCTGGGTACTATTACGACGAACAAAGCTGAGGAAAGGAATCTCTAAGTGAAGCATTCAAACACAGTAATCATACGACGTGAAAAGCTTCCCTGAGTGAAGGAGTCCTGGCGTTCAACATGCTATGTGGCTGCCCACCGTCTGATTGGCCTTTATCACGATGACCCACAATCTGATTATCGATGGTCGATAAGAAGACCTTGCACGTGACTGTAAGTCAAGTGGGGGCTCCACGTCCAATGACACGGCAGTGCAAAGCCCTGCGTCGTCTTTGTGCCTTTAGCCCTCTCCGTCACCCGCACACAAAAAAAATCGCGGCTACCCATTCCCAACTTCGGCCATCATTAAATTTCGAGGTAGTTGACGACATACGCCAGCCGACAAAGTAAGTCGCCAAAACAGGACGATAGAAGCAATTGGATCTGGTTTACTAACAATACTTACAGATGGGTAAGTTATATCTTCCTCTGCGGCATGTTTTCTTGTTCTCGCCAATCCTTTCTCGCCGTCGATGAGAGAGAGAGCGCGGTCGCTGCCACCACCACCCCCCACCAACTCGACGCCCAAGACGACTTTGCTCTGTGGACGATCATCGCCACATGTTGCTCTGGAGGGGGTCAAAAGAGACCAGTGGAGGAGAACAAGAATGTTATTCTTTTTTTCTCATCACCCATGGCCAAGGAGGGGAACTTTGTTTCTGAACATCGTTCTTGCCCACCGGGAAGACCCTCTACGACACACGCACAAATAGGATGAAAATGGGTCGAACAAACCAGACGAACGCATGCCCCTTGCTCTCTTTCTCTATCGACGACGACTACAGAACACGATGATCTTCTCATACACGACGATATTTACCAGAGACAACGTAACTAACATGATGATTTTTTTTACTCAAAAGGCCGTCTTCAAGAATTCGAGATCATCGGGCGCCACCTGCCCACCGAGGCTAACCCCGAGCCCTCGCTCTACCGCATGACCATCTTCGCTCCCAACGAGACGGTCGCCAAGTCCCGTTTCTGGTACTTCATCCGTGGTCTCAAGAAGGTCAAGAAGGCCACTGGTGAGATTGTCAGCGCCAAGGTGGTGAGTACTTTCTGTTCCTCAGTATACACTTTTTTTTTTGGCTGCAATGAGCACCAGAACTAATGTTCTTTCATCACCGCAGATCCACGAGAAGCACCCCGAGAAGGTCAAGAACTTTGGCATCTGGCTCCGCTACGACTCCCGTTCTGGAACCCACAACATGTACAAGGAGTTCCGTGAGATGTCGCGCACCGACGCCGCCGAGGCTCTGTACTCTGACATGGCTGCCCGTCACCGTGCCCGCTTCAGGTCGATCCACGTATGTCTTCTTTAGCCTTACTAGTTCTCTTTCACTCTACTTCTTGGATAAAGTCTGACAAACAACAGATTCTCCGCATTGTCGAGGTTGAGAAGACCGACGACATCCGCCGCCCCTACATCCGCCAGGTCATCGCCAAGGACCTTAAGTTCCCCCTGCCCCACCGCATCACCAAGCAGAACACCAAGAAGATCTTCAGCGCTAAGCGTCCCTCGACCTTTGCTTAAAAAATGTTTTTCTTTTTTTAAACGCGGTAGAAGAGACAATATTTGGGTTTTGACGGTGTTCAACTTACGGGTCATGGAAAATAAAAATGCATAGGCTCGGTCTAAAAAAGAAAAAAAATCGAGCTATGAAAAAAATGAACCAAAATTTTTGATGAAAAAAAAGGAAGTCAACTGAAAGTTGGCTTCTTCTGACTATTCGTTGATATAATATGCATGCATGCATGGCTCCTTTTCCTCACATCCCATCTCACTTGTACAGTATATGCTAGTATACACAAAGTTTTCCTTGATCCATCCTATATTCACAAATAGGAAAACCCCTAAAAAGTCCCGGCTTCAGATACCATACAATGAGTGGTTTTGAATGAAGTCGTAATACATTGCAGTACATTCTTATAAAAAAAAAGCAACCCGACCCAAACCCCAAAACGCCTTTATTCTGTTTGTCTTATAGTCCTCGTACACATACCAGACTACAGCGAATCATACCCGGCACTCTCCTCAGGCGAAAATTCCATCTGCGCATCATTGATAAATTCATTCCACGACGCCATGTCGAATGGAAGTCCGTGATTTCCCATGCGCTGCTGCTGTCCAGGCTGGCCCGGAAAGCCGTTGGGGACGGTGGCGTCCGTTGTGGTTGGAATTGCATGACCGTCGTAACCGCCCGGGTACTCGAACAAGTGGGAAAGGTCATTGTTGTCCACGTCGAAGGGATCCATAAAGTCTGCAGCGGGCATATAGTCTGGTCCTGGCATCATGTCCGAGGCCATCTGGGTGCTCGTGAGGGGTAGGATGTCCATGTATCCGTGGCCAGCGAGGGGGTGCGTAGGGTGGCCGTAATTCTGGACTGGTGCTATCGCCGTTGCCTGTTGCATCAAAGGGGCATTGTTGGTTGTGTTAGTCGTGTCGGTCGTGTTTTCCGTGGTTGCGGCTGCAGTGGTGATGATGTTGGCACTGGTGTTGGTGTGCAAGCAGAGATGGCCCTTGGCTGCTACCCTGGCCTCCTTGGCCCTCCTGTAAAGTTTCTTTATGGGCCGCCAAAGTGATCCCCGAGCCGAGTCGGCAATAAGCGTCTTCCACCGGGGAAAGACCTGCTCGACCACTCGCCATGCGTGGTCAGATACGCTGCCCTCCGTCTGGACGCACAGCTCCGCCAGAGCGACGGCGAGTGGGTGCCACTGCACGTAGCACCGAGTCAACCAGGCGAAGCGGTCCTCCCACGGAGGGGCCTCCATGCTCTCGGAAAGCTCCATGACGGATACGGCGGTGCGCAGCATGGTCTCGCGCGAAGCGCTCATGGTCACCACGGTGGGCTGCGCGGAGTAAGGGTACTTGGCCATGAGCCAGACCTTGAGGATGACCATGCGGGCCACCTTGGAGGCGTACAGGGCGCTGAGGTTAGACGGGTCCACGTTGCGGATGAAATCCCTCTCTAATCCGCGGACGTTCTCGAGGAGCTCGTGCTCCGTGTGTAGGCTATCCCCCCCCTTGTCCTGTAGCGACGCTGCCGTGTTGACCCCCGGATGGAAGATGGCTCCGAGGGCACTGCAGCGCCGAGAGCAGAGCCCGACAATGTTATCGGCCGGCCCCACCTTGGGCACGAGCGGCCCCTTTGAGTCCGGTCCGAAGTCGTCATCGTCAATGTTGGTGGGCGGTGCCGTGTTGTACGAGGACGATGTGAGGATGGCGTCCGTGCCGCGGTCTTCAGCGGCGCGGATGTCCAGAGTCAGGATTGAGTACCACAGCCGGCGGCGCATTTCAGCGTCAAACGCTGAGAAACGGTGGCCGTCGCCGTCGCGATGAAGGTTCATGGCTTGCGCGATGCGAACGAGCGACGAAGTGAGGACCCACGAAGCGCGGCCCATGGATGATGCACGCAGCACCGCCAGGTAGATGGCAAAGGCCTGCAGGGTCTCGAGGCTGTGGGTGTTGAGATAATCGGCGGCGGCGAGGGCTCGCTCGGTGCCCATGCGAAAGCTCGCAGCCAGGGCGGCCTGAGAACGGCCTAGCCTCTCGCGGGCTGCCCTCTCGCCCAGAGTTGAGATGGCACCAAAGTAGATGGAGAAGAGCAAGGCGTTTGTCGAGGCAGGCAGATAGGTGCCCGGGGGCGCATTCAGGAATTCCTGTATCTTGCCGTTGACAGTTGGGCGGTGGAGAATCTTGAGCAAGGGATCGACGTTGCACAGGTAGGTTGTCCATAGACTGAGCACCAGATCCGGTGGCGGATGATCTAGGCTGTTCTGCTCATGGTAGTCTGGGTTGCCAAATATAAAGGCAGAGGGCTCGTTGTTTTTGCAAGGCACAATGAAGCCGCCATCGTCGTCATCTTCATCTTCGTCGTCGTCTTCGTCTTCGTCGTCGGATGGCTGGTCCAAGACGTGTTTCAAACCGTCCACCTCACCGCAGAGGTTGCTCCAGAACTCGTCGCTGAGATATCGGTTGCTTGTCTGCCCTGCTTCCGGCCTCCTCTTCGCCTTGGGTCTGTGGACGAGGGCAGAGTTGACCAGTTGGCCAGTGCCAGATGGCGATGCTGACGATTGGTTGCTCTTGCCGCTGCCAGCATTCGTAGGTAGGGCAATAGCGGTACTAGTAGCAGGAGTGTTACGAGTAGCAGCAGTAGCAACAGCAGCAGCGTCGGTGGCGTCGAGCTCCCGGAGTCTATCAGGGTCGGCTTGTCCGATGATGCCTTCCAGTCGACGTATACGCTGCAAGAGTTCTCCTTGCCGCTGACGAGGGCGCAAGGCACGTCGCGTGGGCTTTCGCGAGGGGTAGATGCATTCTATTCCCAGCCTGGAGCAGTCGGTGCACACGGGCTGAATCTTGTCGCACTTTGTCTTACGCTGACGACAACTGGCGCAGCTGAGGATCTTGGGGACCTTGGCCTCAGTCATGGTACTATCCCGGGAGTTCGGTACCCGCTCCGATGGGGCGTTTATATTATATCGTAAATGATGTGAACAGACCGAGTAGCGTCGGCAGGGCGGATAGAAACGGTCACATCGTCATTGATCCGCTCAAGTCGGGTTCGAGAAAGTGGCAGCGTTAAACACGGTCGAGAATCGGTAGACTCCACCGGTGGAGCAGGACGAGGAGGGAGAGGAGGGGGTCAGAAAAAGAGTATAAGTACCGGGTACCGTACCACGCAATATTACGTCGCAGAAATACATGTACTGACATGTACATATAATGATATAGAACGGGCAGTTCGGATGTGTGGACCGTGCAGCTGTATCGGCATTACCACCACTACTAGTAGTATCCGTATTACTAGTCGCGTATAGTAGTAATAGCAGTAATCTGTACTGACCTTTAGGAGTTAACGGTAGCCCTATCAACCGTCGAGACATTGTTTACCCACAAATTCCACGTAGTGCTTTCTTAACATCAAGCTTTTAGCCCCAAAAGGTAGGACGATATTACTCGATTGGGCATGAGTCATGATATCAGTCCATCCTGTAAGATAGAAGGAAGACAACCACGTTCTTCCCTCTACCCCTTTGGTTTTTCGCCTCTTTGCCCCCAGACTCCTGCTTGATGATGTGTACTCTGCATCAGCCCTGCCCCAAAATTCACTAGACCAGCCAAGGGTCTTGTACTGAAGTGAAGCAATGGCTCCGGCAAGCGAGCAGGATGCGACACCGAACGCAGCATGGATCACCGTCAAGACAGTCCTACTGGCGTATCGGCCGGTTGCCGACATTAGGACGAGAGGCTCCTGCTGAGGGTTCTCTGCAAAGCCGGCATCGATGCCCTGCACGCCATTAGGAGCCAAGCCCGAGACCATGATGTGGTCAATACAGGCTAGGCCTGATGCTGACGTGGACGAGAGCAAAAAGGTATTGATGAGAGACATGGGTGCCGGAAACCACTCGTACTGAACAGCCGTATGCGTCGCCGAAACAGGACAAGATGGTAGGAGTATCGGGCATCAAGTTTGAGGGAGGCGATCTTGGCTGGCCATCCCTGGGATACATGTTTCGCGGCGAGGCCTGGGGGAAGGGCTATTCGACTGAGCTTGCTTAAAGCTCTCGTTGACGTGTGGTGGACCCTTCCCGTAGACGAAGTCGAAACGAGATGGCCAAGGATGCCATAGTCCAGGGTGATGGCGAAGCTCGCCGGGGCGACGACGAGCTCAAGAACGGCGGATGCCTTACAGCCATCGTGGCCGAGGACAGCAAGCCGAATTTAAGGGTTCTCGCTCATGCAGTTTGAAGTTGGCCATGATGTTTGAAGAGGAGGATTGTCGGGGAGGAGGGATAATAGTAACATTGTGCAGATCTCCCGCGACAAGTAAAACACGGCCTGCAGGATGAGCAAGGCGTAAGAGGGAAGAAATGGTGCATGTGAATATCACCGCCCACGAATAATGGGGGGAGGAGGGATTCGAAAAAGTTGGCAAGGCGGGGGAAGGACCAAAGGGTTCATGAATGCCGGCGTCGTCGGCGACCAACAACGTCGGCGACGACGTAAGTTGCTAGATCGCAAGACCGTTGGATGATTGCACAATGATAATGTAAGAAGGTTGAATTTTTTTCTTTCGCTTTTTCCTGTGTTCATCTATTTATTTTCTTTTTTTTTTTCCCCACAAACATCCATTTTCCGACCCTCGCTCCCTTCGGACTCGGTGTTGCCATGTAATAATAATACGGACAAATGTCAATTATCCGGAGTGCGATATGACGCCAGAGCGGCCAGTTGCCCCACCTTCAACTGATACCGCTTTAGCAATGGCAATGGACTCTTGGGTAGGCTGTAATACAGTGTTGCTGCCCTCGAAGAGCTTATTGGCCGGTAAGAATGCAATGGAAGGGGGGGGGGGGGGTTGAACGCAAGACAAGGGCGCAGCAGTATGAGCCCACCCCCAATCGATTATCTCCGTGATGTTGATGTTGAATTAGTCGTCAGCATTGAGGATAAGTGAAGGTACAGGTACTTCTCCTCTCTTGATGTCACACCCAACGCAACGCAGAGGTTGGACTGACAGAACCAAGAATGTCCAATTAAAACGGCGAGGGGTTGTGGGGATGACAGCGTTGGTCTCCCCGAGCATGGAAGTTTTACGCTGAATGATAATAGTTTTCACAGTTATATATACGGAGTACCCATGTCCGAATCTATCCTCTCTTTTTTTTTTCTTTCCTCCCGATATATTATATATTTCTACTCTGTCACGTACACTCGGTGACTCTGTCTCTTTTACAGCCCATCACGAAATAATAAAGATAACGACGGCAATACCGCCTCTTCCAATCTGCCCACCATGGCTACCACCTTGGGATTCACAACGCCCTCCCTCATTGCCGCCACGACCGGCATTGTCGGATCAGCATGGACATCGGGTGAGTTTCAGACTAAACATATGCGATCTCTCATTTATGCCGAGAACGCATATATCTAACTAACACAGGCGCAATCGCATCCATCTCCCTGATCGGAATCCCCGCCTACCTCAGCAGCCCCGACACCTCAGCCCAGATCTGGGCCACCAGCTATGAGCGCGGGAAGAACACTATGCCCAAGGTTGCCATCGCTGTAGCCCTGGCATACTTCTACGCCGCCTATGATTCCCACGGCCGTGACGCTGCTGGTGCGTGGAAGGGTTTTCTGGGTGCGGCGGGCCTCGTCCTCGTCATCCTCCCCTTCACCCGGGCCGTCATGAAGCCTACCAACGACTCGCTCCATAGCATTGCCAGTGGTTCGTCGGCCACCCCGCAGATACAGTCCGGCGGTCTTCTCAAAAAGTGGTCTGCTCTCAACATCATCCGAAGTCTGTTTCCCCTCGCTGGCGCCGCTCTGGGCTTTGTGACGCTCCTGGCCAATGCCACCGCTTAGATGCTAAATACAGATGGCCATGGATGGTTTTTATCGAACTGACTGTGCATGTGCCTCCACGGCTCGGTACGATGATGATTTATATGATGCTAGTAGTGTTCAATGCAACGAAAAGACGAGGAAACAGACAAGGTCTGCTACCTTGATATGAAGAATACCATGCTTCCAACCTGACGAGCTCACATTTTCTCATTCTGCTCCTCAAACTCGGCAACAGCCTTTCGCAAGTTTCCCATCTCTCGCTTCTCTATCCATGTATTTCGCGTATGGGGACAACCCTTCCATTTCACAAGGTAGAGATGTTGACGCGTCTCGGGCAGAATACGTGATTCAATAATTCTCTCCACCTCCCGCACTCTTCGCCCTACGCGGACCGTCCCGGGTCTTGTGGCAAATTGTCGTTGTATGGTGGTTCGTTGGGCGGGTTTATCACTTTGCGCCGCATCGTTCGTCCTCGCTGTCATGGTGTTCACCAACTTGGCTATGGGTCTAGTCGCCCGACCAGACCGTCTACTATTGCTTGTTGGAGGCGCCTGCGTAGGCGGAGTCTCATCTTTCGCACTAGTACTGGGAGTAGTACTGCTACTTGTGCGAGATGGTATCAGCTTCTATGTTGATTTGGTGACTCGACTATGCCGCCTACCCGGTGTCGACGGACTCTTGTTCTTTGTATCTGTGTGGGGTCAACGCAAGTCGTGACCTCATTTCATCGGTATTGGGAGTTTCTTGCTTCATCTCTGGTGAAAGATGTTCATTGTCTTCGGCGAGCCATTTTCGATTTCTGTAGACGGGGTGTTGTTAGTAGAGGACCGTTCTGGAATCAGGCAAAAGGACGGATCAAATCACTTGACACTTGCAAAGTTACGCATAGCTATGCTCTTAAGATACTCTGCATTGGTTGCCATGACAGGAAGAGATTGGGTAGACGATGGGAGTAACGATGGTTTTGCACATTTTTGTTTTAGGTGAACATGTTTCTCCCTGGTGAGGCACAATAGAGGAGGCATATTGGGAACATGATGATAGTAATTAAGGAAGTCGCGTTTGACTATCAGATGGAAATCAAGAGAGCAGGAAGGCGGAAAAATAGAGAACCAAGACTAACCAACAGGTCAAATTCGTCGTCTCTCGCCCCCTCTTAATATCAAGATAGGCTCATCGTTCACCAACTAATACACCCTTTATTTCGGAGTGTTCGTGAGTGGAATCTGTAAGGAGTGAGGGGGAAGCTGATAGAAGTGCTTTGCATGGAACCTGGAAAATAACAGACCTATGATCACTTTACTCTGTCATAGGTATGCGCCACATTTCAGCCATGAAAGCATGTCCCACAGTACTGTGGCACGCGTGGCTCAGTCTTCAGAAAGCCAACGCGAGAACGCGGAGGCCCGTGCAGGGGAATTTTGACGAGTATAATGGGAGGGCGCCCCGCTGAATCGCGGCTACTCGTATAGCCTACAGCAGGGCTCCTATTGACTCGCTAACACCTTCGCTAGAGTAATAGCATCCCTACGACGGTCGACGACGCGTTAAACCGTGCACCGTGGTCGCGCGTTAAGAGGCTGGACCGAAGAAAGAGGAGTTCATTTTTGCGATATCCCACCCGACTGTGTCTGACGCCCGTCGATTCGACATCTGGTTCAAGGCCAAAACCCAACAGAATTGTTGCATATCCGAGCGTTCCTTTCGTTTTTCCTATTTGGTCTGGGTTCAGACGGAGGGCTATTGTTTTCTCTCCTTCTTTTCGCTTCATTTTTTCCTTCTTTCTTTTGGTACTCTAACCCCCCCCCCCCCCCTTAAATATCTGACAGCTTCTCCAATGGTTACGTCCGTCACCGCGGGCAAGGGCCTACGTAAAGGCATACATGGAGCAGCGTGGTATGTCTCGGTGCTGCCCTTTCTCTTCTCTACCCCCCCCCCCNCTTCTTTTCGCTTCATTTTTTCCTTCTTTCTTTTGGTACTCTAACCCCCCCCCCCCCCCTTAAATATCTGACAGCTTCTCCAATGGTTACGCAAAGCTGCACACCCGTCCTCCCGGCCACTTCTTGAGCTGGCAAGATCGCCGCCGACCTCAGGGAATTCATCCTATGGCTATGGAATCTCCTGCACCAGCCTCGACGCTCCTGGAGAAACTCCCAGCGCGACCGCCGACGCCTCCACGCGACACTACCCTCCAAGAGATTCCCGATCTGTTCAAGAACATCTCCTCCCAAGGCTCTCCCTACAATCCTCGGCTGGACCTCCACACGCCCCCCAACGCCAACGCGCCCGCGGGAAACTCGACAAATCCGGACTCGAGTCGCATAAGGAAGCGCGTGCTGTGGTCTGCTCACACAGAGTACAGGGACCCGCCTGATTACCGACCCGCCGCCGACGGGCTGCACAGGTCCCCGCTGGTGTCTGCACCCTCCTCGGCGTCTGGTAGGCCGCTCAAAGGAATCCTCAAGCCGTCGCCATCTCCGAACCCGCTGGCCGCATCCCTGGGAGACGGCTTGGACGCGGCGGGCGGGGCTCACGTCAACATCACTGAGATGCTCGACTCCACTATCAAGCAGCTGACAGGCTCCGACCGGACCTCGAAGCTGGATGCCTACATGATGCTCTCGCGGGCTCTCAAGGCATCTAATAACCTCCCTGACCGCGTTGCTCTGCAGCACAAGATGAGCCTACTCGTCCAGTTTATCCAGAGGGATGTCACATACAAGAATGAGGATGGCATCGTCGACACCTCCCTCGTCAATCACGCGTTGACCCTGCTGAACACATTTCTATGTTTCCATGCTATTGCTTCGACAATCAACTCCGAATTCGCCATATTCGTCATCGACCACTCCATACGCATCTTCGAGGATCGCTCCGCCTCTAAGGACGTCGTCAGGCATTTCATGCAGGTCGTAGCGATACAGAACTTTTCTGCAAAGGTTATGACGGCTGACCGCGTTGGCCGTTTGATCACGTCACTACACAGAATTGAGGACCACTTGAAGGGGAAGAGCATCATCACCGGCCGCCTGCACATCTACAGGAAGCTCGTGAAGCAGTCCCGCAACCACATGGCTCTTTACACCGACTGGATCAAAGACATGCTTACGGACATGCTCAGCACGGTGAGGGAGATCCAGACCCAGGCTACCCATCTTGGTATGGAGGCTGGTTTCTCCCTACGCCAGGGGAACCTGATGTTGCGCAAGATGACGGAAATCCTTCAGACGTCAAATGAGGATGAGACCTACATTCAATTCTATATGCGAAACCTGAGCGACATGGTCAAGGATAAGCAGCGGTCTGCCGCCGTTCCACCCATCTGGAGCGTCATCACCCTCTTCCTACGATGCCCTCTGGACCGATGGGACAACTACAACCCCTGGTTTTCGCTGATCCAGGTAGCTTTCAACACATCTGACAGCCAAACCAAGCACGAAGCCAACTACGCGTGGAACCGCTACGTCTTCCTATGCCTCATGGACAACAAGCCGACGAGCAAACTCCTGTCTACTCTCTGCCAGCCACTCATCAGTCAGCTGCGCAGGAGGGCAAACACCAAGCAGCTCGAGGAGAGCAAGAACCTGCGGAGGACTGTCATTGGTGGCATCTGCAATCTGTACTACTACGCATTTCGCCCCGGTAGCGAACGGCTCTCGCCTCCCGAAGTCACGTGGGACATTGCCGTGCAACCCGTGATTTCCCAGCTTCTCGGACTCGATGGCCACCGCGATGTTCCGACGGAAGATGTTCTGCAAGCATCAAGGATTCTGGTGGGCCTCTTGGACGTGTCAACACCAACCGTCTGGAAGGAAGATCGCATAGTGGACCTCCCCCCGGTGAAGCCCGATGACCTTCCTTCGATAGAGTCGAAATGGATCAGGAAGAACTCGGAGAGAGTGTTCAAAACTATAGGTCCTGTCCTGGAGAAGAAGTTCTTGGACCTTGCCAACAAGGAGAGCCTTACACATCGGTTATGGCAGGCCGTCGTCGGCTCGGTTGCCGCTGCCTCCGCTAAAGATATCAAGGTCTCCGAGGATACAGCTAGGTTCTTTGCCTGCGCCTTCGACCTCCTGTCGCATATCTGGTCCAAGGGCTGCGCCGATAACGAGGAGCTCCTACGCTCCAAGTTCTACCCCAGCGTGCGAAACTTCATCACCATCCTCCTGGAAGGCCTGGGATTGCTCCCCTTCATGGAGAAGAAGCTGTCCATGACGGTGCCAAACACGTTCGAGCCGGTGGCCACACCATCTCATCGCCCCGACCGCCCGGAGAAGCCACGCGGGATTGTCCGCACTCCGCTACAGCACCTCTTCACCATGTTGTCTTCTGTGCCCCACGGTGGAGCAGACGACGAAGCGTTCTCGGATTTCTTCCAGTCCGTGTTCAAGCCCTTCTTCGTCGGAAAGAGCGACAAGATCCGGGTCGAGCTCACCAGGGAGCTCTTGCGCCTGAGCCCGCAAAACACACCGTCTCCATTTGCCTTGTGGAAACTGGGCGCGCAAGCTGTGAAACTTTCCTTCTCCATGAACGCGCATCGTAGTTCGCAGGTGGACACCAATGTACCTGGGCCCGAGTTCCGTGAGATCGTGTCGCTGCTTGAGCGCGGCCTCACATCACACCCCAATCTATCGTCCACACCCTGGCTTTCGCTCTTTGACGCCTTCTGTCAGCGTGTGACGGCCGACTATGGAGATGCAGGCCGCGCCATTGTTATACTCAAGCCACTGGCCAAGACGCTGGTGGCCGAATTCGGATCCAATCCTGACCAGCCATCGCCTAAGCTTCTTGAGGCTGCCCGTGCCGTATTTGACTCGGCCAAACTCCCTCGTGACCAGCAGGCATTGGACGTTGCGCGACGTCGCATTTGGGGAGACCCCGCCATTGTCACCAAAGCAGGCTCTCCTGACCCCTTCGACTCCCTCTACAAGCTGGGCTCTCTAGTGTCTAGATACTACTACGACCACCTGGATAACAGTGACCCAGTTCCCTTTATCAACGCAATGGGCAAATTTGTTGTCGAGTCAATGGCCATTACGGGATTTGACTCCTTGGCCAAGCTACAGGCTGGGTTGTCACTGTGGTTTCAAGACGAGAAGAATATGCTGAAGATCAATAGTGACTCTCAACTCAGCATTTCGGTATGCTAATCCATCCATCCACCCCTCCCCCTGTACAGAATGCTAACTTAGACGATAGATCCGTGGACTTTGGACCACAATTTGCACCGAGCTGGCACGCAATGGCCCTCTCGATAAAGGCCAATTCGACCGTGTCGAGGTGTTGCTTACGGCCGCTTTCAGGAGCCAGCACCGCTTCATCGTGAACAAAGCAGCAGAGGCTTGGAATGCTGCCGTCAAGGATCAGGAGAGCATTGAGTGCTCAGACAGCTTCAAGTCTGTTGTGTCTTCCCTGCGCCCGCAGGTAGATATTACCTTGCCTGGTGTTGAACAGGCTGACGAGGACTTTGGTGCCCAGCCTGTCAACTTTTTGGATTCTCAGGAAGACGCGGGTCCACCAGCACCAGCAGCTCCCTCTCCTTCACCAGCTCTTACCGGAAGCAACATTTCAGATTTCAAGGGCGTCAAGATTTCCGTATTGAGGAGAACTGCCCGTCCTTCCCCGCCACCCAGACGTCGAGTGGAAACTACACCAGAGTCGAGCAGAATCTCCAAGCGGGTGACACGGTCAGGTAGCAGGGTGACCCCGCGTCTTCGGCACGACAACTCTCAGATTCAGTTTGAGCCAATCGCCTCATCGTCCCCCGTGGCCGACGAGTCCCAGAATCTTACTGAGAGACAGAAGGAAGTCCGGGAGAGGCAGAGGCAGAATGCGGCCATGTATTCTGATGTACAGACTGGCTCTCCTGTTACTGGGCCAGCCACTTCGGCGAAGAAAGCCGAGGCATCGGCCAAGGCAACGGCCGGAAATGCTCCGAAGGCGACGCCGGAGCGTGCCACCTCGTACTCGGAGCTGATCACCTCAACGCCAACTCCACGGAGAGGTCAGCTCCTCCTCATAGAAGGGGAGAACGACCCGGCGTCCTCGCCCCCCGAACCGAGGCCTTACCCTCTCCTGTCAGAGATCCGTTCCAGATCTTCGACTAATCATCTGGAGAGCTGGAACTTCTCTTCACCCCCCAGCTCCCCGGCCGTCACCCGCCAGCAGGCTGCCCTGGAAGCGGAGCAGCCGCAGGTAACCTTGACAGAAGGGTCCAGTCCTACGAAGCCACCCAATAAAGGTCGCAGTACACGTTCTATGGGGAGGTCGTCAATATCTTTCGATGTTATCCCGTCAAGTATCCCGGAGAAGACGACCGAGAGTGGGAGAGTTTCTATTACGCGATCGGGCAAGGTACTCCGCAGCGACCAGCACGACGTCGCCCCGGAGACGCCACCTACAAAGCGTGTGTCTAGGGCATCCAAGGCTGCCGCTGCCGCTGAAGAACAACTCGCCAGGTCGGTGGAAGAGGAGTTCGTGGATGCCAGGGGCAGTGTGGAGAGATCATCGCCTGTTCTTCCAGAAATGCCGCCGCAACAGGCTGCCGCCGCCGCCGACGACGACGACGACGACGATACGTCATCTCTTGAACTGAGCGAAGTCGACGACAGCCAACTTATGAAGTTTGTTGTCGAGCTCGAATCGCGCAGGTGCGACTCGCCTCTGAACAGGCACGCCCCCTCCTCATCGCCGGCGAAGCAGCAGGAGACAGAACATGTTGTGGTGGAATGCATCACCGTGCATACCGACTCTTCCTCGCCCTCGCCCTCGCTGGCACAGAGGAGGAAGCGCAAATCTCAATCCCAGTCTCAAGATTTCATTCCCTCGACGCCCGTCGAGCCTCCCTCAGAGCCTGCTGAGGAGGCACAAGATGAGGTCGGGGAGCAGGTCGGAGAGAGGCTCAGCAGCCCCCAATCCCGTAACAAGCGCAAGAGGAAGAGTGGAGAACTAAGGAGGAGCGAGAGACGCTGCAAGAAGAGACGCTCCATTTCGGCCTCGGAAGCTGCTGTACAGCAGGCCGAGGCGTCCAAGGACAACGCAGAGACAGTTGCCAGCAGCTCACCCGTTAAGTCTCAGGGGGTCAAGACTAGGCGCAGCACAAGGCAATCCCAGAAAGAGCAGGAAGAACACGAACGGCAGCAGCAACGACAGGAGCAGAAACAGCAAAAACAGCAGCAGAAGCAGCAGCGTCGGAGAAGGAACCTTGATCAAGGGAAAGGCCAGGGTGAGGATAGAGACACGGACGAAGAAGTGTTTTCTCAACTCATGACCGAGTCCAACGCGGCATCTCAGTCGCAATCACAGCTGCCAAGCGATGACGCGAATGACGTCGAAGTTGACATGGATATGGGTGAGGAGAATGACGAGATATCACGGCCAAACCTCGGAGGTACCAACCAAGGTGATGGCGGTGTGGATAAGACACCAGCAGTTGTTAAGGTGGAGGAGGAGGGTGAGAGTGGCCCGGGTTCGGGCGATGCGAGCCATATAATTGGACGACTGCAGGGTGAACTAGAAAGACTTCGGGCGGCATCTCTCTCGCGCGACGAGGTCTACAAGATTGAGGATATGCTCATGGATATGAAGAGGGAGCTGTTTGAGGCTGAACGCCGAGGAAGGCAGTCAGTCTAGGGACATTAGGCGAAGCTGGTAAAAGGAAAGGAGGGGAGATGAAAAAAAAAGTCATGGTATCATGAGTTGGATGGGCACATCAGGGGTAGACGGATCTTGTTTTGTTTTTGTTTGTATACAAGCATGCTTGCATGTGTTTTGCATCATCACTGGAGTTTTTTTTTCTGGGCATCAATTGAAGGAGGAGGGCTTGGCGTACTACAGAGTGGTAGACAGGAATTATATCATTGTATACCTTTATCTCACAGGGGCGTCATCTCTGCGTTATGCTTTCCTTTCAGTCTTGCATGCCTGTACTTAGTCCTGCATCACCGTACCCTTGCTATCTGTCGATTGGGACTTGTCCCCGTCAATTTGGAGGAGACGAGAAGCGGAGGAGACAGGTTGGAGGAGGGTAAAAGTACCAGGCAAGTGGAGACAGATTGGAGAATCACGAGATACAGTCGGAGTAGTTTTACGGAGTGCATCTACCCGTATCTCCTAGTAGCAGTTGCAGTTTGCTATGAGGAAAGGACTATCGAACATACACGAGATGAAAGAAACATTGACTTTTTCTTCTTCTTTCCTTCACAGCCTCTGAAGAAAGAGCGTAGAGAAAGTAAATTGTTGCGCGTGACGTTCGTTTAACCTTTTCTTTTCCTTTCCTTTCTATCATTTTTTCAATTCTTCTTATTGGCAAAGCTGTAAATATGAGCCCGCAAGAAGTTCCAAGCCTCGAGGCAAGCCAACGACGGCTATTTTCCATACTCGTCTATTCCCCGTAAAGAGAAAGAGGGAGGGTCGCAGTACTCATGGAGATGGTGATGAAAGCAGGATGATTGAGGAAAGGGAAAGACAGAAGCAAAAAAAAAAAAAACACCTCGTGGGTCGTGGGGCGACCCGTATGTTGGCTCTACCATCGTTGCTTTGCAGTACGGAGTATTACTAGTTAATACTACTAGTACGGATAGTAGTACACGCAGTAATGATAGCAAGAACAACAAAGCAAAATGTGTCTGTCGTATCAATGAATCAAAGAAGTTTTCTCTCGTGAGACGAGACTTCGGAACCGAAATTGGACTAGAGCCGTTTGCTCATGCCCCGGGATTCCCAATTCAGCAAGCCGACGGGGCGTGTCATCGAAGCTAGAGAATAAAGAAAAAAGAGTGTGGCATGAGAAAAGAAAAAGGAGAGAAACAGAAGGAGAGAGGGAGAGTGGAGGGGTGGAAAAAAAAGGGGCGAGAGGGGTGCATGTATAGTGAGGGAGAGAGGGGTGTGTCAAAGGGAAAGGGAGATGTTTACGAGTAGGATATGTGCAACATCTCTTCAATATGGGAATAATGGCGCTACGACATAAAACAGGACCTCGATTGTACGGGAAAAATAAAACTCAGATGACCACGGGACATCTGCTTTCTCTAACCAAGAGAGAAGCAATCGAAGAAGAGAAGAAGAAGGGGGGAATCTGCCCGACGTATTATGTGTGTGCGCCACAGACGCAGCCATGTCATCATTCTTGGTGATGTATAGTGTCATACTCGTCCTTTCTTACTTGTATGAATGAGTACGGAGCGATACAGGTAGTTACCTGGAGCAATGGTAAAGAACGGCAGCATCATGTGGCACGTGAGACGCATTCTACTGCGTATACGGGCACCATAGTACTCACGAGGGACTGTCGTCGTCGTACGAGTATGACTACATGTGCATATTGATCAAGGGCAAGGTCGCCAGATGAAGGACCTGTGTAAGCACTGCATGTATGACTGGTGTACTCTCGTACTGGACAATAAATGCAACGACGTGTTGTCATGTCTCGCTCACGAGTCCCTTGTTTCGTATTACTCCATTCACGAGCTCGGGTATCTTACTCTGTTGGTCAGGCTTTGACTCTCCTGTTGGGGGGGGGGGGGAGTTCTCAATGTTCTGGTATGGGAGGCAGGGTCCAAGAGATGGTTTCCATCGGTCTTGACATACAAAGATAACAGAAACGAAAAAGAAAAAGATGCGAATAGCTGAGACAAGAAAACAGGTGTTGCGAACCCGAGACCCATACTTTAGTCAGTATATTAAAGATTTATGGTCTGGGGACGAACAGGCTTTTTTCTCGGGGAAAAAAAACAAGAAGACCACATGACTGACGAGAAGCATAATAATATGAGTCCGGGGGTAAGCTTAATCAGACGTATTTTTGTTGGAGATGCGGAGGTGGAGGAATGTGGTAACTGGGAAGCGGGTTGTGGAGAGGAAGAAGAGGGGACGGAAGAGGACGACGTGATCATGGCACGAGGCATAATCAGAAGTCTATGCAACATGGGGAAGAGGGCGTGGAGATGCGGCCGAAATGTCGGTGCTCCTTTAATGTACTCAAACAGGTATATTTGTCGTTGTCGTCGTCGTCGTCGTCGTGGCATCATTGCTCGTAACGGCATATGATAAGAGTCGGTTAGTCCGCAGCAGTAATTTGTGAAAAACGACGTTTTTGTGGGACAAATCGGCATGTCGGCACCGGACCTCTGGTAGTCGCGACGATTATGCAAAATGGTTGGTTTGGCGATCAATTAAAGGAGGGTCAAGAGGGTATCTCGAGTCTTGGACGGATAAGACGGATGAGGCTCGGTGGGAAAAGCACCAAAATGACAGGGTTTCGTCGTGCTTTTCTGGCTGCCTAGAGAGTCACGAGTACCTCGATTTCTCGTACAGGATACTTGAATCCAGTATGCCAGCTTCGTCCTTTCTCCAGGTGCTCCCTTGCATACGCTCAAAGTAACCAGTACAGAAGTACCCAGTACACTACCCCTTTTCCACCCACTCACATTTCTTTTCTTTCTCGCCTCTGTTCCCTTGCCCTTTGTGTGTCTCATTCCTTTGGTACTGTCCGAATAGCAAGCTGTTTCCGAACCCGGAGGTCTTTGCACACACACTTGGCACACACACCACACACCTCAGACAGTGTCGGCCGCCTCCGGGAACCCACTTTACCTTGTTTCCAGGAAAGCTTAAACCAGAGGAATAAAGAGGGTAGGAAGAAGCCAGAAGAGACAAAGGACGACACAACAGAGAGAGATAATTGCGGCTGAGAGGGGGATCACAACAAAAGCGTGTGACATGAAGTCCAAACCCCTGGTCGATGCCAAGACGCCAGATCGGTTATTCGGTCTTGTGCCGGTCTAGGCAAAATGGGTTACATAACCAGGAGTTCCACTCTCCAGGCCTAAAGTGGACACACTAATTGGTCACAGGCCAATCCAAGTCCCGAAGCCAAAAGGCAGGAGGGCGGCATGTGTGCGGCGTAGCCTGCAGGAGCTGCAAAGGAAGGAGCCATCCCCTGGAGTTGCTCACTACACTCGCATCTGCCTGCCATTACCGGCCTTATGTCGGGCGTGTGCCAAGCCGGCACCTATTATCTCACTGGCTGCTCTTTCCGTGTTCCTTGTCCGCTGTATTAGCAACTGACGACAACTCGCATTATTATTTACAACCTCTTTTACCCGCATATTACACCGTAGGCACAATCCAGATTACGCTGTTAATCACCACTGGGCACTCATTCTCGTTCTTCCGTGAAGGAGGAAATACCCGAACTCGGTACAACAACACTCGTACCGTTTTGCCATTGACATTCGTACCGTCCGGAAAACGGCACCGTATTGGTGTGAGTTGTTGGTCGCTAAACCGTCTTTCCCTTCCGTAATACCATCCGTCTCCGGCTCCGGCGCACTTTCCTCCCCATATCTCATGATGATTACGCGCACACCCCTCTCTGAGCCCCCCCTTGAGCTCTCCTCGAGCTGAGGGCATTCTATTCATCCCCATTCCCATCACGGCTTCCCTCTTTGGGATGTCCTATATATCTCTCGTGACGACATGGTACCGCGACCAACACGCATCTCTACAAACGCATGACGGTCTACCTCTTCTCCATGTTCCGTGACTGGCCCGCTTCCCCAGCCTTGGCAAACCTTTTTACAACTTACCGGGAAAAATAGGCGACTGTGTCTTGTGCTGCTTGCAGGTGCTTGCAAATCGACAAGCCAACAAGTCAGACGGCCATCATTATCGGGTCAGAGACGACGACGAGGTACGACTACAACAACGTTCAGACGCTACAAGCACCGAAACATGCTTCTTTAGCCGCCATGTACGGTAGTGCTTGTATATATAAGTACGAGGTACAGAGTACAAGATACCCTTGTCCGTCGCATCGTACGGGCAGGGCGTCGAGTGGATTTCTCCAACCCCCGTGTGGCGTGAATGAGCGGCCGTGGGTGTCCTCTTGGTGCGGTGCGGTCTCTGCACTACTACGTCATTTGCGGAGATGACTGGAGGAATAGTCCCCGTGGAGTGAATATGGAAGCCCCAGGAGTTAAAAGACAGCCAGTTGTGTGGGGAGCGGAGGAGGATGGGCCTTGCATGGAGAAGGGCATGGCTTACCTTGACAACCCAACTTGGGGCCAACAAGAATCCCTGCCAGTCTTGGTAAAAGGTACTTTGTTTGTGCTCTTCGGTACCTGTACGGAGTAGACTGTACTTGTAGTATCGTAACACTCCATTTTTCCCCATGGGTCGATAGTATGAGCACACTCTTTTCACCTTTTCGCTCTGTGGTCCACGGTGTCCCGAACAGAGTCGTAGACTAGGAACAGCAATACAAGGACAAGGCGTCTCCCTTCATCTGCGCCTGTAGGGACAAGAGAAAAAAAAGAGGGAAGAAAACAAAGTCACTAGGACCATCAGCTAGCATCACTGAAATCGCCGGTTGCGTAGACGACCTGTACAGGCATGGGAACCGGGAACTTGTACGAGGGCCAGTACGGGGAAAGTGTTATTTGCTTGGCTTGGAATGAACAAGGATCGACCCCTCCTTCTCCAAGTCCTGCACCATGTGCCTCGCCCGCAAGCAACCCCATCTGATTCATCCATTGTTCGCCGTTGCGCCCCCATCCTGGGCCATCTCTATCCCCACACGACCTCTTCGATCCTCGTCGCAAACAGGGGCGGGGAAGGGCGTCGTCGGTTTAGGAGACTACATGTAGTAGTCGTACTCGACCGACACACGTACGTCTCTCTTCTGGTACCTACCAGTACTTGTTTCCAACCGCGTTTAACGCACACATCGGCGGCGTATTGCACCCTGTTCCCGTACTAGAATGGATACTCACACTACTTGTCGTGTCGTGTGCCATGACGGTCCCAAGGCTCAATGGTATAAGAACATTTGACTCCCTCCCTCTCTTTCTGGGATATCCCCCTCCCCTTCCCGTATCGCCAACAGCCTCGTACCCCCTCAATTCTCTTCCTCCACAGAGATCCGTATCCCCGGTCTGGGACACTCACCTAGAACCACAGACTTTGTCTTGCCTGTCTCGCATCTTGGTTGATCGACACGCACGCACACACACACACACACACACAATTGAATATAAAAGGAGAACAACAGGACAGACGGACAATCATCAGCCATGGGGCTGTTTCCCAGGTACTTCGGCCTTCGTGGTCAGGCCCTGAGTTGGGCCATTGGTGCCATTGCTGGTCTCGACTTCTTGCTTTTCGGCTACGGTATGAGAACCCTTTCACAATCGTCAAGCTGCAATGCTTCTAGGGGCTGTTTTCACTGACAGCGACAAACAGATCAAGGTGTCATGGGCGGTATTCTGACTCTCAAGGTCTTCCTTGAAGAGTTCCCCGACATCAACCCTGATAGCGACGACTCTTCGAGCACTGCTGAGCAGCGCTCCACGTACCAGGGTATCGCTGTCGCCTCGTATAACCTGGGATGCTTCATTGGCGCCATCATCACAATCTTTATCGGAAACGCCCTCGGCCGTAGGAGGATGATCTTTCTCGGAACCGCAATCATGGTCGTTGGTGCCGCCCTCCAGGCCTCTGCAACCACTCTGCCGCACTTGGTCATAGGCCGTATCATCACCGGTCTGGGCAACGGTGGTAATACCTCGACTGTTCCCATGTGGCAGTCGGAAACATCCAAGGCCAACCAGCGCGGTAGGCTCGTCATGATTGAGGGTGCCCTCATTACTGGCGGTATCACCATCTCATACTGGGTCGACTACGGCATGTCGTACGCCCCTGGCTCTGTCGCATGGCGCTTCCCCCTGGCTTTCCAGATTGCCTTCTGTGTTCCCATCCTGCTCTGCGTCCTCAACCTTCCCGAGTCTCCGCGCTGGCTCATCCTTCGTGGCCGCGACGCTGAGGCCAGGGATGTCATCGCAACGCTTGCCGATGATGGTTCTGATGAGGGCTTCATCACTAACGAGTTCAGGGCCATCAAGGATACTGTCTTGGTCATGAGCAAGGGACGCTTCAAGGACCTCTGGGACCGTGATGAGCAGAGGACTCTGCACCGCACCATCCTGGCCTACGTCAACCAAATGTTCCAGCAGATCTCGGGTATCAACCTCATTACTTATTACGCCGCCGTCATCTACCGCCGACTAGGCATGAGCGACGACCTGTCCCGTCTCCTGGCTGCCCTCAACGGTACCGAGTACTTCCTCGCTTCGTGGCCCTCTGTTTTCCTCGTTGAAAGGGTTGGTCGCCGCAAGCTCATGCTCTTCGGTGCCATCGGCCAGGCTGGTACCATGGCTATCCTGGCTGGTGTCGGTTCGCGGGAGGACGACAAGGCCTGTCAGATTGCCGGTATCGTCTTCCTCTTTGTCTTCAACAGTTTCTTCGCCGTCGGCTGGTTGGGAATGACGTGGCTCTACCCTGCCGAGATCACTCCCCTGCGCACCCGTGCTCCCGCCAACGCCCTGGCGACCTCGTCCAACTGGATCTTCAACTTTCTTGTTGTCATGATTACTCCGGTCGCCTTCCAAACGATCAAGAACCACACCTACACCGTCTTCGCTGTCATAAACTTCATCATGATCCCCTCAACCTACTTCTTCTTCCCCGAGACGGCTTACCGTTCCCTCGAGGAGATGGACATCATCTTCTCCAAGGCTCGTGGTCTCGGCGGTGCTTTCAGTGTTATTCAGATTGCCCACGACGAACCCCATCACTACGACAAGAACGGAAACCTCCTCATTCCCTTTGACGAGGACATCAACGATAAGCCCGAGGCTACGCACAACAGCGGGTCCGACGAGCCCGGAGGTATCCTGGCTGGGGATGAGGAGAAGGTTGTTGGCAGGTCATGATGTTAGACATGGTCTGGTATTCCGTGTGATGACTGATATACCGTTATATTTTTCATAATTACACCCAGAGCAATAGGAAGGTAGAAAGGACAAATTATTTCAGAGTGAATCTCTATTTGAAGCCCGGCTCGCGCTGCTCCTTTGTTACTAATGCTTTGGGGGTTCTTGACGTGTGCACGTCGTACTATACCCCATTTTTTTATGATTGCATGCATCCGTTTATTCTTCTTCTTTCCTTGTTACGAATATTTTCCTTTTTATTCGGTCTCCGTTCCCCCCCCCCTTTATAGAGGCTAGAGTCTACCATCACTACACTACTACACTGAAGAATGAGAGCTAGTGTGAATACAGAAATAGTTACGATGTGTTATTATTGATCAAGGTGAACATAAATATGAATGAGAGACTGGTCAAGGTTGATGTGTATATATCAGATACCCAATTAGGAGCAGTAATTGATGGTTATATTACTATGTACCGAACCGAAATGTTTATGCAAAAGGAATCAAAGAGTCATCCAGAAATGCTCATTCCTTCCCGTTGTGCGTCTGCGGCTCCTTCTTAACTAGGTCGCCTCGTAACCCACACCTGACGAAGTGAGGCTACTTTCTGACCCGAAAGCAGAAGGATATGCTTGATTGAAAATGTGGCAAGAAGGTGAGGCTTCCTGCTCTATTGTTGGTGGCCTTGGGCCATATTGGTCACGTGGTTCAGCCAGCTGTCAGACGTAAGCGGCGGAATAACGTCGGCAAAAAGCTCGTCTGAGTTACCGGATCCGGATAGGAATAATCGGGTGGAATTGATTATATGATAATAGCAAATATATCGCACTTATCCATGTAGAAATTTCCTTGGTCATTCTGATGATATTGATGATATCTATCTCTAGGGGTAATTGTGACTGTAGAAGTGGCCTTTTATCGTCAGGGTTACTGCCGATCGGGCCGAAACAACCTGTTCCGGCCGATGACCCAGCTGTTTGTTCCAACAAGTAGGACCTCGCTCGTTTGCGCAAAATAGCCAGGCCCCTACAGACAACCAGGGCGGCGGCGGCGGCCCATCCAGCTCGTGTTCTTCGGTGGCAGCGGCGTCGCTGCGGAGGGGGGGGAGGGGGGGTTGTTTGTCGTCCGTCCTGGCACATGACCCTCCAGAGTCTGTCTCTCGAGGCCTACTTGTGGACACGGGGGCCAGTGGTTTCACCGTCCTCGCTGATGAGTGAGAAGGGAGAGGAGTGTCGATGTTCAGGCCGCGAGGGGATTGTGGAGTGTTGTTGTGAGCTGTGCCATGGCTTATCCGTTGTCCTGTGCTTCTTCTTGGAAGATCACCAAAGGCTTCGCACCACCGTACCAGCGAGTACAAGTGCGAGGGATGCCTTGTTATGTGATCTGATAACTTTCTTGTTCTCTTTCTCTATGTGAAGCTATTTCGATTTTGCAGGGTGAGGATAATAAAGCTCGTTCTGTGCGCCCGGCAGATAGTTCTGTCGGATCCGGGATCCACAGTCCCTCTCTATAGGCATCCTGGTGAACACAGAGCCTGTGAATTCACCGTTGCTGGTCGTTGATGAAGGTGAATGGGGAGGGTTGACGGAGCACTAGGCCGTGACGTATGTCGGCATCGACATGTGATTGTCGAGTGTATTGGAAGGAGTGGACTAGTCATTGGGGAATTGGGGTGTAGATCCCGGATCCGACAGAACTATCTGCCGGGAACACACCACACACATTATCCTCATCATCATTTGCTCTAGATGAAGATAGCTTCAGAAAAACGAGCAAGAGATATAGATCACAACAAAAGACACCATCTGCACTCGTGCTAGCCGGTATGGTGGTGCAACGCCTACCTGTGATCTCGCGAGCTGAAAGCACAGGGGTTCAAACACAACCTATATAGGTAGTTTGCAGGATTCCGAGTTCCCTCGGATTTCCTCCATCATCATCATCAGTTCCTCCATCGATTCAGGTTGCACATTCCAACAGAGAGTTGTTGTGGTGATATGAGCCGCCCTTATGAGCAGTCTGGAGCCGGGAACTTTCTTTGTGTAGGGTGACCTGTTGAGGCATGTAGATGGCTCAAGGCTTTCAAGAAATGAAGGTGATGATGATTTAGCTGACTAGCTAGCTACTGCACAATGTGAGATGTGAGAAAGCAAAGGCTGACTTAACCACATGACCATGTGGCCTAAGCTCATCAACACGACCTTCTGCCGGGTAATAGTGAGGTCGAGCCTATTAGTCCCAGTCCTTCAGGATAGTAAGTAGGGGAACCTGGGCGGCGCCCTGCGTATAGGGAGGCAGTTTGCAGGCTCACGTGGCTCTTTACGAACCGGTGAACGATGGGCCAGCGACTGGCAGAAGTAAAGACGGCATTGGCAGTGGGTGGTGGGCCACTCCGGATAGGCGTAGGACCGGCGTCGAGGCTCAGGTCCTGAGGGCATGCGGCCCATTTCCAGGAAGACAGCGCACGGCGCTCGTACCCCGACCGGCTTCCCCAACTCAGGCCATCGCGACGGTCAATCTATCTGGCCTCGGCGCCGGGCCAGCTTCCAGTCGAAATGGAACGAGTTTGTCGGAGCGAGGCCGCAAGCGCCTATCCCACCCTGGTCACATATGGTAACGTTGAATCTTCCCCGGTGAAGCCTGAGTGCCGACAGTCAGGGCGAAGTTTTTTTTTTTTTTTTTGGAGTCCCCGGGGAAATGTGTTGGCTGTAGGGCCCTCGTAGTACCACTTTCTTACAGGGTGGATCGTATATAGTCTTATAAGGAACTCGAGTATACTCAAAGCTGAGAGGGTAGACTGCCTAACATAGCCGGTTGATCTGCCGAGCTCATGGGAGCCTCTGCATACCTCGATTTCTCAATTTCGTGGTGAAGGGGGGACGGCAGCGGCAAAAGATTGAACTGGCCGCTTTTGTATTTCGCTTTTACACACCCCCCCCCAAAACAAAAAAAAAAAAAAAAAGTGACCCCGTGATTGATATGGCCATTGAAAAGCTCTCCTTTGACGAGGTTCACTGGTGAATGATGATTCCGTGTTAAGTTGCCAGATAAGTTGCCTCGGAGGCTTTCCCCTCGCGGGGCTTTTCTAAACAGATTGCCGAACGCCGTACTTTGTTTACCTTGACCATGGAGAGTAACGCGGGGGGGCAGAGCATGTTGAGCCCAGGACCACATCTGTACCAACGTTTGGCTGCACAGTGGTTGGTAGGGAGGAAGAGATTCTCTCTCACGGGATCCACGATCGACGGTGTTTTTTTTTTTGAGGACATGGTGATGTCGATAGGGGTGCAGAGAGGGCAGCACCGATTGAGAAAGTTCTGGGCGTTTTTGGGGGAGCGAGGGTGGGCTTGGGGGTCTTCGTGGTCGGGAATTCGGTGCACCCCCTCGCCCCTAACATGGCAGTGTGCGTCTTGAGAGCGGCAGTGTGACGGGTGAGTCCCTGTGCCACAGTGCTTGGAGATGGAGGTGTGATGGAGAGTACAGTATCCCGTTGACTCGTTTACGGGAACCACTGTTTCCAAGGTGTATATCTTGCATTCCGGCCGAAAGTCGTCCCATTTCGTCCTGGACATCCTCAGGCATTGCTTCTGTCCGGGGAGCCTGCTGGCCGCCGCCATAGTAATATTCATGGACAAACGCCCGTGCTCAAGAGGAAACGAGCGGAAAAACAGAAGCCTTTGATGAGCCCAGAACTATGTTCGACCTGACGTTTGACCTTCGAGAATGCCAGGGTTGTATTCCGCACCTGTGCCTATGACACGTCGTCGCTCGGGGGGTGGGAGGGATGAACTGCCGCAAAGGCCAGGAAAAGGGGGCCTGTTGGTTGCCTTCGAGGGCCCTTTGGATGTCATGGTATTTGAAGGGTGAGAGTCAAAGGGGATATGTGTATAGGCCTGTGCAGGCCTGTGTATGCGCGCATGTGTGTGTATGCCAGGAATGTTGTTGTGAGCTGTAGGATCTAGGCTCTTGTTGCTGTTAGGTTTTGGGGGGCGAGGATTGCCTGTATTTATAGTCAAATCCGAGGCCCTGTTCAGGAGCATTTCCAGTGAATTACCTGCCACTGACGGTTCATGTGATGTGGCTGCTCACATTCAAGTACACCACTGTCACTGTCACTGCTGTATGAAGAGAAGTGGTAGTATGAAGCAGTGTAAGGATGTCCAAGAATGATTTCTTCTCTGCATCATTCCCCGGGAAGTAGAGCCATCTGATACTTCTGAGAATTTCCGGGTTGGCGTGGGATCAGAGCTGAGCCAAACACAGAATGAGTGAATGACTTTCCCTGAGGAGGGAAAGAGAGTGACGAGAGTTACGTGGACTGTGAGCACAGGGCGGATAAGTGCATAGTATCTCGTCGGTGAGTCGATGAGGGTGTCACTACTAGTACCATTATTCATATACGGTGTTCGTGGACGCATTCTAACGTTCAGTTAGTGTTACCACTTGATGGTGAATACTACTGATAATTCTGCTTTATCAGGTCATGGAACAGTACGTAGAAGTAGAAATAAAATGCTAAGTGACGAGTATCCAAGACCTTTGGGTCGGCGCCCGGTTGTCCTCGTATGGTCTTTTTGACATGTAGGGATACATCGCTCAGTGTGTGTCCTCTCGACGACCGATTCGACATGTGAAATGTTCAATAGAGGGCCCTGCCTTTTCCTCCCTTTCTTTTCACACCCCCCTTTCTTTTCACGTCCCCCTTTCTTTTCATAGACTCTGTACTGGTAGAGGATCGAGTATATGTGCCTTCACGTCCTACATGCAGTGA